GCGATTCCCTCAGGACGAGTTCTAAATATTTAACCGAGTGTGAAGCCTATAGGTAATATAACAATGTCAAGACTCGAGAACCACGTCCCGACTTCACTATGATATTATGTAAAATCGCAGATACAGTCTTATACCGTTATTATAATTTATAAATGCTTAAGCGCATAGTATATCACATAATATAATATATTCAATTTTATTATTTATGCCAAATTATAAGTAGGTGTACACGTTTTTCTTTAGCGACTAAAAGGCCGATTTTTGATTTAGCAATTAGAAAATTAGTTAGATTTATTAGATAAAAACTATAAAAAAGTAAAAATATAAATGCTTAAAAAATTTTTTTGAAAACAAAATTAAAAAATCGGCTTTTAAGCCTCCATAGGGAAGATGTATAATTATAAAAAAAAAACACAGTGAGCGAGCGAGTGCCAAAACACTTGGAGACCTGCCGTCCTTACCAGTTATCAATACGAATTCCGAATTTGGTAAAGTGGTAGCAATCCCTATTAAATCTATTAAAATGTCTGAAAAAATGATAGAACATTTTTCGTTTTCTTTCCATAATAAACTCGCTGACCATAAGGAATTAGTGTTGTAAAAAACCGGAGCCGTTTGGGAATTAACCTTTTTGTAAAACGGGAGCTAAATGGGCTACGTACAGAGTAACATCCAACGTTACGGACAATTTCTAGTACTTGACCCCCGGCCATATAATATATACATGTTAAAAAAAATTGTTATGGGTTCGGTAGACACTTCAGAAAGTGACTTCGCGTTTTAGTCTTTATTTGTAAACAATTTGTCGCTTACCCTTCCCCTTAACCGTGTGTTTATGTAAATGGTAAAAATTGCTATTGAATCAACAATTCATTAATATAATTAATAAACTCGGGTTAGTTGTGTTAAGAGCCCGTTATTATTACACACGGTTTGTAATCATTTATTATTGTTTGTAAATATTGAGAGGCATATGCATGTGAACGTGGGAAGCTATTGTTTGGTGAAATTACATTTTATAAATCCTTGAAACACAATTAGTGAAAACCCGAAAATTATTTAACCTACGGTTACAAAAAATTACCTTGCAAGTTAAAATTTTAACTGATTATTTAACCTAAATTTTAAATTAACTCGTTTCAAATGAACTTATACTTGGAAATTTGTTAAAATATAATACTTTGAATAAGTATTGTTTTGAAAAAGAATAAATATTGTTTGTATCATATTTGTATGAATAAATAAATAAGTAATTTTACAAACTTTTTTTAAATCCTTTATAATATTTTTTATATAGTCTATAAATTCTTGTATATACCTAAGTGTTTTTATAACCTTTTATAAATCCTTTAAAACGCTGACTGTTGGTAATAACTGTAGGATTTTTTTTTCTATTTTTGTGTTTGGATAATATGTAAAGCACTGCCCAACGCCATGAAAATGAAATACTTTATTTGTATTTGAATTTTGTATGTATTAATTTTTTGTTTACCGTAAATAAAATTAACTATATATACATTTTTTTCGTACCCTAATAAATGTTAATTTATCAATAGATGGTGTAATTGTTAAACGTTTTATTTAAATGCGGCAACATAATATATTATTATAATTTTATACGTGTCATATCTGTATGTAAAAAAAAAAAAGGCCAAACGATATTTTAGTATGTCGATTATGGGTTCAATTGATGTCGCATAAACAACTATATGTTACTTTAGGTAACTGTCAACGTGTGCGGGAAGGCGCGAAAAGCGAGATAAGATATTATTCTTGTGTTGGCAAAAAAAAAGGGTACACCAGCCGGATAAAGTGAAACCACACGTTTATACATTATAATATTATGTTGAATAAATTATGATTTTCGTGCCGATATAAATAAATAAAACCAGACTGCGGTTTTGGTAGGTAAAACGACTTAGCACAGGTGTACTTACCGCTTACGTATAAACAATTTATTTGGAGTATTCTTTTGTAAAACGCCTCACATGATAATGTCGGCCAACGTCACATAATAATAACAGCGATCGTGATAATGATGTTGGTGCTGTAAAAATATAATACAGCTGGTAAATCATGGGTTGTATGACTTAAATTATGTGCGAGAGACTTGATGTAGGCAGCTACCTAGCAAAGTAACAACTCGTGTAATAAAAGAAACGAATGCGTCTGTCGTTTCATACTGAGATGGACGTACAAATAAAACAAATATAATATAATATGTACTATTAACTATTGTATTCACATCCGCACCCGTCGACAGTACAATATTGTAATAGGATGTCCAATCCATAATTTTAGTTTAATCAATGGTTATGTTATCTATTTTAAAGTAACGTTCAGCCTAAGTGTAGCCAGGGAAGTGTTCAAAGAGTCCGGACCCCTTCCAGAATTTGTTTGAATACCGTTCCAAAGAACACCATTAGACAAACACGCAATGGAAATATTCATATTAGGAGAGCGTAAAGATAATAAATGTACAACAATATTGATGTATATGTTGATATTGGAACAGAGCCGTTTCATTTTGTAAAAACTAAAGTTTGAAAGAAAATTTAAGGTATCCGATACTTTAAATTGTATTAAGAACATTTGTTTCAAAAATGAGTAATTTTTATTTATCCTTTTTTGTTTTTTTCGGAGAGCTTAAGCTACTTAACCCTATTCGCGCAAAGTGGACCTATTCTGCTCAAAATAAGAACTCTGGCTACGTGACTGAGGATTAGTGCTGTCGCACGTCTTCATTCTTTCCAGCGTGGTAACCGTGAACTTTCGGCCTCTGGAATAGACCCGTATGAATGGCCAATTCTGTAATTTAATTAGGATTCCAAGTAAGGCTCTGCCGTTGATATTTAATGGGAGGTCTGTTGTTGAGCGGTAACAGTATTAAAATTAATTTGTTATTCATGGACAATAAATGCATTGTAGAACGATTTGAGCTCAAGGCATGCAGCGGCTGAACGGAAGTCAATATTGATTAATTTTCACTTCCAGTCCAACGCGTTTTGCCCTACTCCACGACAGCGGTCGTCTAGTCTCTACTAGGCAAAACCTGTTAAAAATAAATTACAATACTATATATGATATAATTATTATAGCAACAGTGGTTTCGAAGGGCATTATTCGGCTGCACTCTCATTACTCTCAAAACTAGCCTAACCCTTTTGAAACTCCGGTGCACACTCTTCAAAATATAATACTTAGATCGACTCGGCTCAGGTTATCACTGCGTAACGTAAAAATTGTCTAACTTAAACGAAGCTAAGCAAAACAGCTAGTTTTGCTTAGTCAGTGACGATTTCAGAACAAAAACCTTCATTGTGAAATTTATAAAATCTAGTATATCTATGGGGATTAACGTTTGCGGATTTTTGATAAATTGAAATGGTTGTCTAATAATTTATAAACAAAACCTACTTTTTATGTTTTCAAATAGCTATGACTTCATTAAATTATGAAAAATACAAATGTACAACCTACGTAATATATTATATTCTTTAAGTTTGATACTAAATATAGTAAAATTACTTAAAAGTCTATAAAAAAAACCTCTCTGGATGACAACGTTTTCAAATCAAGCTTAAGTTAATTAACCTAGTATTATTCGCAATTTTAGAGAAAAAATTTTAAATGTCTATGTTTAAATATAGTAAAAATACGAGTATATAAGTATGTGATTCATCAAACGTAAGACGCTTTACGTAGATGCCATATGTTAAATAGGATTACTCAATATAGTAAATAAATCCTATAATCCAGTTCAAAAATAATACCACGCTCGTATACAAAAATGGTTTATTCTTAATAAAATGCTGATTACAGATAAAAGCTGTTCTTTACGTGTTGGATATGCTTATACGGTTTCACATCAATTTAAGTTTCTGTACTAAAACCGATTCCTCTTGAACGCTTTTTTAAGGTTTAATACCTTTAACGGCTCCTTTGGTCCATAATTCTATATAGACAAATAATAAATAAACAAAAACATCTTCCTCGTTTCACACGAAGGTCCGATGCGTTTTGGGCCAATTTTGATTTGTAAGATATTTATAATAATATAAAACGTATAAGTATTAAACTTTTAAAAGTTTAAGAATATTTCTGACCATTTTAGATAAAGTTGAATGACGTGTTAAAACTTGAAAAACTTCTTTATATTTTTGCTGGTTTTCTTGAATTCAAAGAAAATTAGTGGACTTTTACAACTTCTTTACATCATTCTTTTAAAAATAATATAACATACGATGTGTTCTACTCAATAGGAATACTGATTAAAGAATCCTGCCAAAGTATAAAAACGTATTAAAGGTCAAAACAAAGACATTATGAAATCAATACTTTCCCGATACTATTAAGAGTATGACCCAATAGGTACAATTCTAGACTAACCCTGAACTGTATTATAGTAACATAAAAATTAATTTATAAATTTATTGAGAACCTGCATCGTTGTTTTCTTTATTTTTCATTATCAAAACAAAACCAATGATGAAATCTAATGTTAACAAACAAAATAATGTAGTGTGATTATAAACTCATTTTAAACAATGTCTTTTGTTTTGCTAGTGTAACTTTCGTCTAATTTTTATTGTTCATTATTTGAAGGTTATAACGAAAATACAATATGTAGTTGTAAGTGTAAGGCGAAGATCAAAAAGAAGTAGACTGTCGAGGGTAGAGATATCGCTATTGAAGTATTCTGGTCTGCCTGAAACGATATTTTTTGTATAATGACCGCGTGGGTCTATTGATCGACGGGATGAGTGTTGTCACCCCATCCTAGTTTCGTAAAAAAATATCAAGTTGTTGTTTATGATATAAACGAAAACAATATTCGCTCCTCTTAATCCGTAAACGTTTACCGCCGTAGACATCGGTCGAATACCTTTCTTCCTTCTTTTCGCTCTACTCAATTTTATACACCCCACTGGTTCACTTGTCTACGCTGTTTACGCAATAATCATATTATTAATGGTTATATATGCACGTTTGGATTGCAGAAACACGGTGTTCGCCTAAAATGCTCTGCGTGCCGGATAATCGTGCATTCCGAGTGCATGAGCAATCTGCCGGAGGCGGCCAAGTGCAAATCGAGCTTCAAAGATGACGGCGTGCGGCAATACAGAGAACACAAAACGGTGAAGCACCACTGGATGCACCGCAGGACGCAGAAGGACAAATGTTCGCAATGCGGAAAGGTAAGTTTCCATTGAAATTGATTTAAGGGGGTAGGACACTTGGAAATTTGTTTTATCCATACACCTATGTTGACTAGTGGACAGAACTTTCTAAACCCTCATCCTTCGAACAGTATAAACCGTGTCGATATATTTAACCAAGGTTGCAGGAGGGAGGGAAGTAGAAAACTAGTTAGAGATTTTCGTGAAAGAAAAAAGATCCCGTGTCTTTATGAGGATAATTTGTAATGTTAGGCATTGATCATTTGATTAAATTTGTTTCTTTCTTTTTTCCTGTTGAATAATTTTGTTTCCACGTGCTACTAATTTTCCAATCATCTTCTCTGCTGACATTTTATAGGCATTTTTCAATTTTTATTGCTTCTTTGCTTAATGTTTTTACCCTGTCGTACTGAATGTTATGTCCGCTGTTTTCTGCAGATTCGTCTGTTCTCTTGTATACAACGTCCCTCTTGTGTTGTTTTATCCGTGTCTCTATTGCTCTTCCGGCTTATCCATATTAAAGTCTTAATACATTCAGATAATGTGCGATTTATATAATTCAAATCCCTAGGCAGTGAAACTTGTAACATAAAAATCAGTATTATATTGTAACCTTTCAAGTTTATCTTGGCCTTTTGTGACATTACAAGTCAGGGCCTCAAAACCGTAAGGTGCAGAAAAGGTAAGTCGTTGTATAAAACAAATAGTTACAGCAATAAAACATGCACAATTCTTATTACTTATTGTACTACCGTCGTATCGCTCTATTCCTCTCTATCTACCTACTTGACACACTGTCACAGCATCTTATCCGATGAATTTCCTTTTGTCTTGTGTTCGACGAGTCAGGTTCTATCAGGTCTATGATTTGAGAATGGCTTGAAAATACAGTGCTACAACAGTAACGGTTTTTATTCCTCTCGACAGGCGTTCCAGTCGGTACTTTCGTTCAGCTCCAAAGAGATAATCGCGCTCACGTGTTCCTGGTGCAAGCTGAGCGTCCACAACAAGATGGCGTGTTTCAACGATACAAAAATGAATGAACCATGTTTCTTAGGTAAATATATATTCGTATATTTACTTTATAAACGAAAGTCTCTAAAACTTTGAGTCTATTTCTACTCTCGAGACTTTACAGGTTTTTAAAAATATTTTTTTCTTCCTCTATAAAATGATCTATTTTAGTACCTACAAATTTCTCATGCATAAAAAACATGTTAAGCCTGAATGTGAAAACTATTTCAAACTATTAAATTAAAAAATAGTTTAAGGGTAGTTCCTTACGTTTAATATGTACAGGATATGGAATAAATTTGAAAACCCTTTGATTACTATAAAAAGCAATTTCAAAACAAATTCAACACCCTAGTATATTTTTTTTTTGGCCATTTAAATTGAAATAAATAATTTAAAAAAAATTGACTGGTGAGTTTATAAAAGATTAAATGATACTAAATGTTTAGACAAAAAAAACGCTTTTCTTTTTGTGTACAGTTAAAAATGCTAAACTCCTAAGACAAAATATATCTAGAGTAAAACTAATGATATATTTGGTTTTAAGTCACCGTTTTCTTTAGAAATAAAATATGTGGTTGTACTAATTATTGTAATAAAAAAAAAATTAAAACCGCGGTAGATAATAAAATACTGGAATATATTTTGAATTGTGCTTGATTTTAATCAAACGCAATTTTGTACGTTTTAGTTAGTTTTATTATGAGTGTGCTTTGAAAATCTCCTTGTCAAGTTTTTTAATGGGAATACTCAGCTGTATAAAACTTACAAGTAATCCGTTGGGATTTATATACATACAAATAAATAAATGTATTTAATTATATGTCCCACAGTAAACAGCTATATTTTTTTCACGCATCATTATAAGTTATAAAAGTTGTACTCTCTGTCTTAATACAAACACTCATAATATATTTTGAATTCAGACAGTAGTCATTTATTACCTTAATATTAGTGCATTTTAACAGTTGTCATATAATTTTAGAAGCTATAATTTAAAATGTACATAGACTAACAATGTAGTCATATTATGGTTGAACACTCTACTGGAAAATTCGAATAAAATTATTATGATCGAAAAAAAACATATTTAATATAGTTCTTTAAAGCTACTCGAGTACTTAATCAATAAAAAAAATGTCTGTGCGCCGAGTCAACCTAAAGAACGCCTAACCCGCCAATGATGCTAAATTGCCTATACAAAACGCCGTGTCAATATACCGGCGTAGTCCATTGAAGTTACACAATGCACGTTTTAAGTGTGGTATGGTAACCCATCACGTCACTTTCATTCTTAAAATAAAACTATTAAAAAATTGTTGTCTTGCAAATTTGCAAGTTGCACACTTATGATAAATATGAATTGTTAGTAAACAAATTTTACATCTAAAAAACTATAATTATCAATATGCAGTAAAAATTGCCAACTTACTTGTTTTTACTTACCTAATACTTATAAACATTAGCTTTTGTCAACGTGCGTGTCGTTTATTTACTATACATATAAACAAATAGCACATGCATCAAATAGATATTTAATGTTTCAAGTTTCAACAATGTTATTTATGACAGTTTTAAATATATTTTCAAAAATTAAATTATAATGAAAAAACATTAATAATAAATACCATTTTTTTTGAAACATTGAATTTTGTACCAAAACATATTTTTAGAACACTGAACATATGTTTAACAAATTTAAGAAAATTGGTATTACAATATTTTCTGTTTGTGATAGGTACATAAATAAATTGTGTAAGAGCGTTAAAAAAAGTAAAGTTTAGTGTACGTTTTCATTAAAAGATTGTTCTTAAAAAACTGAAATATATTGTAATTCCTAAAACCTACAAATAAAAATGTAATCTAGCAAAAACTTTTTTTTGTATTTATTTAAACTTCAAAAATAATAACTTCTATTCTAAAACAAGTCACTGGCTTTACTGTAACTCAGACGTATATTACTTTTTCTACCGTGATTTCCTTTGTAATGGCTATAACATTTCATTAGTCTTCAAAATAACTCACAGATAAAGTCATTTTAATACTTTTAATTATATATTACGGCTTTTGGGACAATGAATAATAATGAACAGTAATTATTTCTAAACACTTTACCATCTTTAATTAACTTGAGCTCCTAAGCATATGTTAGATATTTTTTTTTTCGTTTAACAACGCCAACTGTTTAAACTATAATTAATTTTATTTAGTCTTCAAAAAAAAAAATTCTAGAGAAAAACAAACATTAGCAAAATTAAATAAACATTATCGAGTTGGAATTTGCTGAGAACATATAAAACTGACAATATTATGAAATGTATAGAATTTAAATAAAAATAGAAAAATATATATACATAATTATATTAGTAGCATAATATAAATTAATAAACAGTATTGATAATTATTATTTCTTTAAAAACTCTCATGACGCCTATTGATAGAAAACTTTGAATGACTTTAATTGTTTATAATTAAAATATACTTAAAACAATTCCAATGGGAATTTAGCGTTTCAACCTCCGGTTACCAAGTGTAATAAATTAGAATAATTATTTGCTTTCAACCGCTTGAGAATGTATATACTTATAATTTATGAAACAACTCAACTGTACATTTTTTTGTAATGAATTACCATAAAGTGCTTTCGCTAAGTAAATGTCTTTTTACTCAGCAAAGTAAAAAACAAATTGAAAAACAACATACAATATTTACAACTCTTAGTTTCCGACATTTCGAAAAGTAATGATAAAAGCAAAAATGCTCTGTTCATATTTATTATTGTTTTCTCAGAAGAACAGGGAGACAAGATAATTGCGGGATAAACAATAACGGATGATTTTCATAACCCATTTGTTCTGAAGTAACAAATTCCCAACACAAAAAAAAGACTATTTTTAAATGCCAAACATTTTTATAAACAAATTATTTTAATTGTATTTTAACTACTTTTTTAATTGACGTAAATTTGCAAATATGAACATAAAAATGAATAATGTTGACATGAAATTAACATATTAATATAATATTATATGTATATTGTAAATCCTAAACTGTAATTGGACTACAACTAAATAAGCAAACAATAGCCTCAACTAAACTCGCCGCGTTTCCTCAACCTGCAGCTAACAAAACTACCTTCAACCGCAAGCGGCAAGTGAAATAATAACATCTGTAGAACAATTGTGTAATAACTTTTAAGTGTAAAGCAACGACCAACTTTGTTGTGTAACTTCTTTTAAGCTACAAATGACAACGCCGAGAACATCTCGAAACTAAATACAAATCACACTTGTCATCAACTTACTAGAAAGTAGATAACCGAGAAGCATGAAGTTATTATTAATAATTTATTATATATAATTCTAAGACCGACAAGGAACAACCCGCATTAAAATTTGCATTCTCTTACGAACTCACCATAAGTATCTTTTTGAAGATAAAATATAATAATATATTTAACATTTATAAATTTCAAAATATTTAAAGTATTTTTTGAAAATGAAAAAACTGTGAGAAATAATTCTGTTTTATTGTCTTTCAGGTAAACATAGCAATATAATCGTTCCACCTTCTTGGATTGTCAAATTACCCAGGAAAGGTAACTTTAAATCCAGTATAAGATCACCGAAAAAAAGGTCTTCTAAAAAGAAAACAAAAGATAAGGTATGTAATTGTTTTTCTCCTATCACCCTATCAAAAACAAAAAATTATATCACAGAAAAGCTGACTGGCGTATATAAACTGTAATAGGTAAAATAAAATAAAAAGTTACATACAACTGATTGTATCCGTTCAGAAAACTTAAGGGCGCTCATGGGAAATCCGAGTGAAGGGTTATCGCTTTGGAATTTAAAATACTTACACAACTGTGACCATTTAACATAATATATGTAATATCGCAATAGCCAGTATTGCATACTTTATACGCATAAAACTTAATGTATTTTCATTATATTTGTTATCATAACAAATATACATACATTTTTTTTCTAAACGCTATAAGACATAAGATGTACATTTTTTAAAGCGTCCAAAATGTTGCACAACTGCATCTCCATAGACTTGTATGAAAAAGTTTTACGTACTAAACTCTATTAAAAATTATAATGAACCAATGCTTATGTATTTTTATCTATAGTTAGTTTTTTATTGCGCGCCAGGTCTTATTTTATACTTGCATATTGTAACAAATATGGTTTTTTTTACACTATTTACACACCTTGTGGTTACTCCATTTGATTATCTTGATTGTTTCGCCAACGTTTCGAAACACTTGCATGTTCCATCTTCAGGGAATTGGTTCGACGTTGCTCCTACCGCGATCTCCCAGAGCCCTTTAAATATCTTAAAATAATATACTATATTTAATGGCTTTTTATAGATAAAAACATACTCGTCGTGGGCGCTCTATTAGACGGTATCTTCTTACAAAATTAAATATTTGTAATAAATGTAGTTTTAATTGTATTCATCATTTAATTAATCATGTGGCGCTAAACATAAATTTACTTTTGTAATTCATACTGCACAACTGCACAATATGTCATGATTATGTTCCACTAAACATAATATTATGTCTTTAATAATAGCTGACAAAATATATAGGAATAGTTTCTAACATAATATATTATTATTTTCAAGTATTTTCAACGTAGGGTAAGATTTAATACTGATTTTCCGCTTTCTTGTGGTGACAAGACAACACGTCTACATGAGTATATGGTATAATAATGTTCAGAGCAAATGGTGAGAACAATTATTGTTACTATAAGATTTCTAACTGTTCAGGCAACTGTCTTGGGGTACTCACGTTGATTGGTTGATAACAACCTGTAAACTACGGTGAATAATTTCATCCAAGGTAACGTTCGTTCAATAGGCGGAAAATGCACAAGACACAAAATACATGTATGATGTATAACAGTTTATAAAAGTGTTGTACCTTATTTTAGCGTTTTTAATCTTCAAATGTATACTTTTTTTATCTAAAGTTCACTATAATTAACACATGAACGCAACGCAGTTGAAATTCACATATAGTAAATTGTTTCATAATAAATATGCATGTGTGTTTTTCCATAAAAAAACCATTATTCCGCAAAGGAGATGAGTGGCGTGTGATGTTCAATTCTAAATTCATTACTCTGTCCCGCATAAATGTCATCCGTATGAACGTCATTACTCATTAACGTACCACGTTGGCCCATTTTCAACGAAGTCACTCGAAAGCTGCGTCTACATTTATTTATGAGATAGCTGTAGGTTTCAAACGGTCAGGTTTAGAACCGTCATTCAGCAGTGTAAAAAAAAAAAAAGGTTTAGACCGTCGGAATTTTAATTTCCAACGAGAAGGATGGTATTATATTATTCAGTATATGTGCGGCGGCACCTTTGATTCACTTAACAGTTAACACGGTAGTGTAGGAGGGATAAGAGCTTCAGAAAAACGATGACGGCCATTTCAAACCTAGTTACTATGACTTTAACATGCTTACAGTAGAACTAAATAAATGAGGTTTTGGTTAATCATCATTTAAGGTTTACTAAAATGGGATGCAAACACTCTAATATGTCTAAGGTTATCGAATGATGAGAAATAAGAGAAGATTATTTATACTTGTAATTTTTTAATACGTATTATCCCAATAAGTTTTTTTTTAATTCCAAAATACATATTCTAACTTATCCGTCTCTGGTAAAGTTTAAAATTGCTCATGGGGTTCATCTAATACCGGATGGTTGTCGGTTATTTAAATTTTTAATAATTAACCTTACGGTGAAAAATCAATAGCTTTCTAATTACATATTATGCGCACCGCTAGAACCCTTATTGATTAATTTCCTTTTAATAACTTATAGGATTTGACCATAGAGACTTGTTCAAATAACGCACAAATTCTACACGGTTAAATATTTGTCTTTAATATTTGTACACAGATATGAATCACGGCCAAATAATATTTTTTTTTTGAAGATTGCTTTTTTTTGCCTTAAAAAGAAAATGAAAACAAACATAATTATAATAAAGTTATTCTGTTAAACAAATAATGTGATATTATCTTTTTAGAGAAACCCCATTATTGAATTGTAATAAGTATAAGTGCCTAATAAATACCTATAATTTAAAAATAATATCGTTTTGTTTTTTTTAGAAACAAATAACATAAATTCTAACAAAAAACATTTTTCCAGTGGTCTGTTTATACATATTACCAAATTAGGTTTATATGGTAGATAATTCAAAATTGACATTATAAATAATTATAATATATAAGTAACTACTTAGATTAGATTATTGCCACGTATGGTTATTAATTTAAACGGGCGTCGCATCGTTCTTCGCGCTTTAAAAAAAATAAAATCGTAACGCCCAAATACAAATATTAAATATTTAAATGTATAAATAATAATAATTAAATTGCACTTATTATACATGCGTATGTATAAACTACGAGAGAGTGCTTTTTCTCCTTTCTATGTAAAAATTGATAATGAAAAACAAACATTTTGTGTGAAAAAGGTAGCATCACATTGAATGGATACAAAAGTTTAAGTACAGTTCATTAGTAACGCGGGGTCGTTAGGGCAATACAGCTGGGGTCGCGTTTCGCCTATTATGGTAGGTGCCGCGCCGCCTCGTATCTTAATATTAAATTAAGACTTCGCGTTCAGGTGTCGTTTTGCCTTACGGCCACGTGATTAGGCTTAAGTAACGTCTTGCCGTTCGAGTGTAAATGATGATACCGTGTATGTATATATATATATGTTTATATGTTTGTTTTGCAGCCGGACAAAGAAGACAAACTGTTCGTGATCAAACCTATCCCGACGCTGAACGTTAAACCTGTGATAATATTTATAAACCCAAAGTCTGGCGGAAACCAGGGTGTAAAACTTCTACAGAAATTCCAATGGCATCTCAACCCTCGGCAGGTGTTCGACCTGAGCCGAGGTGGTCCTAGAATGGGTCTAGAACTGTACAAAAAGGTACCTAACCTCCGGGTGCTGGCTTGTGGCGGCGACGGGACCGTTGGCTGGGTTCTTTCCATTTTAGACCAAATAGCCAACGCCGTGTCGTTCCCGGTAGGAGTACTACCCCTGGGCACCGGTAATGACCTAGCCCGGGCGCTCGGTTGGGGCGGGGTGAGTAATCCGGTTATACCTCCCAACACAAATCTAACGTGTGATGCTCAAATTCCTCGTTACAGGGTTACATGGACGAACCCGTGTCGAAAATTCTAACGAATCTCGAAGAGAGCGACACGGTTCGATTGGACCGCTGGAATTTGGAAGTGGTGCCCAACGATACCGCTAAAACGGCTGATCACGCCGGAAAAGACAACTTACCGTTAAACGTGATGAACAATTATTTTTCCCTGGGCGTAGACGCTCAGATTGCACTGGAATTCCACGAGGCCAGAGGTCAGTATATTGTGATATTGTCCTAACACTGGCTTGATCTCGAATAAATACTGTTGACGTGGCTATATTAAATCTAGGCATACGAGTAGCGCTGTTAGGTCAAAACCATCCGTAAACGTCGGCATAATCGATTAGATCATCAATTACAACGTTGGCGTTAGGTGCTAAATTACCATGCCCCCGAACTTACTATCAGATGTCAAAGTCCTTTTTTTGTCCAAAAAAAAACGTACAACTTCACAACTAAAAATGTATTTTGAAAGGCAACATTCAATTTCATCGTTTAAATGCCCAACAGTTTTTAATGCACTAGGGTTTTATTGATTATAGACCTGCCTGGAATTTGGAAATTTTGTAAAACCCACTTAAATAGGAGTCATCATATCGTATTGTATAGTTATGAACATTACAACTAAATGTTATCTAGTTTTAAGGTTGAAATTTGCCAAGATAAACTGTAAGTACCTTTAAAATTCGAATTTTACCCATCCTAACCGGTTGAAAACCGGTAGATACATTTTCAAATTTATTTTTGAAGTTGGTATCTGAAATATCGGTATGAAGTTACGAGGCATCTTGTGTTTTATTATTTTTTGTTTAAAAACACACAAAATATAAATGTATAATGGGATATACAATTGTAGATTAACGAACGAGCATACGACTGATCGCAGGTCCCGTATTAAGCTCCTATCTGAAATTTGAAGTCTCAATTTCTGGTAATTGCATTTTCAAAAATCATCGTCTGGGCCTGTCTAATAGGCAATTGCTGATGCTATACACGCAGAAGATAGACCAGCCGGTGTGCACGTTATAGGATTAAGTACCATAGTTTTAATGAATTATATTGCCCCAGTTAGCTAAAGTCATTCTGAGAAACCTCAAATCCAAAACACCAATATGTTGAGGATTATTCAGGATTTATACGACTTCGGATTCGATCGAAAAAAAGTAATCTTTTATTTTTCTTAATTTCCGCTGATAGATTTATAACCGAAACACTTTTTATCGACACCGTTTAGCCCTCCACGTTTTTCAATCCCAATCTCTAGAATACGATATTTTAACTATTGTCGCTCTGCATTTATCCACGTCTTGGTATCTTTCTACTTGATTAATGTCACTCACATTCATACTCACCGTTTCATAGGTTAAACGATTCAATAGTCATTTTTTTTCACATAGTTTGCTATTACCGCCAGTTTACAATTGAAAACTGTTCCTTTTAATTTACATTATTTTCAATGAATAATAAAGGCTTCTTATTATTCCTCAAGTGTGAGATGCTTTAAAGTTAGACATTATTCTAGAAAAAACTCGAGCAACCTATAGTTATACATAAAAAAGAAAAGAATATTTAAAACCCTTAACCATAAAATAATACACTCGGCGTATACGTATTTCGGCAACAATGTTGTCATCTTCAGCGCTAACGACAGACTATCAGACAGATTGTGTCGTTAGCGCTGAAGCATGCTATTCCAATACAACACTCCCCAAAAATATATGCTCATTGGTAGCTACAACAATTTAAGATCATTGGTATAAAAAACACACAGTGACTTTTGTGATAACATAAAATATAACATAGATGGTTAAAATGTATACACTCGCGATTGATATTCTAATAACGATCTCAGGGTTTCATTGTCTCCTCTTAACGTGTCCTAGTCATTGAGTCATTTGTCATTTATAAAACCTAGTCCATGTCCATATCTTGTAGCTCTATATAAAATCTTCTAAGCCAAAAACCAGTGACTGGATCAACATCCTTAATTATTAAGATTGACTCTTGCGTTTAACAATTAAATAGCTATACACTAACTGTCTCGTGTCAACAGAGGCGAACCCGGAGAAGTTCAGCTCGAGAATGTACAACAAATTGTTCTATGGCGTTAGAGGCGGCATAGAACTGTTAGACCGCAAGTGGAAAGGTTTATCGGACCACGTGACTTTGGAATGCGATGGCAAAGACCTGACACAGCGCATAAAAGAACTCAAGGTACACGCCATATTGTTTTTGAACATTCCCAGCTACGGTGGCGGAACGCGGCCGTGGAACAAGTCAGCTGGCAACAATTCCACCGACGACGGGCTTATCGAGGTTATCGGATTAACGATTATGCAAATAGTAAGTTTTCCTATAGTCAACCATTTAATGCAAATATTTGGAAAACAAATTTTACAAACTTTGAAGGGATTATTCATTAACGCATTGCTTTAGCCGCACTATTGAGTTCAAATTATTAAGTACACATAATACCTATATAAACATCACAAATGCATTAAATATGTCTGATTTTGTTCAAACATGTTAAACTCTACTTAAATTTATTTTTTGTCACTCCGGGAACTTAAGTTTCAACCATCATTTTAGAATAAACTGTTAAACTTTTCCATGTTTGTTCTCAATTTAGAAAATTAACCCTGAACAACAAGTAAAAACATTTGTAAAACGTACAACATAATACTAAATTATATTTTATATCAATTACAAATACTGAATATTTTTTTTAAAACAACCAATAAATAACACTGTATACTTACACTAGTAATACACTTGAACACATATAAGCGTATTAGTATCCGTAGTTGTACAATATTATACTAAAGAAACACATCCAAAACAATACAACATTCAATATTGACTACCAAGAGAATGAAATTAATTCAACTATAACTTTTCAATTCTACTTATCTAATTTATATGCAGTCTGCTTATTTTCTGTAAGTTTTCTCAGCTTAATTTACACCTGAATGCAATACAAGTCTGTTTAAAATAGCTTTAAATGTATAAAAAAAGTTATTGCTTATTTAAATGTTAATACCTAGCTAGTTATACTTTTCAATTCGAATTTGAAAAACGTATACATAATTTGACATAATATTTCCTGGACTTGAGCCTACGTTGAATAATTTTGTATATATTGTATAATTATTCTAAAGATGTAGACGTTTAAGATATAAATCTGTAGTCCCGTAGGTATTAATTTGAGAGCTCTAATTATTTAGTGTTCGTACAAAATGTAATCATACACGGAACCAAAGAGTATAACTGTTAACAATAAATCACTATTTTTAGTACTGTAAAAATATTAATACATAATATATAGCATATAAATAACACGATACAAAAATAGTGAATGGTCTTTTAGGTATAATTTTAAAAAATGTTCGACCATGTAATGATATTTTGTTGTTAAAAAACTTGATTATTATTTTTTTTTTTAACTTGCACTTTTTACTTTTCCTTCATTAGTTATCTTAGTTGAAGACGTGATGAGTTTGATGTGTTATTAAATTATTTACCGTTTATACGTTTTTTTTTTAGACAAGATTGCAAACCGGAGGCACAGGGACGCCGTTGTGCCAGTGTAAAACCGCACGAATCACCACTGACATATCTGTTCCCATGCAAGTGGACGGCGAGGCTTGTCGTTTGAAGCCATCAGTGATAACCTTAGGGTTTTTCAATCAAGCAACGATGATGGCCAAACGACGAAAAGGCAGACAAACGCCTACTCGGTAACTACAGAGTTTCAATTATAGTCCGGTTCGCTGGAGAAAAAACGATATGGCAGACGGCCTTTTTTTACGGCTCATAAGAACCAGATATCATATCGAACTTCGACCTCTCAATAAATAATATATGAATATTTGAATTATTATATATATTATAAAATACAAGCTATTAAAGATTGAATATTTTAGTACAAATCCGAAAATTAGCTCTAAAATAAATAGCCAGCGGGTGTTTTGTGTGCGAAAAAAAGAAACCATTTTTGAGATGAAAATAAAACGGAAGGCTTATACGTTGTATTGTCGTATGAGCTTTCTCGGCCAATCTAATATCTATGTATTGCATTGTTTACAGGGAGGCTACTATAGAGAAGCACAAAGTAGCTGTCCAAAGACTGAAACTCCAAGATTACGAACAACACCATTGCGATAAAGAAGTGTTGGTCCATTCATGTGAGTGTTTCAATCGAAAACAAATATTATTGGGAATATTGGTTTCTTTTTTCACGCTTGTTTTGTTTTTATTCATTTCGACAAAAATAACAATTTACTTTGCCCGGCATCGCGGATTTACCTTCGTGTCGCAGAAAATACCTGTTTATTTTACTTTTGCCAATCTTTATGTTTCAGCCATCAACTTAGGAGAGATCGAAGTAGAGCCAATAGCTGACCTAGAAACCGTTCGGAATTTGATCGAGAAATTGGAAATAAACAGCGCACCGTGCAAGGACCATAGCGGTAACATGTTGCCGAAGTTATCGTCAGACTGGTGCTTCGTGGACTGTACGTATCTATTTCTCATTATTATTTCACTAATGGATGCTCGAGCAAAAATGCCTTCAACATTTCTGTCTCGGGTTGAAATAGTTCTTATAAGTTATAAAAAATAGGGCATGATGTCTGAGGTTGTATCGTGTGGCCACCAAAAATACAAGTTTGTTTGCATTTTAAACTTATAACAAAAAATATAAAATTTTATAATTCTTACCATCCGACCCGGGCCCATGTATTGCAATCATTGAGTTAATAAGATTCAATACAGTTCAATGCATCTTTATTCAAGGCATAGTGCAAAGACGCAAGTGGAGATAACTCCTTATCTTATAACTATTCAATGTCTCACGAGTTGTATGCGGTAGTTAGACAATATAAAATTAAATAATTGTAGCTCTAAAGCAGAGTTAAAAAAGTATTGGTCTTCCATTGATGTTTATTTTTGCTGCCTAGACGTCCTGTAACTTTTTAACCGGGGAATGGACCGATTTATTTGTATCCCAACAAAAAGCGCAGTCATTCGATTGAAAACATGTAGAAATAAAACACAAATTGATTGAAAACAATCTTAAAAGGTATTATGCAAGATGGAAACTAATTAAATATTCTAGTTTAAAATTTAAATTAAAATTTTCTCTCTTCTATTATCATGCCTAATCTGAAATTTACAAATTTTTGAATAGTATTCAACATTTGAAAAATAATTTACTCAAATACCTGATAACACTTTCAACAAACTCCGATCACCTTTAATATTCAGTGGCCCCTTACCTCTAAAAGAAATGCTACCGTGTAAAGTGAACACTAATTCAACCTGACCAAACCTAACATCTTAACCTTTGTTCCAGTTCTATTGTGGAGGACATTCTCGTTTTGGGTGATTTTGTCCTTTGCTCGTTTGTCGACTTGCCGACGATTATAGGAAAATAAGGTGTCGACTGTATTTTACCTGTTTTGTTTTACGGTCTGTTAAGGTTGCACAGCCGAGCGGTTTTTCCGAATCGATCGAGCCCAAGAGAGTCTGCACTATCTAATAGATATCACACACGACCAACTGTTTGTGTTAGACGATCCACACAAATCTCCGGCCGTGGAAGAAGAAGTCACCGCGGTTGTGCTGAAAGCCAAAGGCTGCGGCGAGGACTTGGAAACGGAAACACCGGAAGCGAGGTCAGTAAAACAATATTAAAATAATATATATATTATAATTACCAACGCCACAATAGGCACGTGCGCAATACGTCAAGGTAGGTGAGAGTGTGTTTTTTAAGGGTTTTATTTTAACATTATTTTTATCGATGTTTGAAGCGTGCGGGTAAAGTCGGAGGTGAAACGGTTGGAAAGCATCAAAGGTCAGTCGTCCGTGTCGTTTCGGCGTAATGACGATCGAACAACGACGGATCCTCATTCTTTAAAAGCTTGGTAGGTGTTATGATCTATACTTAAACGCATAGCCATTCTTGGCGGTACTTTATTACGTTTTTAACTTATTTTGATATCGAATACCGCTGTGGACTTTAGGGGAGAAAGACGATAAAAAATGCAAACACAAAAAAAAACGCTTTTATATTCTTTATGGAAATTTTTATAATATTTACCTGTTTATAATAATCATAAATATTTCGTGTTGGTTTTATGTATTTAATTTTCGGATATGAACGTTGTTGAGTTAAATATCCTATTATGGATATTTTTAGAGCATAATTTAGAGGTTCCATCTGGGGAGAGCGAACATTATACTGTTGAAAATTGTACATCCTGATCTAATTTTGGCAAATAGGGTGAAATTAAATAACAGTAAAAACCCTAGTGGGAAAATTGTCTGTTTAGATTTCTCTCCTCCTCATCTCCATAAAAAAACTGAAATGTCACCCCAGGTTATAATCAAAGTACTTCCAAGAATGTATAATAATTTCACCGTACTTAACGCTTGGGATATATACTATCATATTATATATACTATCATAACTAACATTTTCTTTTTTATTATAATAAAATCTGCATGCATCTAATAGTGACATATACAACCGCTTATTCAATGTACACGCGAACGAAGACCAGTAAGTACATAGTGTATAATTATTTATTTATACATGGGTGGATATATATATATATAGATAATAAGCCATACTTATTGTTTCCTCATTCCCTCTTAGAAAAATAACCGATTTAATTAAAGAATACCGACTATTCTAGACACCATAGACGAATCGATTAATGCTATAAGTCCGCATATTAACAAAAATTAGGTTATTGCGGTTTCTTGTTAACATTACTTCATAAAGCCTCGACGTATGATGAAACGACTTCAGTAACTTTACTATTACTGATGAAAAAAACATAAATATTGAATTCGTGAATGTTAATAAATGTATGTTTACGAATGATTTGTTTTTAAGTTGTGGACTGAGACCCTTTTAGCATCAATTGATTCAGTTATTGTTAGAAGAGTCTGAGCTATGAGCAAATTTATAATCATCCTCTTCGTCAAAAAACTTAAGATCCGCCGCTGTTATGAAACAAACGAAAAATTCTAACACTATTGTGCTATATTATCCAAAGAGACAAAAGGGTTCCGTTTAATTATTTTTTTTCTTAAAGAAATCATTAATTTGTTTATTTAAATAAAAATAAAATCATTTTGCAAATTATACTAATATTTTGTAGTTCTCTGGTTATTGATTATTTTCGAAACTATTATTACATTAAAAAAAAAACCATATTCTTGTTTCTGTTTCAGTCAATACAGTCGAATACGAACATCCGAAAAAATCATTGACGCCGCCAAAACAGGGAATTTAAATATGGTAATTATATGTCTAAAGCAAATGCAACGCTCATCTATTAATTATCTAATTTTCTCTCGTAATCATCTCGTATAATATCTTTTTATTATCTTTTATTAATTAACTATACTTTATAAAGGTTATATAATGGGTGCCCAAATGGTATTTTACAGTGTAATCCTTTATCGAGTGCATCAAAAGTAGACAATAACTTATAAATTCCTAACAGTCCAAAAATATATTTGCTATTAAAATTATTATTACTATTGTTTTTTTTTTAAATGTTTAAATTATGTAAAATAAAGCGCTATCAATAAAACTTTCAAAAAATTAAATAGCAACACATTTTAAATGCACGAATTCCATTATTTTATTATTTTTATATCAACATCTTATTATAATATCATTATAAGATTTTATAGAAGAATTTTATTAGTAATTTTTTTAAACATTTTTTATCAAAAAACAATTAACCGTCCCAAACAACAAACAAGTTTTAATGTTTTCAAAATTTCGTCAAATATGTTTTTAATATTTTTCAAATATGTTTTAAGATGTTGTAAAAACGTATTTAAAGGATATTTTGTAAATAACAATTTCGAATAATTTCGAGCATAAAACATACTTAAAACATGTTTGACAATCTTCATTGTCCTCCGAATGGCTATTTACGTTTTCCGCGATTTTTTGTTCCATCACTAATTGTATTTTCATTTTTTGCCGACCTAATACTGCGTTTGTGTTTGTTTTATAGCTGAGAAATCTGTTCGAAATGGGTTACTCGCTTATGTCCACCGACAAGGACGGACAGACGGCTCTTCACGTGGCCAGTCAACGCGGCGATTCCAATCTAGTCCGGTACATACTGGCCAACGCACCGTCAAACATAGTGTCGGTCAAAGACAATCAAGAGTGAGTATAATATTTCAATTTAGATACACTCGGTGACTTGATGGCCCAGCCAGACCACACTCCTCGCCAGTGCAAATTTAATTAAACCCGTACATGTGTCAGGGGCCAAACTGCATTGCACGTGGCAGTGAAAAACGGCGAGAGGAAGATTTGCTATCTTCTGGTGTCGGCCGGCGCTCCACTTCAGGCCGCCGACAAGTACGACAGGACGGCCCAGCAAATAGCTGAGCAGATCAAGGATTACGATCTCGCCAAGTACTTAGAATGTAAGTGGACACCTAAGTATAGCTTTACGCCCGCTCAGCAATATATTCGACTAGGTCTGCCATTGTGTACCTACTAGGTCTAATAAAAAAAATAATTTGATTTGAGTTCATTGCCAGCTCGCGGCCGAATTAAGAAAGAGGGCCAGAGCCTCGCCTGTAAACCTCAGTTCCGGGGCTTCGCGCGCTCTTAATCCGGCTTTAACCAGCTCTGATAATTAAAAAAAAAATTATAGTGTTTAAAAAATGCATAAGTCACTCTCAATATTATGTATAATAATAAGAAAATGTATTTATATTTAAAAAAATTTTGTAAATAGCCACACATGAGCATAAAAACTTGATTTTTCACTTGCTATAAGTTATTACTAAACATAGGCCTTACGTTAGCTCAAATTATCTTTGACAGAATATTTACCGATAACAATAATTGTTACCATAATATTATCCTAGAACTCTTGTTGGGCTCTGTTCAACTTCTATTCCTTATTTTTGTTTATTTCTTTTTTTAGACAGAAGTCAACAAGTCGATTTCGATTAAGAACTAATGAAAGGCTCAAGAAGACGCGCGGCTCGTGCCGGTATACATTTCTCTATCGCTTAACAATAAAAGCATCGTAGTAAACGATTACCTTATTGTGTAATTAATCCGTAAATCTACTTGAGCCCTTCAGTAGTACTTGGTGTGTGTTCACCTACCTCTTAATACACGAGAATGCTAAAAACAAAATGTTGTAGTGTATGTCTACGTATTATTATTTTAGTATACTTATATATTACATGCATATTTCTTTTATATAAACTCCTCTCCTTAAAGTTGTACACAAATGTTCCAATACAAACAGTGACGTAGAACTGATCTGTTGAATTAGTTAGAACTATTTTATACATAGATATCTAATAAGTATAGGTAACAACCCTGTAGCTAATTTCCAGTCTGGCGAATAGGTCCAATCCTATTTCTATATTTATTATTTATACGGTGTTTATTTGTTTAAAAACAACACCGAATTCAATATTCATCCATAATAATACTATTTGTAAACGGACGTATCCCGGTAATTTATGTAGATTTATGATCGTGTTCGTCTAAAGAGTATTTCTCATAACTTTGGAAGTACAATCTCTCTCTCTCTCTCACTCTTAAACAAAGAATAATTTTCCTCGCGCTCCAAATTGAATAGGAAATTGAAATAATTTCAATAGGATTATGGTTCTGAATTTTTAAATGGTAGCTATGACGCCACCATATCATATTATTATTGACTACCAATTTGTCTATTATGCGACGGTGGAGTCGTTTCTATACCTGCCTGACCCCCTTTGACGTTCAATAACGCCACCACCAAGTCAAATATAATCAATATAACATTGTATTCAAACAATTCAAAATCCACCTGTAGCACATAAATCGCCTGAAAAACAGCAATTTGCATTGTTAAGCAAACATTTTAATCTGTATTGAGTCAACCTTTCCCTTTAAACTGAAGTACAACTAAATCCTAAAAAAATATAAACGCTTTTTGTCTGATTATTAAATTGAAAAGTAGAAATATTAGGTGAATTTTTTCTTTATCAAAAAATTATGAAACAATAAATAATCTGAATAAAAATCGCATTTTATACAAATAAAAATTTAAAAAATCGTTTTTGCTTATAATCGTTGAAATAAAGTATGAGAGATGAATTATTTAGAAAATCATAAAGTTTTTAATTTTTCTTTTTAATTATGTAGGTAAATGAAAAGGTTTTGACTTTTGTGAATAATTTCGAAAGTAAGATTGCCCGACTAAATCTAACTTCATCACCGTTTTTAACATCACCAAAAATAGAAAAATCATTTATGATCATAACTGTATTAAAGTGGAACGTCTTGCTCAAATAGGGAAATAATAAGATTTAAATACAAATGCCAAAAATTTAGATTATTTTATTATTTTTTTACCCAACAAACATTCTTCAAAACGGTATAGAATTGGCTATGACAGGCCGCCTTTTGTTTCATATTCATTACTAAACTATTGAAACTCTGTGCTTACGTCATTGTAAAACCCAATAGAATGTCAGCTTGGCATCAAAGCTAAAATATAAAACACCCTACTACAAAATAAAATATGAAAAGTCCGTGAGAAAAGCTTTTTAAATAATATATACAACGTTGGTGAATAGCCTTGATTTAATACTCTATTTTTTTAAATATTAATTAGGCCTATAACTGAACAATAAATTCACCTAGTATCAACGTTAAAATGTTCATTAGAGAGACTATGATAAAATAAAAAAATCTAAATTATGTGATTTTGTTATATTGTACAATTTTTTTTTATTCAACCATACGCCCACTTGAACTTATACTTATCTTTCAGATATCCACGAGTATAGTGAAAATATTCCAATCGAAAAACATGAAATTGTTTGACCGAATTCTTTAGACATTGTTACTCGGGAGGTAGACAACACTATTTTTCTGATTCTAACGATTTGGCTTTTTACTGTTCAGAATTTCCATATTGTACTGATCAATACCAGTACATTGATATCTCAATAGATATCATCATTTTCTCAAATTTCTTATTTGTATTCCGGTTTTCATTTTTTTCTCTCGGAATAGTAATAATTTTTTCTTTGTCATCGATAACAGTTTTTATGTCAAACTTTTAACGATCCGGCAAACGCGTTCTATCATTTTTTTGCATAATATAATATTATATATTACAGTTATAGCTTTGGGTTTTGCATAAGAGACCCAGTTTTAAGTCTTACATTTATCACTTAATAAACTAATATTGCGCAGAAAAACATCCCTCTATATATTCGCGTTTAATGTAGTTTGAATAACAGCTTATGGCTATGGTCTCTTAGTGTGCCTAAAAAGTATGTATAAAAAAATAATGTATGGTAGAAGTGGCGTCGGTCATTTTCACAAGATTACTTATTTGGGTTTAAGTTTAAAAATAAACTGTTATTTTTTTGTCGGTTACCTATCGTTCAGTTAAATCGAGAAGATCTAATTTCTTTTTTAAAGGGCTTTTTTTTTTTGCTTCAAAGTGCCAATATAAACATATTACAATTGGTTTAATTCCTTGCAAATAAGTTTCTAATTTTTTTTTTTTTTCAGTCATTATTAACACAATTTTCCACTGTTTGCACCGTATAATTTCGACGATACTTAAACATGCAAAACTGTCTGCTTGAGTGCGGCATAATAGCTCTTTGTATACCGAATACAAAAAGTCAACTCAACAAAACACACAGTAAAATAACACATTCGCATTGTGAAGATAAAACGGCCATTTCGCACAATAGATAGTTATTTCTCCCACCCCTCCTCCATTGTTTTATGTATACAATTCTTAATTTACCCAGGTATTGTCTGCTCGACGACACCCTTTGTCAGTTTACCTTAATGGCACCCCTTCCCATACGCTTATCATGATTTAGAATAATCTCACACCTCCCTTTATAGTAAGCATTTTACTTGTCACTCAACGACTGTTCTGTACAATGATTGGCTCATCATGTGCGTGATACTAAACGTGACCTATATCATACCTCGATCAGGATGCATCTTACAAACAGTAGTAACACAATGTATACCACGTGATGAGCCTCTTAACTCTCACCTTAATCGACCGCATGGTATTTAACGTTTTGTCGACAACTGTCTATTTATTGCAAAGCCATGATTCGTTTGTATAACATAAGATTACACCATTACTAATGCCGTTTTATAACCAATTTAATCTAACACAGGACTCAAAGCAATTTAATAAGACCACCAATACCTAGAGCACCAAATTTCTTAATATGTCCCTGTCCCTGATTTAATTATCCGTATTTAGATACATTCTGTGTCTGCAATATAATTTGTTTAGTTTATAAATTGTCCAACCTTCATATGAATAAATTAAAGCTGTAACAAAAAAAAACCCGTTCTAAACCAAATAATGCATTGTGAGAGCCCGAGGGTGATTATCCTACATTAAATTCTGCTAACTCGATGTTATTTTTTACTTTGCATGCAAAATTTGATAATAATCGCAAAATCAGTAGGTCTGTGAAAGTCGTGTACATAATATAATAAAGCGAACTTGACGTTGTCCTGGTTTATAATTATTAATATCGACAATGGGTCCCCCTAAAAGCTTCCGTAGAGTGCTTTGTCGTAATATAATTAGTCGACGTGTCCATTATTTTGAATTAAATATAAAATAGATTTTAGTTTTACGTATTAAAACCCCATGTATGAGGTTTTATGTACAAAAAGCTATGGTGACCGATCGGCGTCAATTACTTTTGTACACACAGACACAGCCGGTATACCGAAGGGAGATAGGGAATAAAAAAAAAAAATACTCTGTGTATTCGATTCTCTTAATCTCGGTGCCTCAAGCCAAAAAGATTCCGTGGAAATGAATCGAAAAGGACAATGCTAACAATCAATTCCTGCTCGTTTAACCGTATAGTATAAATCCGGGTAATTCTATCTTGTGTGTACAGAGCGGCATTCGATACATATACATACACACACACAGGATCATAAAACTTACTCGAATGTCTTAACAGAATTAGCCGCGTATGACGCACATGAAAGCGGTGAGATTGATTCAGAAGTATTTATCTTATTGGCACAACTTTAGTTTAAAGACTTAGCAAAGATTGAGTTTCACATCTTATTTACATAATATTGTTTGTATTACTGATCCGAGTGTCATCTTGTTTCAGGCCAAGAACAGTTCGTGTCGTTTGCGGACCAAACCGAGACGTCTGTTTGATTTTGTCAACAACAACCACCGTCGGCGAAAAGCTCCAGACCGACGACTTACATTTTTTTATCGTTCAACATACATTATTATTATTCGTATTCTTATTACTATTACTTAATTATTATTATTGTTATCGATATCATTCGTAATTATGAATATTATTATTGTCATTTAAGTCTTCAGAGATGGTAACAAAAAAAAAAAAAAACACACTACCAGTCAATTAGTCTTTGCCGCGTCCGTTTCCATTCGATATTTTTATGTATACGTTTATACTTTTACTGGTATTTTATCATTGGCTCGTCGCTGTTGCTTTGGGTGTAAGTTACTTAGTGCCACCGATTCGTGACCACAAGTTTTCTAAAAGTCATCATCTCCAATTATAATTGTGATTCATAAAAAACGTGAAACCTTTCGTATCGAAAGACCAAGCTAGAAATTATATATCCTCGGTTCCCTCACTCTCTAGAAACTCAAACGCAAGGGGACAAGCGGTCTGAGAAATCGACCCGGGTCGTCACCGGAGGAACATGACAATTCTCACAGGATCGTACACACAATAATAAAATCATATATTGGGCAATATCCTTAAGGGGAAAGCACGTGCCGAAAACCCGAACAAACACAAATACAGTATTTTGAAAAAACATTATACGTTTAATATTAAAAAAAAGTGTAGACTTATTTTGAAATAAACCCCATCGCTATAGCCAGCGTACCCGTAGTGTAACCGCGTACACGTTTAATCGCAATCAAATGATATGTAGCGGTAATATTGTTATTAGTTCATTACTTTTCGGTTTCTTTACAAATAAACGATTCGTTTGATGACTTGTGTGCGGGGAAACGAGTGTTACAAGTAGTACTAATAAGTCCATAGAAAGTAACGACGTTCAGGAGCAAGCGGTGCACGAGTTCTTAGGAGATTCGGAAACAAAAAAGACGGAAAATATTTAGTATATAACCATTGCCCGTTTTTTCGATTATGGGATACACAACGCGAATTCGTTTCCCCTATAAAATACACCGTAGGATCTGTCAAACAACTTCCCCGTAAGTTATATTTCCGGTACACGTTCCAGAAATACAAAATAATAATAATAACACAACGACGATGCCGCACCTGAACCGTTTTTAATTAAAAACTTCTCAGTCGATTCCACTCTCGAAACCTTATTCAATTATAATATTCAAACACATTATGCCCGACAGAAACATCACCAATACCGCACCCGCAGTCTCGTATCTGAATGGTCATTAAATTTTTTTCTTTCCAAAATTCCTTACTGCACGTAAGACCTCTACGCCATTATTAATTGTCTACATACACCCTTGCCACAGCAGCCGGCAAAACGTTTACGGCGGTGGAAAACATATCATTTATAAAAATAATAATAATAATAATAAACATAAAACTGCAATAATTACGTCCATAAGAAAAAATATAATAAAAATACAAAAACATTCGACGATTTGGATTATTAATTTTAACTGGACGGAACAAAATAAATACTAAAACGTTTTTTTTTTTATCGTCAAACAATTCGATTACATACATTCGTTGAATTTTTACTTGGTAGATGCCAATGGATGGAGATTTTGTTTTTTAACTTTCCTTCCCCGTAGGGGTTCAATCCGAATTTTTAGCGTTCAATAGTTGACAACCAACTAATATCTGCTTAAAAAGTGAGCATCGATGTCGACGTACTTTTGGCAACATTTTGGAAAGGCGGACGCGGTTGTCCAGTTAAATAATATTGTCAACGAGCTGAGATTTTAATTCACAGGAGGAAATGCTCTAATCTTTTAGGCTAAGACCCCAATGGTAGGTACTCGCCGGTAAAACGCGTAAGATTAAGGTGTAACGTGCCAATCAAATTTTATATAATAAATTCTACAAACTGTACATTCATAAGATTTTAGGTTGATTAATTTAACGTAAGACACTAATTTTCTCTTAAAATAGTTGACATTTTATAGATTTTTTTTTTTTTTTAAAGATTTTTGTTTTTATTTTACAATAGTATTAAAATTAGTAGTTTAATACTATTGTATTAGTAGACAAACCTCTCTTAATATTCTCTAAAGTGTTATGAACTTTTAAAACTTAAATGGTAACGTATATATTAATTAACTTTTTTAATAAAAAGAAGTTTGCTAAAATTTGCGATTAGTCGATAACTAGTTTTGAATACTTGTTTTCAAAGTTATTGAAGTTTAAAATAAAATAATTAAAAACTAGTTAACAGACCAATCAAAATTATTCTTAAATTAAAAAAGATAATAATATACGTTACTATTCAAGTTTCGTTAAGTTTCAAAAGTTGATAAAAGACTAGATTTTATCAAAAAATAAAAATTTTAATATTGTTTAAAACAGTAAAATAGCATTAACTAAAATATTATCAAAAAAAGAAAATTACAAAATAGTAGTTTATTATTTTCAGAATAAATGAGTGTTTTATGTTAAATGTATCACCTGTATAGGAATAATTTTTATTAAATATTTTCTGTGATTAGTAGTTAATTATATTTTTAAGAAAAAAACAATATTCGAAACTCTATACTTGTTGACTAATACTTTACTGATTATTTTATAGTTTTGACCAATATTATTCACTTATTAGGTTTTTTTTTTAGGTAAAATGATGATTAATATATAGTTGAGTTTACTAACGATCCAAGTATATTTCGACCATCATGGCTTAGCATAATCGTTTTAGCAATACTAATTAGGCGATGGATCTTTGGGACCGGGCGAACTGCACACTAGTGTTTAGATCTATCATAGATACATAGGCGCTAGGCCATATAGACTTTTGGGGGTTTCGATAATATACAATTTTATTATTTTGCAAACTTTTAATATTAGCCGTTAAATTATTTTTTAAAAACCGCAATAGACTTATTTTTAATGGTATAGAGATAGATAACAATACGAGAGAACTCAGGAAAGACTAAGTTTTCTGGCACACTTAGATAATTATCGGTACTTTGGAAACAATTATTTTAATGCACGTTACCATAATATTATATTTTATATATATATACACACTTAGTGTTATTACTTATTACATTTAATTAAACAACAATTATTAATATTTCTTATGAAATGTTCGATACATTATTATACGACTAAACGCAAACGATAATATTATTATTATACCAACATTATTTCTGAATTTTTTAAATTATTATATATAATTTTTAATTGTTATTATTAAATTTAATACTATTGAACTACATAATTATCTTACTAGAAATTTTATAAATTGAAGTCTTGATTACGATTCTATCATCGTAAACTTATAACACCAATACCACTGTTGTTACTATATTTTATTGAGCTATTACTGTGATTTAATTTTGTTCTTAAACATCAGTCAGAATTGACATCTTCTATATACAACTTGTGATTGTATATATTATTATTTGTTTTAGGCACTATTCCTTACGAATCCTAAATTTTTAATATTATCATGTTTATTAATATCTGTTTATTGTTACTTGGTAGCTTGTGGTACCAATTTTGTTATTCTTTCGGTTTATATAATACCTATTATTATACATAAACATGTATTCTGTGTCATTGTTGTTGTACGACAATCAAATGTTTTAATTTATAAAAAACGATTAGTATATATATTTTTGAATTTATATTTATTCGTATGTATTATGTTTAATATTCATAAAACTGTTATTGGAGTGAGTGGAAAATATTAGACGACTACCATTTTTAATAGTTTTACATAATTTTGTGTTTTACATCTTGTTTCAGATCTAATTCCTCGTTAATCGTTTAACTATCAAAGATAGTGTAGTTCAAATCTTTGTTTATTTTCTAACCAAACTGTAAAATTAGAAATTATGATTTATGTTTTTAAATGATACACATGTAAAGTGTTTTTATTTTTTGTGTCTGGTTCTACGATATCTTTTAAACAGATGGACCGATTTCTTCACGAAGCGAGTCTTTAAAAAGTACTTCATAAAGTCAAAAATCGAAAATGTAACAAAAATAAACCCAATAATGCACACATTTCTCAACCGCAAATTATGAAACAATTTAACTATTTTGAAAAACGGTCGAATTATGTTTCAAACTTGTGTGAGATATTCTATACTACCAACATACAATGAAAACACAGAAAATTGTCTTTTGCCCCAGTAGTGATTAATGCGTTTCTTTATTTCGCTTGTTTAGGTGTACTTTTTGGACCTTAGGTCCGACTATTGGACGGGCATAACAAATTACAGCATAATAAACAATATTTTCAAAAATTGTAGTCAAAATGTTTTTTATGTTAAGGAAAATCCTAAAAACCCAATTACGAATACAATAATACTGTCATTATACCTGTTAAATTTTAATCGAGACACTGTATTTCGGGGAAAACGACGTTCAATCATGAAAGACTTATACTAAGATGACTATGAAAGCTCATATCATTCCGTTTCTAGTTAATTAAATGGAAAAACATGATGTTTGTTTTAAAATTTTTAAAATTTGTTTTCAAAATATCGTTGGATACATAATGATACCTGATAATATTCTGTATGTATGTTTTTTTGTTATAAAATATATTTTTTAGTAAATTCTGTAGACAATGGTATTTGATCATAAACCATAATACCTGTAGGTACCTTAAATAAGTATGGGTGGATTAAAATATGATAGAATAAAAAATAATTATGAATAAATCCCCTATTATATTATAAAATGCAGCCAATATCCGATAACCAGCTGGTCATCAAAACAAAAGTGGAAAACCGACAACCAACAATAGTTTCCCTCGTGTTCAACCACATTGCTTTTGAATTTCAACGAATGTGCACAATTTTTACCTGCACTAAAGTATTTAGTACCGTCCCAAGTGGTACTACTAAAAAATGTACAAAAAAATAACTTGTCTGTTGCTACAAGAATCGCCGTACAACTGAACTGCTGTTGGAGACCTGTGATCTCTCCTACCCCTATAATATGCTCTGTTCGGTCTATACCCCAACACCGCTGTGCTGGCTTTTTTTTTATTACATGAGTAGCAATTTACTATTGATTTATCGCAAATGAAATGTTACCTCTTTAATGAGCAAAACAAGGAACAGATAAATATAAACATACATAATAGTTGTTTTTTTATGATAAAATAATATATGTTTTATTAAACTAAATACAATATATAAAAAAGGAATTATATTATAAATCACAAACTATGACAGTTCTTAGTTTGTGACAAGAACAATCATCAAAATGACTTTATACACACGATTACTAAAAACAAAAATTATATACTACCATATTAACATTATAAAGTAGATAAGGTATTTAAAGAAAAATAATATCAATTATTAAATATTATCCTTTTATAAAATTTATATTTTGTATTTATGTATTTATCATCTTAAATATATATTATACAATTATAATACATATAATATCTAATAATAATATATATATATATATATATATATATATATATATATATATATTTGTGTTTGTTATTCACACATTAACATTTAATTAACAAAACAAATATTTGAACCTAAAATGTCTGTTTTTACAATTTACATATCTAAATATGTAGAGGTATATCAATCAAAATGTGTATCCTCGTCCAATAGAAAAATAAAATATAATTTACCACAGAAAATTAATATATTACTCATAACCTATTATGTATTAGCACAAAGTTAAAAAAAATAATGATAAAATAAAAAAATTTAATGAACCATTGTTACAAGTTTATATACCATTATTCATTTTTAATAACCCTTCAATATTACCTTTGAGAAGAAGCAATTCGTGTTTGGTCTGTTCGTCGAAAGATATATCCATTGTAGCACCAGCTCTGGGCAATATCGAGAGTACCTAAAAATATAAGTTAATATGGGTTAATAAAAATTATTTGAATTCAGGACAAAGAATAACTACTTACGTTTCCATTTGCCAATGGTACGCTGACTGTAGCCATATCGTCTCTAGAAACGGATGATACCATTAAAGGACTGCCGGTCATTGAAAGAGCTACTTCACCTTGATTTGGACGCCTCATCATGGATATAGGCTCGTTCATATTTACTTTAGGTGTAACTGTTGCTGAAGCTGGCATCGGTGGTCGATTCATTGGCGTCTAAAATTAAATAAAAATGACAATATTCTGAAGATTCTTCTTTGAATAAATTATTTTATTTAACAATCTTTCAATTATTATTCTTTACAGTGTTCATTGCTCCGTAATAAATTACACAAGTAAAGATAATATTATCGTATTTTTAATTTTAAAGAGGTGCGGTTATCAAGTTTAAGTTGTCTGGTAAAATTTTAAAAATATAACAAAAACTAAGTACAACTATTTTTAAGAACAATCTCACATGTAGGTTAAAATTTAATGTTGGGAAATCACTTAACTTAATACAATTTTTTTTTTAATCATTAACGCAAAATAAAATTTGAAAACCATGATTTTAATTTTGTTAGTTTTATTAACAACTACACATTTAAATATTGACTTTGTACTATTTTAAAATGCTTATTTCATACATACATTTCTAATTTACCTTTACCTTCTATAGTTGTAAAATCATAATTTATATTGTTGATTAAGTTAAATTTAAGTGTTTATAGAGAAAATTACTTTAATAAAATAAATAGAAATTATTTTTATTATTACCTTAAACTTGGGTTCATTGTTTTTTTCAGATAGCGGCGGTCTTTCTTCACTTTGCGTTTTACTACGGTTTTTGGTTACTGTAGCGGTAGAGCTTGTTTGTTTAGATCTACCGGCAGATGCTGAAATAACAATTACATATTATATAATGTCAAGTGAATTATTAAAATTCAATTTTAACTTTATCGCAATGGATAAACATTTATTTGTACACATATTATGGGGGCACATTTAAAAACAATTTTTTTGTATATTAATTTTTTGAGTGCTCTTAAATATATACACGTTCTTTCCTTTCGAACCTTCTACTCTGTTCAGTGTCAACACATGCAAAATTTATTTTATGTGTATTTTCCAAATGTATTATTTATATTTTATCTACTACATAACATAACATATGTAATACATATATTATAACAAACAGAGGCTAATAATTGATAATTGTTGTTAATTAATAATTTAATAATTTGTTTATACTTGTCCTCACCATTTTTTAAAAAAAACCTAAAAGGCGCTTAAAAATTTTTAACAATTATATAAACAAAACAAAATTAATTTTTTTATAATGCTTTTTTTTTTGCTCTTAGCTTTAGAAATTCAACTTAATATGTTATTGTGTGAAAAGAAACAAAAAAACACTTTTTTAATTCGTTATTAAAAAAAAATACTTACCTAAAGAATACAAAAATAAAACTTAAGTATATTATTTAAATCTATCTTCTTACCACTTTTTTTTCTAGTGGTTCCACCATTAGCAGCAGATTTGGTAACTGGTCTAGCGAGACGTTCGGATCCTTTAGCAGATTTGACTGCACTATTTTCAAGAAGCTATTAAAATAGAAAAAAAACTAATATATATGAACTTAAAATATTATTTTATGTTTTAAATCTTTCTTATACGACTACTTACATAATCTTGGAGGTTTTGTTTTAATAATTTGTCGCCTAAATTCATTTTTATCATTAAAAATGCATTTTCTATTGCGTTCCTTGAATTTTCAAAAGCATCATAGAAGTTGTCTTCGATATTTCGTTCTAAAACATTATAATTCATGAGTATTAAATAAACTTGACTGAACTGAACTAAATATTCATCATATAAAAATATCAAACCATCGCTTAAAATTTGTATTGAAGTGTTTAATAAAAAATTAAATGCCGATTGTTTAATTTTATTTTCATTAAATTTGTTGAGTTGTAGTAAAAATAAAGACAAAAGAAACAGAAAATGTTATTAACCCAGTAAGAATTCTTAGTTCAGACCTCGAATTTAGATTTAAAAAAAAAAGAAAATAATTTAATTAATTGGGTGAATTAAACAAATGCAATACAACATATTTTCATAATAATATTAAATTTTATAGGTATCATTTAGGTACATACTTTCGGATTCAAACTCTTCCAAGAGCTGTTTTATATTTTTTGTTTGATTATCAACAGTCATATTTACAGTCATATTATCCTCATCAGACGACGCTCGCTTGACTGTTCTTCTCTTTGTTCGTGGCATTTTGATTTTTTAATAATCTGAACACATTGAATTAATCAAATTTTAATAATTTTGAAATATAACATATATTTTAGTAAATAATAGTAATAGGTAATTAAAACCATTTAGACAAGGTTACCTGTAATAAAAACGTAAATTGAAAAATAAAATGTTCAACAACTGTTAAAAAAATGAATTGAAGAAGCTTTAACACCGATAGTGTTAACACTTAGTATAATAATCAAATAACTAATTATTATTAATTAAAAATTGGAAATTCTTTATTATTCGTAATCACCGCCGAAAACGTGTTGCTTTAAACGCAAATTTTCAAATGGAGCCCTCGCTAGCGCCATCTGTTATACACATAACAAAGCTGGAATTGGAATGACCGTTATAAAAACAAATGTTTAGATTATATTAAATATTAATGACTTTTTTAATATGCCAATTTCGAACATTATATTAATATTTGAATGCCGGCAAGTGAAACGGGTAATTTGTTTTCATTTACTTCCATTTGTGTTCGAAAAGTATTTTGTTAGAAATATTCTGCGATAACACACACAATACCTATAAAATAAAATAACAACAAACCGAAGTAACTTTTAACATAAGGTAAGGTTATATTAACAAGTAACAACAGAATTATGATCGAATCAATAATAACGATTAAAACTGTTTGATCGAGACTTAACGGCCGTGATTATTCCGACATGGTGATAGATGACTGATTTAATAACAATAACAAAATTATCAATTTAGCGTAGTACTCACGTTGTTTAATTTTAGCGTTCGCTCGTCGTTTTAAACTGGAAGAACACTGATTTCTTATGGCGAAATAATAAATAATTACCCAAAAATGATTACATTAATGTTAACCACAAAGTAAAAACAAACTCTGTTAAGAATATTATTTACATTTATAACAAACTGAAGCCGCACTGTACGAAAACACTGTAATCAACCACCGGCGGCCGGCCAGACAACTGACAAGACTGATGAGTGAAGTCACCACCGCAGTCCGTAACTGCCCGCTCGTACAGTGTACACTACACTAGCCTTGGGGCTTGACCGTAGCCGACAGCATAAAAAATACGAAGCAGCAAGTAACAAACACAACAAAGTTTAATGTATGGATGTATAGCCAGTGTTAACTGCAACTAAAGACACACTTAGTAATGATGTACTCTGCGTAATTTGTCCCGAGTTCTTAGACCTAAGTTATTACTTATTACTAGTGAGTAGTGTATGCTGCCGACGGCGGTGTGCCCTATTATCCGTTACCGCTTACCATTAACCAGCTGCTGTGTAGTACCTTGTAATGCCGGCAGCATGAAGGACACATTAATCTCTATTTGAAGCTACGCTAGCGCGATCTAGCACTAAAAAATCTGTACGTTAACTAATTTATTACTATTTACTATTATCAAAATGAATTTTAAAAATGTGCATTATAATACCAATTACCAATAATTCATAATTTCATATTACAATCTGTGGTATTACACATGTTGCTTATTGTTAAAGATAAATTGCAGAATGTCAATACTATCTAAATAAAATCATAAATAATTTTCAGAAAAAATTAATTTTAAAATATTTTCGTATACATAAAATTGTCAATTAATTCATGCAACAAAATATATATTTTACATCCACTACTTCTTTGATTTATATGCTTTTTTAATAGAGTCACGTCCCAGAAAAATACCCTTTAGGCTCTAATAACAACACAAATGAAACAAAGAACTTGTTTACAAACCAAAATTCATAATTACCCATGTAAATCCAAGTTTAGAGAAGGGAAAAGACTCGTAAAACGCCATCAAGTCACCACACCAAAAAATTAATCACCCACTACCGTAGGCAAGATGCTACGAGACCATCCAAAAATTATTTTTACATATAAAATTATTTGTGGGAGGGCATTATAACTGTCAACTATTGTAAAATATACATTATTCCAAACGTCTTAAGAACTATATAGTTTGACATCTGATGAATTGCACCATAAATATTCACAAAGCATAGTAATTAAATACAAATTAAGAAAATTATAGCACTTTTAAAAATTAAAAGTAGTCTATCCTGTACTAGTTTCTTTTACGTATTGTGTGATTCATTTTTGCCATCTCGATACAATCCCTAAATTATTAACTTGTAAAAAAAACTAGATAATTATACATTGAAAGGCTAGGGAAGGGACAAAAACATATATAATATTGAAAAATAATTCCAAAACGCATTTAATTTCCCTACACATTTTATATCTCAGATATTTTTAAAGACAAATCTAACAATTAAAAGTTACGTTTTCATTAAGTAGATACATATAATTACTTTTGAAAATTCATATTAAAATATTATTTTTAACATGGATGTTTTTGGGCTGGATACCCTAAAAAAAGTTGTGTCATCATCATTGTGTCAACAAATTTGTGACACTATATAATATCCACCTATAATGAAAATTTGTTTGTAGTGCAACAGATTAACAGGATATGTTTGCACCTTGTTATTGCTAAAAAATATATACTCTTCTTGGTTTTTCCATAAAATTTAATCAAATTTTTTTTTTCAAAATAGTTATTTTGTAGGTTGTTTTTAAAATTGTAAGCTTTAACCTACAAAAAATAAAAAGTATTTAAAAGATAAATACAAGTAATTTAATTTAAAAACAACAAAGTTGCTGGCACTTAATGAATTGTTGTGCAAAACATAATCTCAAATCTAATAAATAACATTACTTTTCATTTTTTTTCTTAAATATTCACACGTGAATTAAACAAATAAAACTATATTTATTATAATTTATATAATTTCAAAATATTATGTGTAAATATATTAAATCTTTAGTTTAAATTAAATTTTCAGTACTTACGTTCTACCAAATAAACAACTTTATTTTTAAATAATTTAGTATTATAATTTAAAGCAATAGTCTATAGAATTTTCTTTTTACTTACTAATATTATGTAGTTCTCTATTTTACAGTGATTATTTTCATAATACAAAATAATTACAATAAAAAAAATTACGCGTTAGCCAATACCCAAAATTATAATCTCCTGGACCACTTTTACACAAAAGTTTCTCACCTCTATACTACTTATAACTTAATAATAAAATTTAAAAAACAAATCACATTCCGCATCTAATAAATTTATATTAGATGAAAGATATTTTTAAGATGAAAAAAAACATTGATTCAGACTTGTTATTTATCAGTTATCACTGTCCTAATACGTTGCCTCTCCCCCAGTTATGACGCTGAAAGACACCTCTGTTTACACCCTGTTGTTGAGGTTCATTTGCTGCTGGTGTCGTTCTAGTTGGCGGTTGACCAAAACTGTGAACTGTTCTTTGGTTTGGAAAAATTTTGTACCTAAAAAATAAAAATATACAACAGTTATGACAAATAATAACAGTTGGTAGTAAAATACTAATAGTTATTAAACTATAATACAGAAACATTAAACATAAATCTATTTTCAGGGAAAATTAGTCCTGTGTTAAACTAATATCCCCGTAAAACTAATTTACAAAAATAAAACTAACAGTATTGCAGGTGTCTGTATCAGTTGTGGTCCACCCATCTCTTGTGGGTATTTATACATAAGGAAGAAATATATATGACCAACAATAATTCCAACTAATTCTTGCAGTCCTCTGAAAAAAAAAATATGATGTTAAATCGTATACTTGCATGCATTTTTAAAAAATAAACTAACCCTCCGGATATAACAAAGTTGAATCCAAATAATACCCAAGGCAAGTACATGGCTTTAAAGCGAGTACCGAACCAGAAACTTACAATTACATCCTTATTTAGTTGGCACCATACATAAAGTATACTTAATACCATAGGATCCATTAAAACCTGAAATTCATTGAATTTTAAAGGTATACAATTTAGGTTAAATAAACAGTACGTTTCACTTGCTGAATGAAAAACAACACTTCAGCTTTTTGTTAATTCAAGCTGAAATTATATTTTCCATTGGCAATTTGAGATGTGCTGTGGTTTGTATGGAGCGTCCATATTATAGTAAATGTAGTACATTAAATTACCAAAATTTCAGCTAGTAAGGCAATTATAACACAACACATCCAGTTAAATAAAAGTAAAAAACAATAATCAGCCGGTCTTCCATCATATGAATCTAAAATCACAGAAAAATTAATTTAAAATATTTTATTTTATCCACTTTTGAAAAATTAAATATTAAATCTGTGGCTTGGGCTAAAAGGGACAATGTCAATTTTGGGCATAAACGAGTTAGTCCGTTAAATGAAAAAATTTAAAAATCCTTATATACTGTGAAAAAATCACACTCCAAGGCTAAAAATTGAATTACTTATGAAGAGTTTGGTAAAAAAATTGACATAGAGCCTAATGGAAAATAAAAACTTCAAAGCTCATTTTCCGAAAGTTGCAAAAAGTGAGATTGGCCTTTTAGACCCAAGCCATAAAAATATATTGCCATAGGCACAACTTGACAAGGGGCCTGGGTGAAGCTTAGCTCCTCCAAAAATATCAGCTGGAACATTCAAAATTATTAGTTCTTTCCAGTTTTCCAGTAGAGTTCTTTATAAATTGCTTAATAATAATATTGGGAAACGCATATAATATAATAATAAATTAAATATAATATTGGGAAACGCATAAATGTAACAAAATAATAGGTCAGCTTAGTTAATTCTGACTGCACTGATATCTAATGCATAAAATAACACATATTTTAGAAGAAAAAATAAAATATGTAGGTTCTTTTTATGAAACAACTAACACTTTTATATTGTACATTTTATGTGGTGTTTTGGGTATTAAACATAAGTAAAAAAACTAACTTGACCAAAAAATGTTAGAAAAAACATTGTGTGATAAAACATATGTATTTTGAAAAAAAACATGATTAACTGAGTGCATATTTTGATACATGTTTTACATGATATAGTATTTGGTCAATGAACAAAAAGTAGATCACACTCGGACTTCAAATTTGACAGTAAGCTACACATTAAATCATACTAATATAAATATTAACTAATAATAGATAGTCAATGTTACGTAATTGTTTTATAATATTTTTGGCTATTGTTAAATTTTATTTAAAACAAACTTATCCTCTCCCTAAATGTGACCTTAGTTGTGCCCATGTGTATCGATAATTGCTATTTTAAATTAACAAAAATATTTTTAACAAGAGTAAACTATGTTTTATTTACTAAAGGAAAAAACAAAAAGTAATAAACCTTTACCTGTTTCCAATCGCAGAGAATAACTATAGAGGAAATAACAATTAACTAAAAAATGGAACCCATTGCCGGGAGACAATGGATACATTAATAAAGCCGTAATTGGTCGCCATATCTAGAAATTAGAATTATAGATCATATTAATTACTTCTTCTAAATACTAAGACTATTACACTTTTAACATATAAGCACTAAAACTCACTTGAAATTTCTTTATAAATGGTTCATATATGAGCACAAACTGGTAAGGGGAAAGTATTCCAAATCGACCAGCCAATGTAAAAGCTGCTGTCAGAGTAAGCCACCATTTTGTGAAAAATGGTAAATCTTTATACCAAGCAGAAAAGTCTGTCATCTATAATATCAAAAAGATATTTAATTAAAGCAAACTACTTTTTTCCATGCTGTTATTTAAAATCAATACTTAGTTTTAATAAAAATATGTATAATAACATTTATTTAACTAATAATTATTGTTTGATTAAAAAATTCTTACCTTAAACCTAACGATGATAAGTTTTTCCAATTAAAAAATAATGCTGTACTTTCTCAATTCATTAAACGAGTACAATAAAACTTCATTTTTCTATAGGTATTTTATTCTTCTAATAAGCCGTGGGAAATAAAAACTAGAAATTTGATAAGAATTATGATAATAAAAAGAACACGTCAGTACTTAAAGAACACTGTAGATGTCGCTAATGTCGTTTAATTTTAATAAATATATTACATTTTCGGCAATCGTCATTCGCCCACAAAATTTTATTTTTCATAGTCGATTAACTTATGTTTTTACTTTACACCTTGCAAACACTATTGAATATTATCCAAGGTTATTGAATTATTTATACATCATAATTCAATATTCAGTAGATATGATTTATTAAAAATAAAATAATTATTGTTGCAAAGTTATAAACTGTAAACATCATAAATCATAACAATTACATTTGCTTTCAATCGACCATTAAGACAAAAAATCCCAAATACTTTACTATATCAATAAAACTATTTTTAACCATTATAAAATAACCGTAATTAAGAAACAATTCAATATATTGTATTCGTATGTGGTAAACATAAAAATAAATATGTTCAATTCTATAAATGGTACCTACATTAAAATATACGTAATTTTTTTTTTTTATAGTTTTATGTCTACTTTTTGAAAATTTAATTAAAATATTCAACAGACAATAATATTCAATATATCACAACGCTTGTTGCTTAACGGGCCTTGAAGGCCCAGCGCTGCCATCATGATATGGTTTCTAGATGAATTATTTAATATATAATTACTATAATAATAAAAAATATTGTATGTAATAATGAATTAAGAATTTTAATTTTAATCACAGCTGAATTAAATACCACTATTTTACTCCCGCTCATCCTTTTTCGTTTTTACCTAAAAAGCGACAGGCTAGTACACCGCTATTGAGCAATATTGACTCACTATTTGGGGGAAAGGGCACTAAACCTTTCAGTTTGCTTAATTACTTATTAAGCTTCCCCCCCCCATATCCAGTACGCTTATGCATATAGTTTTAAACATAGTTATCTTCCTACAGCGAATGGATTATTTTATTAATTGAACCTAAGAAAAAATATGTTTCAATTGTTATTAGGTATTATATTATTTTTGGCTATATTTCTCTACAGTTATGTTTGTAACTGATATTAATGAAATACCTAAAGGAAGAATTTTACCATTTTCTAAGCATTATAATACTATTTAAGAATTACTATTTTATACCTAAGCTCATAAAGTTCAAAAGTTAATACATGAACTGCGTATTATTATAAGCGCAATTTTGATTAATAAAAATGATGGGAGGCCGTAAGGGACCATTATTTATCTTTATGATACATGTAAATATTATGACAAAACAATTATAAAAATAAATTGTTATTTAATTATTATTAATGATATCATTATTAAAATGAAATTAACAGTTTGACCAAAGTGCTCAAAATTACTGAATCTACTTGCTCTTTACTAGATTGATAAAAAACATCGCACTAGGATTTTTTATTATTTATTCACAAAAAATTACAAATTGAACAAATACACGCAAGTGTTAAACCATGTTGCGTACAATCTCACTATAAACAGTTGTCATTGTGCTATACCAATACCACATACGTAATAAAACACACAAATGTTAAAACTTAAATTATAATTTTAATGAAAAACCATACACATATTAGGTTTTTTATAATTTTATATTAGTCAGATCATATATACATTAAGGTAATAAATACAAAAATGGCCAATTCCATTTATATAATGTTTTCTATGACAAAGTAACGCAGAGTGAGCCTAATATATAATTTATAAATTAGGTACCTATACAACGATTTTACACTAAACGGCAAACTTCATAGGCATAAATTTGGCTTTTAAATATGAGTACCTAAATTGTATTTCTACTACAGTTATCTAATTAATTATGCTTAAAAAATAAAATAATAAAAATATCTTAAGATTATCGCAATCAATGAGAATAATCAAGTACCCTACACCTAATTTCGATTTCCCCCCCTTAATATCGATTAAGCGAACCTTCTTATTTATTACTATTATTCATGTTTCTATGAACAAAAGGTTGTCCTATTAACAATAAAAATGTCAATTATTATTCCTACTGAGCTACTTGATAAGAAAAAACACAAAGACAAATCTTTCGGATAGCAACTAGTTAAGGAGGGGGGGGGGGTACAAATATTTTCAATATTTACTTAAGTCTAAATACCTAGGAGTATACTATTTTATTAAACTTTACCCTGATAAGTATTGCACTACCTAATAGTGTATTGCATATTTAATTTATAGAGGAAGAAATACATGGGCGCCCATAAGTAAAATTTTAGGGAAGAGGCAAAATAAAAAAAATAAAAAAATGTAAGCTAAATAAATATGTAATATTATTTCTGCATATAAAAACAAAAACAAAATATTTAGGCTGTCTAGGTATTAGGTAATATTTACTAGATTTAAGTTCATATTATTGCCCCCCTTCCCAATGGACGCCCGTGTGAAGAAATATACAAAATCTTCAAAGTGAATCAATTAATATTATGTCTTTTGTAGATTCGTACCGAATATTTTACTATTTATATTGTTTATTACATAAATGACATAAGTACCTATAGGATTAATAATATAAAACCATACTGATTTTTTTTTGCCATTAAATTTAACATATTTTTTGGTTTTTTGGTGGGGCTAAACCCCCGTTCTCTATTTTACTTTCAACGTCTTAATTATATTATGTACCAAACATTACACACATGCCATAAAAGGATTTATGACGAAAAAATAACTATAAAATAAAATAACCTCAATTTTTTTTGTAGGAAGCAATAATTGTTTAATTATTTAATTAAAATTAAATTACTCGAGTCCATGTAATATTCATGTGAAAATTGATGTGTTGAAAGTTGAACCTATTTGGGAATGCAGATTCATTTATGTTATGTGTCATAATTATTAATTGAACAACAACAGCTTACATATACAAGTTCCTAACCACTTCTATTAATTTAGTGATAAGATAAGGTTGTTATTTTGTTTTTTGGAGTAATTTAACAAATAATCCTTACATAAAATAAAGTTTCTAGGTTGTTGAATAGTAGTAACACTGAAATATCTATAAATTTAACAGTATAATGTTATTTAAGATTAATTATTAACCATTTTATTTTTTTAGAAAAATACTTAGTTGGCATATAGTAATCAAACTTACATATACTTAGTGATAATGTGTATGGCAGTTCCAATAAATTCTTCTTACACATTTATACAAATCAATACTAGAATTAATAACAGTACAAATACTTTTTTATTGGTACTTTACAAAAATAATCTTATAGAATATAATAAAATATAACTTCATTAATAAATGATAAATTAACAACAAAATTATTGTTTTCGAGAAGAAAATAAAAATAAAATAAATTAACCCACTTACAAAATATAATGAGATGACCAATATTAACATAAAGTATAAGAATATCAATTGTACTTTTGAAATTGTTAATGAAATATCAAATAACAGTAATTTAAACTTGTATGTTGAGATGCATATTAATGCTTAGCGAGGTTGATGAATAACATGTTTTGGCTGATGATGCTGTCTAGGATCAACACATGGCATTTGCTTAGTATGAGCTTTTTGAACACTCTCTGTTTGAATATTGCTAAGATTATGTGCAGTCGCGACAGCAGCAGCTTGCACACTGTGAAAACATTTTGAAATGTTCACAAAAATACATTATTTGAGGAATATCTGAATTATACGTATAAATCTAATGGAAAATATTTTATACCCAGTATCCACTTTCAAAGCCGAATTAGTCACCTCGGGAGTTACACTCTTGTCTTTTTCGTTATTTTTATGCTGCACAACACGCATATTTCCAACTTTGACTGGAAATCATTTAAGATACAGATTTAATAAACAACTTGTACAAATTTGTTAACATGTGGTTACAATTAGTTCCTCGTGCATTTTAATTTACCTGCTTGAGGGTGTCCACCCATTAACTTGGTTTTATTTTCGTCTTCCATAATGGAGCTTGATTGCTTTTATAAAATGAATCGATGACAATTATATATTTTTCAAGCGTTGACGAAATAGCAACGAAGTATGGACACAGGACACTTGTTAACTTATAGTCATACGGCACTTGTGTTCACCTCAAAGACCTACGTTGTATCTGACGCGATGCACTCAACTCTTGGTTATGTTCATAACAGCATACGGATCACGAACGTTTCTACTGCGGAGTACAAGTGCAATCGCGGAAAAACTTATAGGTATGTCTGTATAACTTGTGTTATCAATATTTACAATATGGTAGCCGGTATTCTCTCCTAAGAAACACCCGGCCGCCCGAAAATATCGGCAGCCATATCACGGTTATCACAAGTTGCCGACATACGCTTTTATTGTTTTACATCTGTAACAATGAATGTGCATTGTGCAGGTTGCAAGTGCTGCTGCCTGGTCATATGTGCGTATGCTCTATCAGTGTTGACAGTTCATCGCTTTTCGACTTTTAATTTCTTGTTATATTTTTCGCCTTTCCGGCATCCTTATTCCGTTGTTGTGGAAACTGGAAAGCAAAAGCGATTTCTTTTATGGGTTTATCGTTTTGAACGAAATTTTAAGAGCCAATGTTTTGGATAGAATTATTAGATGAAAATATTAAACATAATATTATGTTTAGTCCGTAAAATATAATTACTGGTCTAATATAGTTTGGTATTTTACGCTTAACGCCCGTTCTATAATTCCGACTAAATGCCAAAGTCCAAACCATTTATAATAAATATTCGTAAACGCTTTAGTCGTGGGTTATTATAGTTTTTAATCCTCCTTGATTGTCAAACATAGATGAAATTATGGAAGTTGAATAACGAGAGCCAAGGTCAAAGATGAGAGTAATTTGAACCGGGTATAATAATAATGCGTCTCTCTTAGTGACTTGGATAGACTATTCACGCGGAGTTCAATTTAAACGAATTATCGGACATTGGTGTATATATATTTTTTTTTTGCTAAATAGGTACCTACAATTCCTTTTTTTTAATTTAATTTCGAGTAACTGTTTAATGTAGTGGTAGAACTGGAAATACTATGTTTTAACGAGTGTAGCGAGTTGTAAATTGTCGACAATGATCATGATTCAATAATCACTATTCACTAATCAGAATTGCGTGTTGTGCAGCAGATTCTTTTCTTGGTTAAACAATCGTTTTTACAGTAGATACATGACCGTAATTAAAATTGTTATAAAATAATGTAACACAGTTTTCATAATACCGTATATTTGTAAACGTTTGATGGTTAAACGACATTTTAATGATGGTTTTGTTTTGACCAAAATTTATTTACGGCATTTGGAAATAAGTAAAACAATAACGTTTACGATGATACGACATAATATATTTTGTGATTAGTGTTGTACAATTCCCGTTTGATGATAATTTTTCGCTACGTACACGTCAGTACTGTCAAGGTGAACTGGTAAAAAAATGTTTTGTAAGCGCCCCTTTTCACAATCACATTCATTCATATCGAGTTATCTTGTGTTAGTTTTATCTGTGGAGTAGGCCATTTAGGATACTATACCGTTCTCTAATCTCCAGTAGTTTTTTCAACTTGGTACAAATTTGTTTATTTGTGCATCAGCGATTGGTTCAAATTAATAATTCTCATACCTAATATTTTGACATGCAATACAATTTCTTAAATAATTTTTAAAAATTTAAAACGACAACGGGTTTGATTAGAATTTAAAGTTACATTATTAAATATCTCGTTATGTTTTTCGAATATTTTCAGCTATTACAGTTCAGTGCTTAAAAAACGTATTTTCTGGTGTGTTTTTTTTTTTTAATTTGCATTGATACATCTTAATTTATTCTTCTTCATTAGTGGATAAATAAATCTGTTGTATGATTTTTATGGGAAATAATTAAATTAACTATGATGTAATAGGTATAATATATTTGTTTTGATAACTTTTCCAGGTGATTTATTGCTTCTTGATTCGTTTATAGATGCTTATTATTATGATGTGCCACTATTACCAATGATGTTTGTACATTATTGTTCTATGAAACGTACTATGGAAACGTTCTCATAAATATGAACAAAAGCAATTGTCTATGCTTTTGGTAATTATCTTTACATAATTCTGTACACATTCTTGAGTTAAACAATTGTTCTTGGAAATGGAAGACTGTCCTCATTTTACCGTTCATCATTTGACTGCCATCGATAAAAGCATTAATTTATTAGAAAACGTATGCATTTAATTGTTTCTTTTTAATATTGTTAATGACTTCTCATAATTAATTATGTTATTTTTTACAGCATACTGGAGTGTTGACTTGTTACTTTTGTCAGTCGAAAAAACCCGAAGTATGGGTTTGTATCAATCCCGAATGTATGCAAGCATTTTGTTTCGATGGAGGATGCGATCACAGTTACTTTCATTTTACAGTAAGTAGCCATAATACCACGTTCATTGTCCGTACATCAATGGAGTATTTAAAGGAAGGGCTGAGGAAGCTGTAGCCCTCCTAAAATTACAGAAAATATAAATTATTAATGAAAGCGCGGTATGTCACTTTTTTAATTTTCGGAAATTAAAGGTTAGCCCTTCCTGAAATAAAATCCTTGCTTTACTGCCGTAATATAATTAATTAATTAATTCATACCACGTATTACATATGGGTCATTGGACACTGAATGTGATAATAATAATATGTAATCAAAATTCAAAATTAACTTCCTTCCCACGTAACATTATAATTTGATGTATTTAGGAAGATAAAACGCATTGTTTGCATCTTAGTCTACCGTCGATGCGACTATGTTGTTATATTTGTGATAAGGAATACAACATCGAAAAAAATCCTAGGACGTTAAATGGCGTACGCCGTGGATCTAACTGTTCCATAGAATTATGTCGCAATAATGTAGTGGCAAGTAATAGTGGTGAATCTGCCGAAGAAGATAGTGATGATGAATACAGGCTCACAAAAGACCACAAGCCAACAGGTATTGGTGATGGAAATCACTAAAATATTTCAATATTCAAATACCATATCTGTATTTAATCAAATTCTAGATAGCTGTAAATATAAAAATAATCTATTAATAAAATAAAATCTAAAGTACCTAAATATTTTCATCAGCTTAAACTTTATGGTACTCTCATTATTTCTTCACAAGTCCATTCCTTAAAAAAGCATTCTTTTAAAAATGTAAAAAAATTGAATTTTTACAAAAAAATCATTATTTTAGCCTTATAAAAAATATTATAAGTATTCAGTTTAGTTATAATTTATAAATATTTTTACTTGAATTAAGAATATTCACTGAGCTATAAAAAAATTAAAACTGAAAAATTTATAAAATTCTAAAGCTGAATAATTCTGAATAGTTTTTAAAATTTTATACTTGTATTTTTTTAGTATTATTCTTATAAAAATTGTATTCCTTTGATATATTATATTCTATTTAAATGTCTGTTTATAAGTACAACCATATTTTTGTGAATTTGTATTTTTAAAGTTCCGCTCCTGTAAATAATAATCGATTGATTGATATTTTGAACTATACAATTGTTTTGATTTGAATTTATGCTTTATACAATTTTTATTTTGTCTATTTAATAACTATTTTTTGTTCCGTATTAACGCAATTTATAAATATTTAGGATTGACTGGTCTTCAAAATATTGGAAATACTTGCTACATGAATGCAGCACTCCAAGCTTTATCTAATACGCCTCCACTGACAGAATATTTTCTGACTTGTTTTCCTGAAAACCCTTGCCACCAATCGGATAATCCTTTACACCTTTCGAGAGCTTATCACCGCCTCCTTCAGGAAATATGGCACACTAAACGCCCCGGCTATGTGACACCAACTACAATTTTATATACAATGCGTAATGTATGTTTATTGTTTATTATTTTATTATAAATATTTAATCATACAATTTACACTTTTAAAATGGCTAGAAAATGTTGAATAGCCAATTTTATTTTATTATATGTTTTTTCGCTGAGAAATAATGATACCAGTATTGTGCTATATTTTTAATGAACGCTCTTCTGTTATTAACTTTTAGGTATACCCAATGTTTAGAGGTTTTCATCAGCACGATACACAGGAATTTTTAAGATGCTTTATGGATCAGTTACACGAAGAACTTAAAGAATGTGAATTAGAAGTAGTGCCATCTAGACGGCATTCGTATAAGGGTAATATATTTTTTATAATCACTATTCTAACTAAAATAATATTATCATATTGGTTATCTTTTGTAGCAATATCTAGAAAACAAAGTCTGGAACAGGGCCATCTTACAACAGCTGCAGAGGATAATGAAGAGGAATGCTCAGACAACGATGAACTTAAGTCATTAACGAACGCTGATAGCAGCTCTGAAGGCTTAGATGAATATGAAACATGCGACTCTGGTGTAAGTGAACGTAGTTCGCTGTCTGAAGAAATGTCTGAACGGATGAATTTAAACAAGCAGCTTCAACAACATTTGATTACAAAAATGAACCACGGGAATAAGACAAACTTAAATCAAAAAAATCTTAAGGTTCACTTCAAGTATAACAGCATTATTTCTGAAATATTTGATGGAAAATTATTAAGTTCAGTACAATGTCTAACTTGTAACCGTGTAAGTTGAGTCTTTAATAATAATCATTTAAAAAACATGTATGGTTAAAAAAAAAAAAACTTTGAAAATGTTGGTTTTTACCCAAAAATGCGTTCAAACTTATCATCAAAATAAACTTTTAACTGTTGGGATATTTAAAAAAAAAACCTGGGTTATTGCCATCTTAAGTTCAGTTTATTATTTATGCAAACACTTATCATAAATGAATTATTTATTATTCAGGTTTCTTCGAGGGTTGAAGCTTTCCAAGATTTATCTTTGCCAATTCCTACTCGTGATCACGTTACTGTGTTACACCAAAGTTCTTCTACCAATTTGTGTTCAGTACATAAGCTGACAGATGTTTATACAAATCAACAAGTTGTTCAAGTGATTTATAACTATTCTAACAATTATTTAAAACTATAATTAGTATAATAATTAATATAATATTTAGTGGTATTTATGTTGTGTGTTACCTACCCACTTCCCATTTTCCTATTTACATGTATGCATGTATTTCTAATGGAAATTGTGTCGCCGTAGGTAGAGTGGGAGGTGAATACAAATAGCATATCGCCGCCCCGGTAGAACAATGACACAACTGCAATAATTGAAATTTTACAGGAGAATCAAAAAAACAAATTATTTTCACTAAAATGTTATGGGGTGTAATTTTAATGGAATGGGAATGCTTGGACAATTATTACTACTACAGTTATGTCGTTTTTCTACCTTATGCGTTCGCAATATCTAAACACATTGAAGCATTTAGTCAATTTTACCAAATTTTGCAGTTGTGTCATTGTTCTACTGGGGCGGCAATATATACTTACAACTACACTGCTAATAATATTAAATTATTTATGAGTACTAATATGCGAGTAATAATGTTAATTAATCATCTATTATAATTTTATTGTAGAATTGGATTTTCTGGTTTTGGGACATGATGTATAAATGGTTTTGGGGGCCGACAGTTGGCTTGCATGATTGTCTTGCTGCATTTTTCAGTGCCGACGAACTCAAGGGAGACAATATGTATAGGTATGCATTGCACTTAGTTTAATTACTAGCTTTCAAATACTATTTAATGATATTAAATTTTTAGTTGTGAAAAGTGTAAAAAACTTCGAAATGGTATAAAATTTTCAAAACTTCTTGAATTACCTGAAGTCCTGTGCATTCACCTAAAACGTTTTCGACATGAGTTGATGTTTTCATCTAAAATCACTTCATATGTAACTTTTCCCATTGATGGATTGGATTTACGGCCATATGTTCACAAAGGTACGTCAAACAAATTATAACAGCATATGACATGTATTATGAGAATTGAGGTCACTGTTTAAATAGCTAAAAGTAATAAGAGTCAATTTATGTGAATATCAAAAAAAAAGACTTATGTTTATATATGTGTAAAAAAAAAATGTATTAAATGACAATTTAAATTTGTTTACTTAATATTTGTAAAAATGACTATAATCTTATGAATTAAGACCTAAGTTATAACCTTTACTTTAGAGCTTAGGTATGGTTATTTGACCATATCGCGTTGGATTAATATATTTTGTTATTATTAATTTCACCTATTTTACTTTGTGCTACCTCTATGATTTTGCTTTTGCTTTGCTATTATTTGTATTGGAATGCTCCTATAATGTTATTCTTTTGTTCACATAGATTGCACTTCTCAAGTCACCACATATAAATTGGTGTCAGTGATTTGCCATCATGGTACAATCGGTAGTGGAGGTCATTATACATGTTATTCTTTAAATCCTATCAATGAGCAATGGTATGAATTCGATGATCAGTGTGTTACATTGGTTTCTGCTGAAATTGTTCGTAATTCTGAAGCATACGTTCTTTTTTACAAGTAAGTGTATGGCCTAAATAGAATTTCTACAATATTTATAACATTTTAATTACTTTCAGGAAAAATAGTCCAACAACGAACCGAATTAGAACACAAATGAGACAAGTACAAATCAATAAAAACCAGCCAAGCTGCTCACAAGAGGCGTGTTTCATTTCAACTAAATGGCTGTCAAAGTTCAACTCATTTGCCGAACCTGGTCCCATTGACAACTATGATTTTATGTGCCACCACAATAGAGTAAAACCAACCTATGAACCACATATTAATCATTATGCAACAATGGTATCTGGCCAAATTTGGGATTATTTATATAGCAAGTAGGTTAAATAAAAGAATTAATTTTAATTTTTGGCAATAGAAACTGATAAGTATAATAAGCGAACTGGCATATATTTTACCATAGCGACCATTACAGACGTGTCACTCGTCCAGTCCTAGCATTACTTTCTATACTAAATAGAAATTTATTCAATTTTTGTATGATATTTTGTAGATTTGGAGGTGGTCCAAAATGTACCAATAATCAACTTCAAAGATGCGAAATTTGCTATGGAGAATATATGGATATGCTATTGAAAAAAAGAGCAGAAAACGAGACTAAACATTTTTCACGACTCGGAGAAGAATTAAACCTTCACGTACTAATAAACTTTACATCCTGCATTTTTTTGTAAACAAATAATATATTTAAAACTATTTTTTCAGGACATGCTGGCTGATTATGCCATTTCAATGTGTTGGTTTAAGCGATGGGAGGCATTCTTAAATAGTGTAGTCAACGAACCGCCGGGACCTATTGACAATATAAAATTACTAAGCAATTCTGAGAGCAAAGTTTTAGGTTTGTATTTATTTTTAAAAATTATTGTTCAATCTATTTACTAAGTACTAACAATATTTTCATATTCTACATTTAAAGGAACTGATTATATATCTGTAAGTGAAGGCCAATGGGATTATTTATGGAGAATATATAGCGGTGGACCTATGATTAATATAAATGATCTTCAAATGCCGTGAGTTTAACAATAATTCTTTTATATTATATTCATTCGTCGTGTCCAAGAGGCTTAACGCCGCAGTGCTTTTACGCACTAGCCGTAGTTTGAGTCTAGTGGCCGTTTCTCTCACTGAGCAGACAAATGTCTGGAGAGAGAAATGACCACATGACTGATCAGAAAGGCAACGACAAACCACTACGTCATTATCCACTTCCCCATGATACAACTGTTGTTAAAAAGAGTTGTCAAATCGACCTAAGGGTCATAAAAAAAAAATATATACTAATTAAAGTTAATTAAATGTTTATATTTATACTTAGAGTATCAAATGTGGAATCTGATAATCATTTCTTAAACACAAGCTCAGATGAACTGTGTGAAGTCAATGATGAATCGCAAAATTGCAATGATAGTAAGATTTATTATCTAATATTATATAACTACTTAAATAATTAAGATGATCCACAATAGTTGTTGTTGTAAATTGGTCTATTTTTTTAATGTAAAAATGTATGTTTTAAAAGTAATAAAATTAGGTAATTACATTAAGAATATTTGGAAACTCAAAAGTAAATTTAAAATGTTTGTTTCAAATTATTGCCCATAATATATGTGATTTTAGTTTTACACATAAATAAATTTAAAAAAAAAATAGCTTAAATTGTAGTAACACATTTTAATACACAAGGATGATTGTGGAACAATTAATTATTTTGTTAGATTGCGTTTAAGTTTTGAAAAGTCCATAGATATTTAATGGACTCATAAGTATCAAATAAAAACCCACAATTAGAATGTTAAATTTATAAAATATTGGTGCAACCTAACATGACTGTGTTCAAAAATGAATACACAGTAACTAACATGATTTGACATTTAGGAATAATGGAGACTGAAGTAAAGGAGCACATGGTTTGTTTTGATTCCGGTGACCAAGAATTTAAAAACGTGATCAACATGCAACCAGATAATAGGACGTGTAAGAAAATAAACTAATGCAAAACTAATATTTTGTACATACAATAATAATTTTATTACTAAAAAAATGTACGTTTTTTGTATAGTTTTGGGTAATTGTAAATGTTTTTTAAGAAATGGTATAGTCGTTAAGATATATTACACTAAGAATGTACAATCATAAATCTATTTATTTGTGAAAAAATGTTACCTAAAACAGTGTTATCATTTGTTTTATGTGTATCTACCATTTTTTTATCTATAAGGTGATGTTATTTTATTTGTTACATAATAATTATTATTATATTTACTATTGTACTATTGTTTGCAATTGGAGAAGCATTTCTTCCTTCAGGATTGCTAGAATTTTGTAATCAAATATTGTTTTTTCCTTGTTGTTTTATTTTATTATTTTTTTTTTTAAGGAACGGCCCTTGTTAATATTTTAGAATTTTACAAAATACAATTCTACACAATTAAAGAAAAAAAATTGTGTAATCTCGCCTTGTTGTTTTGGTTTTAATTTGTCAAAGAGCACTCAATAGTGTATTTGGAAAAAAAAAACAAAATTAACAATAGTGTGCTAAAATTTCGTTCTTACAATTAGGATCAGTCTTAGGAAATAAAAAAATAGAAGTAAGTTGTTTATCAGATATTTATGGCTTTTGAGTGTTGCGACAAGGCCCACAATAATTGCCTTGTCTGTTGTGTTCGACGACGAGACTTCCTCCTAAGTATATCAACCGTATCTGATTAAACAGCCGAAGGGTGAAGCATGAGTTTTAACAAATGGGGAGACGACGTGGCTGCGTACACTTAGGACCTTCGAAATTAGCATACAGACACTGTAAAATGTTTATTTTAAGAACGACATCAATTAATTTCCAAACACTCGGCTGTCATCTGTCGTCTTCTCGAAACGCCAACGACAAGTTAACGTCGAGCGATTCTTCGCTGTAAACGCTCTTCTGAGGTATGGGCGCGCCGACCGACGGGCCTTTTAGCTGCAGCACTGTCGGGTACGACGAATCCGACGAGGCGACCACCACAAATTGTCCACCGGGCAAAATGTCAAAGGCCGTTATTGGCTTGGCGGGTGTGAACTCGGACACCAGTTCACCTGCAAACAGATAAGTACATAGTAAATGTGATTAGTATGAATTGCAAAACGCGAAAGCAGTATTAATATCGTGTCGCCGTAATGTTACATAATCGATGGTGTCGTGTATTTTCTACTTGATATATTATAGGTACAACTTGTAAACTCTGCGTTATGTATAGCTGTACACTTTACTTATCAATTATCATATATGTACCTATATAAAGGTTGGAGGTCATTAGCTTTGATTCACACATGGGCCATGGCAATCGGAAGTACCCTGTAGAAACTCAACACGTCGGCGGCGACGACGACTACGCGATTACAATAATGTACGATTGTATATACTACAACGAGTAGATATTGTAAATATAACTTTAACTTTAACTCTTACAGAACCCTTATACAATACATATCCTAGTGTGTCTACCTATCGATTAACAAGTTGTTATTAGTATTAGGCTAGGTATTAAAAGTACTAAGTAGGAAACAGGAAATTAAATTGAATACATTACACAAAGGTATCGACACAACTAAGCATTACTCAATACCTAACATTGTTGCGTGTACTAAATTTAAATACCTAATAAGCACGAATAAATTGTTAATATTTTAATAACGTATTGCCCACATTATGGTTAAGTGCCTTTAAACATCTCTTGAGTTCGTCTATTGTATACTAAAAGACCGCATCTTGTTTTCTGGTATTTACGCCATGGAAATGTCGCATAATATGCCAACATATTTACAATTTCATTAATATGAAGCCTCAAGTTGATCACGCAATAACTAAAATCGTCGATTGTGACTTTAATGAAAGTAATATCGATAACTAAGTCGGATCAATCTATGCAATATTTGTGTTATTATGTAAAACTGGAAAAAAGTGCCGCTTTTACGCTCTCAGGTCTTCTACCCATTGATTGAAAATTGAGCTTGGACTTTGATAATGAACAAGCTAGCTACATCAGTGATGTTTTTTTAGGGTAGCGAACAGGTATACGAGCATATCAATAATCCTAAAATTGTACAAATAGTTACGTTTTAGGCTTTAGCATTGATTATAAATAATTGATGAGTATTATATACTATTAATATACATAAAATGTTGTACTTTTATGTTGTAGAACTACTCAGTTCCTCAGTTCCCCACTTTTAATTTTTTTAAGGAGCTTACAATAATCGTCTGTTTAACACTCACCGGTGGTCACGTTCCACAGTTTGATAGTGCGGTCTCTGGTGTGAGTGTCTAACGATATAAACGATCCTCCTCTGGGATCTAGTCGGAGACTGGTGACTGGCGCCATATGACCCCCCAAGGTCCATCGACAATTGCCAGTCGTCAAGTCCCATATGCATATTTGACCGTTCTCGTGGCCGCTCAGCACGCAACTGTCTTTGGACGATATATCCAAAGCAACGCAGTTAACGCCCGGTTTCCATTTTTTAAACAACGTGCCCGATTGCAGGTCATAGACTACTATAAAGTTTGGACCTGGCTCGTCGACTTCCTGTGAAAGAAACAACAGTGGTCAAGGACAATTTCAAAGAAATAGGTAATAGGCATTTGCCGGATAATCCTTACTTGAGCTACACAACAAACGAAGTGACCCTCGTGAGTGATGGCCGCCAGACAGGTGATGAATTCGTGGTACGGTATCCGTAAATCGTACATCAGTTGTCTAGAAGTCAAATTCCATACGAGCAGCGGGAACGGTTTTTGGGTTTCATCGCCGCACACCATCACCCTATACGTATAATAAGATAAAAACACGAAACGGTTGCCTAGGCCAGATCAGCTCATATAGACTTGAGAAAAAAACGTCTACTCTACCGTCCATTTCCTGACACTAATAGCGAATTCAAAAATCTGTCTTCGCCGGCCTTAAAGTACGCTTCGATTGTGTCCGTTTCGATGTCAATCAGGCTCACGTGCATACGACTCCTAGCCAGAGCCACTAGCTTTGTGGGACTATGCAGGTCGAAGTACGGCATGTTTTGATTCATAACGCCTGAAAGTCATCCATCGGGTATGTCAGCGTGTTTGTGAGAAAACCGCGGTGAACTATCCGCATTACCAACCTTTAAGCTTGCTTAACACTTTTCCCGTAGCTAAGTCGATCACGGCCAACTTGCGTTCACACAACACTATACACCGGTGATTGTCTATCATTTTTATTGCTGACGGATGTGGAATACCTCTCAGCGTACGCACTCTCTTACAACTATAAACAACAAAGAAGAGTCATAAGCTAAGTATCATAATAAACATTATGACTACAACGGTCAACCAGAAAGGGAACGAATATGTCTTGCAGTAAGTTTGCTTACGTGTGAACGTCCCAGACGCCTAACTCTTGTTGTTTAGTGCTGACGGTAATCACATAAGTGGAATCTTCGGCCAGCCGCTTGACGACGTCAAAAGTTATTTTGCTAGATGTGTCCGTATCTGGGATGAGAGGCATGAGTGTGGGGAATGGAGGTGTTTCTATTAGTGTACGGTACTTTTCTTCCGTCGGCTTGTACAATGACATCTGCGAGTATAACTGATATCCATTGTGCATCAGAGCAGGCGTTGCTGTCGACAAGAATTTATTTAGGAAACTAGCCTGTGGATTATCCGAATAATCCGATAAGTTGTCTAGAAGCTGAAACAACGTACAAGAATAGATTAACTTGTAGTTCGGGTCTCCGATGTCATACTGCGAACAAGAAATGACTTCAACGACCTTAATACAAATTCCAGACATGCGAGAAAACGAAGCAGAAATGCGCTGGTTTATGGCACGTAACGATAAGAGGGATCTTTTAAAATTTGGGAAATTTATTTTTAACTGCCCCTCTCCCACGTGACGTAATGCTTATGAACAAATTATTTTGGATTTTGTATTAGAAAATAAACACTGTAAATACTACATTACTACCTGCATCACTAATCCGTTATTTAACATATCCAAAATCCAGTTCAAATTATCGAAGCAACGGCTGATCACATTGGATTCGTCCATCAAATAAGTGCATTCATCTAGTCTTCTGCGGTTCGACAAACTGTTGTTGAGTGAACTCGAAGTGGTGCCAAGCGATTTCTACAGAAAAAAATGTATAATTATTCGAGTTCATATTGTATCAATTTATAGGTTAAAAAAAATAGATTTATTGTCCGTTACATCTTCAAAGTACGATAAGAGTTTGGGTCTTGACAGTTGCACATAAGAATCGTATCGTCTTGCCGCAGCTTCAGCGATTATGCTATTACTCCACCGGACGGTCGCGTATTTTTCGGTTTTGAACCAAAACAAAAGTATTGAGAACAACTCGTTGAACTCCGCCCAAAACATTGCTACCGACGACGATTTATCTGGAATACACACCAATGTAAGTAGCGGTTTAAAACGTCGGTCGAGCGTGTCGATCGCTTACCCTTATCGTTAACATCGAATTCGTTTTCGGACGTTAGCATCTGGGTTGCCTCCGAATCGAGTAGACCGTATCGGGTCGCACACAAAAGGCCAATTGTGATAGACACCTGCCGTTAAAAAATCAAAATATTCACGTCATATTCGTAAACACAATGTCGGGGTTGAGTCACCTTTTCTCTTCCCAGAAGTGTCTCCATACCGTGGAAAAAAGCGTCAATCCAATCGACAACTTTTGTCGTATACGGCAAAAACATACAAGTCTTCTGTTTCAACGGCGTCATGTGCAAGCCGTTGTAAAAGTGTTTATTTTTGGCGATGTCCTTAGTCGTGAGGAGTGACGTCAGAGCATTGCTTTGTTGTTCGGTCAAGTATGGGATCTATTCAATGCGAAACGGTTAAATCGTCTAAAAGTGAATAACCACTCGACGTAGTTGTGGAATTTACCTGAATGAACGCTTCTGCGGGCACGCTTTGTTGACGCAAACGTTCGAATTGAGGCGAAGTCTCGGTCGTCGATACGATAACCTTAACGTTCTTGGGCAATTTCGATGTCACCCAGCCCACGTTGCTGTTTTTGAACTAGACAACAAAAACCGAATCGATTAGATGAGATTTTTCCCGGAGAATCATTCAACGCCCTCTCACTTGGTCTATGCCGTCAATGATCAACACTATTGGTCGTTTGGCACCGATGGAGATCAAAAGTGATTTAATGTGTTCTGAATACAAATAGACGTCCTGCGAAACCGCAGACAAAATAATATCATTGAAACCCGGAAGACGTATAACGAAGAGCAAACACTTACGTGCTTGAACCACGTCGATTTGCCGCTGTTCAAAAAGTTCAACTGCATGGCCACCGAGCTGAGGGTTTGCTCTAGCGTTGAACTGCGAACCGAAGCGTTGACATATCTCACTACGGTGGCTGCGTTTTGGTTCCATATGTGACTGTGTTGAGCCACGAACGATAGAATTGTCGTTTTGCCGCATCCCGGCGGACCGTACACGACCAGAGGATAAACTGTTTTCGAAGAGGTGAGGTATCTGAAAAACGAAAAATAACGATTTACCCATAATACTCAACCGCAACAAGACATCAAGTTTAACCGGGACTTAGTTCGCTTTAGTTTAATTGATAAATAGCGTGATAAATGTCTTCATCTTGACGTTACACGAAAAACGTACTTTTTCATATTGTCAATCAACGATTCTCGATTGATAATCATTTTGGTCATATTGCAACCGTATGCATTTTGAACTCGCAACTCTTGTAACAACGAAGTGTCTACGCCATACGTCGCTTCGGGCTTATTCTGTACACGAACAAACGTAACGAATAACAAGAATACAGTTAGAACAACTCGATGTTGTTTTTTTTTTTTTTTAAATAAAATAATTTACACTGTCTTTCAAGATGGAATCGACTATTGACAAGAGTACGGCGGTGTTTTTTTTTGTAAATTCTTCGTTATTCACATCTTCGTAAATGATGATATTCGATTCTGGAAGTTCGGTCTATATGCGAACAATTATACATATATTTACCGACCGGATGTAGTTAAATGTACCGATCTATTTAAACGTTACCTTTAAGTGTTTACTAAGTTGTTCGAGTCTTTTTTTTAATTCCATCGCAGTGTTTTTGCTGTTATTAGAATTTGAACCATGATTCTTAACGATCCAAACGGATTTTTTAGCTAATACATTTCGCAACACGATTTCGTTGTAGATATCCTGCAACACGTATTACCTAGACATTTAGAATACTCGTGCAAAATATTTCATTAAAGTGAACAACTTACATGTTGGAAAACTCTTTCGAAGTAACCTGCACGAAATTTGACACCCAAATACTTCAGCATTGACATTTGCATTTGAATCTTTTCGTCGCACAACAGCTTTTTGTCTTGTTCCTAGAACGAGACAATATGCAATATAGCACTCGGAAATTATCATTAAAAAAAAACAACACTATGATGTGTACAAGACAAATTTTTCATTTAAAAGAAAACTTGTGACGGTTTATGTTTTAAGCGTCGATTCCGAAAATCCGACATCCGAGATTCCAACTATAAGAAATAACGTAAGGCTCCCCTGAATCAAACTATATCAAAGTGATCCAGTTCATTGAATTACGTTCATTTAACATTTAACACTTGGACATTGACAACCGACACACCGTAGGATACTATCATTCATACTATCGAACGAAGCGCTTAAAATAGCAATTTGCGAAGCGTTTAACGCGCTTTCCCAACTCCTCCCTTTGGGTCATACATTTTCGGTTCTATCGTCAATATTTGAATTGTCTTGTACGCGCACTTACCCGTGTTTCGGCTGTGCTTTCGAATGCCGTTTCGTCCTTCAGAAGGTAGTTTTTATTATTTTCATCCAGGCAGTACCATTTGTCCAGCAGCTTGGAAATTTCCGACCGGGACTTGGCCACTTCGTAGTCCTGTTTAGTGATTTTTTTGGGCAGCACCGGTGTACCTAGCGAGTCGTCCACAAACAACAACGGCACCACGTGGCCTATACGACGCTGGCGACGGAGTTCGTTAATGTCGACATCCGGACATCGGCAAGTGTGTTCTTGATCGCGATCGCAGTTCAGGTCGACCACGTGCAACTCGTATCCGGATTCGGTGCATTTGGAGCGCACGGCCGGCATCAACTTTTCATGCAGGTAAGTCCTCTCGTGGGCGAACCCTGCAAACAGTAAAACATGAGACGGTAAATTCCTTTTAATGTGTGTGCACCGTGCGAAGAACGTAGTGCGTACCTCTATTGTCTGGAAAGCAGACATAGACGACGATTTTGTTTGACTTCTGATCAGCGTTTGGATCGGGAACGCCGAGGAGCAGTTTTTTTATGTCGTCCGAAACGCATTTCAGCTCGTCCGGCAGTTTGTAAGCGTAACTATTCTCCGGGATTTCTACTGCACGACGATAGAAAAAAACACAAAGTTTAATATTATCACCTTATAAAAGCCTTCCTCCGACTCGATGAAATAATGCCGTTCATCACCTTTGACAATGGAGTTTTCGGCCGGCCTGTACGGTTGATGGCAGTCGATCGTCCTGACACCTTGGAATTCTTCATCGTTGGTTTGTTCGGCATTGTTGTTCGTCATATCAGTGGTCGTCGTTGCTGGAGTGTTGGCATTTTTACATTTTTCACCAACAACATTGCTGGATTTGTCTGTTTTTTTCCTGTTTTTCTTAGGACGGACGAATTTCTTGTATCTATACGAATTCATCGAGAAAAACAAAAATGTTTATAAATATAATATATATATATATCATAGTTTAATAATAATTATTATTTGGCTATTCTTATTTTAGAAAAGTGCAAAATATATTTTGGAATGATTCCCGTCGTTTTGGTGTCATCACACGCGGCTAACAAAACATACATAGTTCAAACGAACTACTAATGCCAAATATATCATAAGGAATTTTGTTGTGTTTTTTGACTTGGCGTTTTTGATGGTTTAGCGAACATTGAACAGCGTTTTTGGCAATCTAAATCAATTAGTTCGCTTAATATTTCTTCGTCGACAGAAAACGGAATAAATAAAGTTGTTGATTTTGGGCCGCAAACAGAGAAAGTTGCTACTGTAGGAGGTGCATAAAAGCGTCAGCGGTCTCGAAAATAAACTCAAAAACAAATTCCAATTCCAATAATAAACACGTATAGAAATCTCGGGGCTTAGATGGAAATCAATTGATACTAAAATTTGGTTTTCTACATACACATTTAAAAACGGGTTTTGTAAAAAGCAAATAGGCCAACTGCTGGGGAATTTATGTGTCTTGGAATAAAATGTCGACTTGATTAGTAAAATTATATAGAGAGACAAGTTTTAAAAAATATTGAATTTTATTTTGCTCTGAAACCCGAGAAAAATAATGCAATTTGTATAATAATATCTAAACTGAAAACGATACTGTTTTCGCCATAGTAATTTTATCTGTTGTTGTTTAAATATCAGGCTAGCTTTGGACATCACAAAACGCACTAGATAATTAACGATAACGTTTTAAAGCGTGTTTTTAATATAACTTTCTCTCGGGTTTCTTTGTCAAACATTTGCGGTATCGTTGAATGACAGTACCTAATAGTTTTTAAATTGCCTTTACTTAGCATTGCAGTGAGAATAATAATTTAAAATTAGGTATAGAAATTGTATGTGGTGTGAATGTATCCAACATTTAAGTGCATATATATGTTATGTTTGAAATGAGGTATAAACGAAAATTATAACCAATATATTCTGATTGATTTTAATGAAATTAAAAAAATGTTTTGTTAATTATCTACATAACGTACCTACATTTTATATAATGATAAATATAATGAAAACTGCTGTTTATGAATGTACTTATTGTAATTTTAAGTTAATTATTTTACGAGATAAGTGAGATAAATTTGCTAGTAAGGTTTAGGTAATGTAGTATAATACATTTTTCTTTTGACACTTTTTAAGCTCAACCTAAGCCGGGAAAATATTAACTTGTTTTTTTAATTTCCGATTGACAATTAACGAACAATCAACAACGGGGGCAAATAATTAAGGACTGATGACACCAAACCCTGTAGTTTTTTTTATGTTTCAGTAGTGTTTACACAGTGTATAATTTACAAAACAACTAAATCAATAATGGTTAGAAAACTATATCTAGATTCGTTTCCTTTTCGTACTCTTTCTAATTAAACTCAGGCCAGAAGGTGAAACTTGATGGCGTTAACACTAAACTGAGCCCTGGGAATTGTGAACTGTAGATAATTTGTACAATAGATTCAGACACGCAAAAGACGGATATCTTGTCCGATTGGATAATTTATATCTTAAGTTTGGCATATCGAATAGTCTTGCTGTTTTTATACAATATAAAGAGCTTTTTTATTCAAACTTTTGACAAATAGGCATAATTTTTACTAAAATGTCTGAGTTTAGACTTTCTTCCTTACTGACTCTTTGCAACAATAACACTTGATTCAATTTTGAAAATACCGGCCAGGCGGCACATTTATCTCTTTAGATAAATTACTATTAACTCTAACCAGTCCCGGCACTACTGAGGGGAGGGTTTTGCAGTAATAATCTTTCTCGAAATCGGCTTATTTTTGGTGAACTACGAGTATAGTAATATATTATGATCTCATCTCCTTTCATACATCATCTGACGGATTGTCGATACGACTTAGAACTTCCAAACCCTCCCTAAAAAAATCAAATCTTGGTCGCGGAACTGATACAACCCAATTGCCGCGACCTTGCCCAATCCGCCTAAGACCATGAAAAGAAAACAATCAGCAAGTATAACAATAGTAGTGACAACGCGCAATGTGATTTCGTGACATTTGTAGTGACTACTGGCACAGATGCGCCATGGTCGACGCGTTCACATTCTATGCGTGTCGTCCGATGAAAATGACGCGTCGCGCTTGTTGGACGCGATCGGTCAAACAATACGACCAGAGATCACCGAATAATGATTGTTGTGGTTAAACGCGTCGTCCACGGCCACGCCAACCAGTGTGGTTGAGACGGCGGCAGCTGTCCAAACAGCTCCGCCGCCGCCGTCCTACCCCGTTCGCGGCGCGCCATTAGAAGACGCGGGAAACTCGCTCGCAGGTGCACGACCGACGGAGGGGGCGCCAGTCGCACCGCGAGTTTGCCTCGTCCCCCGTCCCCTCGAAAACCACCGTCCATCGTTTGTACATGCACACTTACTCGTCGGAGCCATTGCTGTCCTTTTGCTTCGACGAGCAATAGTTGCCCATTTGGACTGCGCCGCCGGTATCGGGTATGTCTGTTGCAGCAGGACGTGGGTGCCCGCTCGCCAATTACATATTTTAACGGACCGGCCGAGCGCACTCCACTAAGCGCGCAGTTAAAAAGCGGCGGCGGCTAGGCGACGGCCGAAAACGCACGCTCGATGGGCTAACAAACGCGACACCGGGCGACGATGTGCGTAAGCTCCGACGGCGACGCTCGAAATAGACTAAACCCAACTCGCCCACGGCGACGGCTAGCGACGATAGCGCGCGCACCGGCGCACCCGACGATACCGTTAGCTCGCGGCACGCACGTTGCCAAAACGTCACGTTGCGCGATGCCGGCCGCCGCGTACAGTTTTGTTGTCGTGCAAGTCGACAACACAACGCAAAACGTATCGCTACGCAAAAGTTCACAGTCCGCCGTTTGCGGGTGCGGGAGGTGGACAGCGCGTTTTTTGGAAACAACTTGGGGGTAGAAGAGGGAGGGGCAAAGCGGCGGACGTGATGAAGATGCTGTGCCGCCGGCACATCTTCCGTTGCCGGCTAATAGAAAAATAGCGAAACTAGGAAAGAATATCTAATAAAAAAAAACATATCGATAAATTGTACATTTCAATCAAACAATTTATTAAAGTCAAACAAAAAATGAGTTTTTTTTTCGGTATATGAACCAACAGGCAAAATAGATACATTTTTTATTTTTCGAATCCTTTTAGCTGAATTCGAATATTAATCTCAGAATTGTTGTTATTTTATAAATCATCCCCAATATCGCAAACAAATTACAAAACAAAAAAACAGTTTTATAATATTTTTGTTTGTTTGCACAAAAACAAGTTTTACATAAATTCTGATTTCAGCAAAAAAAAGAAAATTAAAAACTTTATCTGAAAAATAAATTTTAGAAAATAATTCAAACATACAGAACACGCTATAAATTCCGAAAACTGTTTAAAGGCGATTTAAAAGCTTAGAACTGCTAGATGTGCAAGAACAATTATTTTTAGGCCAGCTTTCCTTTGGTATCAAAGAAAAATTGAATAAATGTATGGGTTTTGTTTTAAAATTGTGATAGGTTAGGTTTGGTAACATTTTCAAAATCGTTCATTAACATTTTTGATTGTTATATGAATTGTACTAATACCGTAACAAAATAAGTTTTGACTAAAGTAATTAAAAACAGTTAACTAAATTACTTTTAAACAATTATATTCAAAATGAAAGTATTGGAAATATTAACGAAAACCGACGACTTATAAGGGTATGCTATTGTTCTCTACGATTTCCCAAAATTTCAAAACAACCACCACTGACTACTATGAAAAAAAGGTACAAAAACTACTTACGAAAACGGAAAAAGGTGATAGATCCTTCTATAAATAAATATTGGTCATATTTTTTTAGTAATACTACATGTTGTAGAAAAATATGTGTTTAAAAGCAATTCTGAAAGAATAATTCGTTTAAAATTAGAATTTTGTTGGTTTATCTTTTTGCTTTTGTAAAAAATTGTTTGACGAAATATTTTTAATTTTAATGAAAGTAATGTATTTTATATTGATTATGTATATAACTTTTGAATACCTAAATAGAATAATGTTTTCCGGACAATATGTAAAGGTCCCATCGCTAATACTTACAGCACCGGCTACTGCTTATTAGTTATTACTATTATATTGAATATTATTGATAGTAAAGCCATATACCCCAGTATAGCTTATTATTATAGCTTAAGTTAGACTTAACCGTTAATGTTGTCCACCATTAGTCAGTTGTAAGTTATTCAATCCTCAAATGTTGATAAACATAATAATTGCCAGCAGTAATGAGTGGTATGAAAACCACAGGCTTATGGTGTAAGGTTCTAAAATTGTCTATGAATGCGCATAGTCTGCCTATTTCACATTACAATAAGATCTCGAAATAAAATCCAAAATAGTTTTAAAAAACACAGTTTTTTGGTATTTTAAGAGTTCTGTACTATTAGAATAATATAATTTATTTCAAAGTTTTTTATTTTTATTATATTTTCTATGAAATTGATTTAATTCCACTCAATTCGGAACGAATCTCATAAGTAATGTAAAATGTTTAGTTTTTATTTTAAACACAAAAGAAAATTGTGATTTTTGTTTTGTACCTATGCTTAAACTGACGTGCTAGAGACTAGATTCTAATCCAATAAATAAATTTTTTAAAATGTATATATTTTGTTTTTACTCGTAAATAAAAGGCAACATTTTGTTGTACAACATAATTAATCGAATGCAAACAACGTAACTTCATAATATTTAATTATATTAAAACGGGTTAATAACAATGACCTTCGAAATAAAAACCAAAATGTATACATTTAAAACGATTTTTTCCAGCACAATATTGGTTATTTTATAACTAGCCGCTTAATGTGTAAACTACATACAAAACAATAAACTTAATTTTTATTGTATAAAAAAAAACCTAAAAAAATACACTCTTAATATTCAAGTAAAAACAAAAAACTGATAAGATATGTCAAAAAAAAAAAATTAATCTGCAAATAATCTCTAATCTTTGAGGTATTATGCGAAATAAATTTGTTTTAGGAATTCTGCGATCGACAAACAAATCGTTCATATTTTTTACCTCCGTCGAGTTGCATAAATCCAATAAATAATTCGCACTGCCAGTACAAGAAGGCCGTATATCGAAATATTTCAAATCTAAGGTTTTGGTATCCCTGAATTTGTCTTTTTTTCTCTTTTTTAAGCTAGCGCGATCTATGTATGATATTATTAGTTTGTCAACATTTACGATTTACGCTTATTGAACTGAAACCAATTGATATGTAGCTGAAAACATTATAGCCGTATAACTAAACGTGGCCATTTAAATATATTTGTCGATAACACTACTCGCAGGAAAATTCAAAATGTAGAAAATCGCTCTCCAGTTACTATTATCGATGTGGTGATGTAAGAAATATCGAAACTAGATTGTGCCACATCGATATTGGTACACTGTGGCGGCCATACCCATAGTGTGAGCGAGGTAGGGTGGCCTTCCCCTTTGGCGGCGGCCGTCCTGTAGTGGTGCATCGATTATTCGGTGGCGAGGGTGAGCAACGTTGCCACATATTCGCCTTCTCCGTCACACGAACGTCGTATACCTACCCCTTTGCGCTACCGATTACTTCCGGATTTAGACGTATAATACTCTGGACTTCGACCCTATGACCTCTACCTCTATACGCGGATATCTGATCACAATATGATAATGTCTTGGACAAAAATCCTCGGTATTCGATACCAAATAATGGGCGAACATCTGTTTAGAAGAAGTCGGCTATGGACAATTTTTAGCATGGGACATGCTTTAGATTTAGCCTCCTAGCTCGAAAACGACACAAGATAGCATCACGAAAGTAGCGCGTCTACTTTAAACGAACAATATAACGAGTCGTCGTCGTCGTCGTCATGCAAACGTTTCAGCCAGAACATATAATTATTAATTAAGACTATACAGTCGTCATAAATCGCAAGGAAATTATAGATCAGAAATAATCACTATTCAGGAGCCAGCAGGCTAAAGCGTGTACCATGTTTTATAGTTTTAGCCGATAAGCTTTAAGTAGACTGTAACGTTTTTTATATTTTAGACACTAACACTTGTTGATGTTGGCGATCGAAAAGAAGTCAATGAACTAAATCGACAAAATGTTTATGCGAATAAACGATACTAATTTACCTAACGATATTAGTTATTTTAAGTAGATTCAAAAAAACGGTTTCAATCGTTTTTTTTTAAATTTAATTTTGAACAGAGATAAGCATTCTTTGATTCATTTTTTTATATGAAATGTGATAAATTTTCCGAATTTGGTGAAAACAAATTAAGTCTGATTTATCCAAAAATAAAGTTTAATTCATTAACATAAAACAGTAAAAATCAAAGAGTCTAGTTATAAAAGTAATTAAATATAAGTGAAAAACACACAAACCATAAACAACTTTCAAATATTGGATTTTTAAGTATTATAATTATAAAAACAATACATTTATGTTTTCGACTTCATTCCTTGTCAAAAATTAAATTATTTGTAAGAGCACAAGTTACTAAGGCCCAATTAAGAGGTAGTGTATATTTTAAAACAATTGAAAGTTTACGTGACCATTATTATAAGCAAAATATTTCAGGGGAGGGGGTATTTGCCCCTGGTATGAGCCCTGATTTAGACAAACAATTTAAGATAATTTATTACTTATAAATGAATAACAATTTTTTAGTTATTAAAATTTAATTTGAAATTATCTCAAATCATTTTTTTTATCTATAATTAATAAATTAACTAATTAACAATTTTTTATTATTAAGTTAGGTATAATTCGTGTTTTTGCGAATTTTTCATTATTTACTACATTATTTTTGTTTAACGCTGAATTATAAAAAATACCCAACACTTTGATTTCTACCGTACATTTATTCATTTATCTAAAGCAGCCGATTTAAAAATTATCTCCGTAATGACAATGCTCTCTTTTCAATTATGACGTTTATATTATATTATAACACTTACACTGCACTAATACTAATTGTTTAACGATACATACAATCAATATTAATTAAAAGCTTTTCAAATGACATTAGGCTCGAACAATTATTTATACAAACAGACAAAAGTAATAATAAGCAGCACACTGTTTTTAAATCTATATATATAAAAACGAATTCTTGTCTATTTGTCCTTTATGCATTAGTACACCATTCATCCGATCGTCCTGAAACTTTGAGAAGTTGTTGAGTACACTCCCGCGAACCTAACTGGCATAGTACTTTTCGAAAATTCCTCCCCTAAGAATGACCTCAAACACGAACTTTGTACTTTAAATAAATTAAATGTTTGTAACCATAGTAACCCAAAATAAACACTTGGTTTGTAACTACGGTACTCGAGCAAATGGTAGGTGATGATTAAAGGAACAGGCCGATTTTATGTACCACGATTCTGGGCAAGCTTTTAACTGTTGGATTAGGATCTGGGACTGAGACTGGGACCCTTGAGTAAGAGGAGGACATAATAACCGAAAAAGTGTCACAAAAATTCTGTCACGCTGTTATCTGATAAAAGATAAGAGATTAAAGATGAGGGGTGGGGATGGGGAATTATTTTGCTCAGCCTTGGCAGACTAAATGTCGGGGAACGCCGGGTCCGGACAGCTTCTATTTAATAAACATTAAACATTAAGAAACACACAGTTTTTAAATATTTAATAAACATTAAACATTTATTCATATTAATATCTCATTAATAATATAAGTACAATGTTGGTGATACACCATATAATACGAAATGAGTTCTCATACAACATACGTAGAAAACACAATAGGAAGATGGTGAAACCCTCTAATATTATTCTAGATGAAAAAAAAAAAAAGAAAAGGCGAGAGAGAAAATAAGTTTATCTTTTTATAACAATTATTATTACAATAAATAGTTGGGTATTTATTTTTATATTTAGTTTTAAATATGATATACCAAAAAAGGTAATTAAGTTAAAATACATATATTTATTTATAATAATAAAATTATGAAAGCGCGTAAAAATAGTGTAAGTCTTATTAATCAGTGGAGCCTGTCGATAGATTATCGTTACGTGCTTTTATGAAAATTAATTTATTTCTTAAAATCAATGTCACAGCTATTTAAAAAAAAAAACCTAGTAGTATTAAATATACTTTATTCATGAATAAAAAAAATTATTTTCTAATAGAATTATTATACAAAAAAAGTTTAATTTATTTTCCCATATTAGAATGGAGAACGTTTATTTTCGCATAAACCTTTTTTATTTTGCAATACAGAATGAGGTGAAAAGAGAGATCGATCTAATGGCCGTATGCAATTGCTTGTGGCACGCCATTAATAGTTTTCGACTTGAGCATATCATTCTCATATGTTTCGACTATTTCTTTGCCTCCTTCTGATATTCTGTAATAGACGTAAATATTGCAAGTTTTAAAGTTATCATTAACTAACTGATTTACATTTTATATTACATACTTTTTAGTAGTAATTTTTTTCCCATTAACAAATCTTGTGGATATCGACGTTCTTTTTATATTACCGCCACTGCCACCACCGCCATTAGCGAATCCCGCATTTGCCATTGAGAACATGTCGTCAAATCCAGAACCGAATCCTCCGCCGAAACCTCCAAATCCAAAAGGATTCATCATCGTCGACATCTCATGATGTCCACTGTACCTTTGGCCTAAAATATGTTTGAAACTATTTAATTATGGAGTGATTAATTACTGACAAAAACATTATGTCTGTAATATATTTATGTGTACATAATTCCACAATTGATTAACACTGAAGTTGCTACATATTACAAAGGTCGCATGGTACTGGCACATTTATTACTTAACCACAAAATATAAAATTTACATAATCTCACTACAATATATATCAATGTCCAATACATACCCGGAAATAGAAGGTCTGTAATATCAGAAGTGTTGAAAAACTCTCTGAAAACGTCTTCCGGATCTCTAAAATTGAAAAATCCAGATCCAAAGTCTTGGCCAAATGGATCGTAGTGATTAGTGTGTCGAGGGCCTCTGCGGCGACCACCATGTCCTGCTCCACCGTTTATCAAACCATCTTTGCCATATTGGTTGTATGCCTTTCGTTTTTTGTCTGTAAATCAGTAATTAAGGCTTAAGAACTAATAATCATTTAAGATCAGAGTTGGCAATAACCCAGGTTTTTTTTTAAGCCCAACCCAGTTAAGTTTCTGAGGTATGCACAAACCCAATAGTTTTGGGTAAAAACCAAACATTCGCTGGGATTAAACAAAAAAAACACTATACAATTTCTTTGGGTTTGGGATTTTTATTGCCAACTTTGCTTAAAGAAAAATGTTGTTATTAGTATGAAAAGAGAAATTAATAGGGTTAAGAGTGGCTTTAGATAGGCGTCAATTCTTCTTGTTAATTTTCCATGCTCCGGCTCTGATAAATTTTATTTGGTGTTTTAGTGAAATGTAAATCAGTAAATATTAAAAACAAGTTTACATAGGCGTGCGCAAGTCTATTAAAAAAATTGTATTTTAAGATAATATTTTTTGAAGAGCCGGTCAATGATTATCTTTTTTAAAACTTTAATAAATACATTAGGATTATTAATTAGTTAGCAACTTGCTATGCAGTCAACGAGTAAATTAAATTAGCAATAGCTCGAATGGGCAGCTTTCTTAGGTACTATTTACACTACCTTAGTGAATATTGAAATACAATATACATTATAATTTTTACATAATGCACGAAATGATTTTAATTGATTGATATAAATTCCAAATGCATAAAACTAAATTTACTTGTTGTAAGCTAAACAAAAAATCCAAGGTACGACCATGACTAGACGGCGCACGCCAATAATGCTAGTTACGGATTATTGTTGTTGTTAAATGATAGTTAATAACTCGACACAAAATAAACTTTAAATTAGGGGTTCTACCGAAATAACGATGAAACGGGCTTTCAAAGAAGTTGTAGAAGAACGGCTTAGGTGATGCAGAAAATTTTCTTTTACGCTGGTCGTCATACAACTTTCTTTTTGTCTCTGTTTGAAGAAAATACAATATTAAGGTATAGCCCCTGCTTAGTATATATATATATATATATATACTAGTATATATATAGTAGTACTACAAGTAGTAGTATATACTACTTAGTATATATATATATAATTTGGTATGCCACTATTTCAGTTTTTAAAATCATTAAATATTCTATTCATTATTATTCTTTGAGAAACAATTAGCTTAATTAGTCATTATATATATATGTTTAGAGTTGTTTAAAACAATTTTTTTCAAGATATTTCTAAGAGTGTAATAGATTTGTACAAATACAGAGATACATCATGTTTTTTCAGTACCGTCAGATAATACTTCGTAAGCTTCAGATATTGTTTTAAACATTCTATTCGCTTGTTCTTGGTTTTCTGGATTCTTGTCCGGATGCCATTTTAATGCCAATTTTCTATACCTGTTAATATAAGTAAATAGTTGTATTTTAATCACCAATCGATGATAGTATATAGGAATAAGTATTAAGTATAAATAATACATACGCTTTTTTAATATCGTTTATGGATGCATTCTGGGTCACTCCCAACACGGAATAGTAATCTCCAGACATACTCTGAAGTATTTTCTGGAACTTAACCTCTTAGCTAGATCCTGGAACACAAATTAAAGAAGAACAAATTAATACAACTTGTGACGGCAACAATTTTTACAAGTTTAATGATATTAAGTGGGATTTTAATTTTTAAACGTATAGTACACATAATCTATAGTGATTATTCTTATTGAACTTTCGATAAAATCATCGTTATCTAGTTATGGTATTTGTGTTAATTTCACAAGATAAAAATGTTATCGATAATCAATCTTCAATTATATTTTCAGTATAATATTATATTCTTATTATGGTTATTACTATACATAGTCATTATCATAGAACAACAAATTTGGCCTTGATGATGCAAATTCTAAAGGCACACTATATTAATTTATTTTTAGAGGTTTTTCCTTTTCCTGATCACGGAGCGGTATATTAATAGAGTACGACAAACTATTTGTATGGAGAACACATGCCAACTGTTCCGGCAAACGAAACAGATAGCAATCCACACAACTAGCAGTACTTCCATTTTTATGTATTTTTTAAATTTAATTTTGATAATGATATTTTAAATAAACAGACTATGTAGCGATAACTTGAGGTCAAAATAACTATTTAATTTGCATTAATAACTAAACAAAATAAAATACTCAACAGAGAAGAAATACAAAAAACAGATATTTTTATGTGCAACATATTATTAAACCCTCAAAGTATTTAAAATATATTTTATTAAATTATGTTATTTGTAATTTTATAGATTTACAAATATATTAACATAATAAATAAATAAAAGTATTTAAAATAAAATTGGTTATATTTTAATTATTCAAATGTTATTTGAAAACTATCAAATGAAGGGCAGCGGGGAAAAAAGATGAATGTCAATTTTTTAACATTCTGAGAAAACCATGTTTTTAATTTCAAAACGTAATAACCTATTTTTTTCCTTGGTTCGAGATTATAAAAGATACAATACATCAATACAAATAATTTGATACCAAAATCTCATTTTCAAAAAAAATTGACATTGATATTTTTCCCCGCAGCCCTTCAAAAAGTAAATTATTTGAAATACATTTTTTTTTTTAAGTTTTAATTAATATCTTATTCGATTTGTTTTAGCTGTTATTTAAATCAATTTTGCCTAATTCTAATTAAAAATTTGTTTTCGCTATGAGGAAAACTTAAACTACTTATAAACAAAATTGTGTGCAAAATTGTCTATCATTATGTTAATTCATAGTTCGGCGACAACTAGGCCAACACTCGATGGTAGGGGCACCTTAGGAACACCCGCATTAATAAACTATAAATTAAACGAATCTACAAAAGTCTATTAGTCATATTATAACCCATTATGGCGTGTGGCGATGAGTAATGTATAATGCAGATATAGCATGCAAGATGTTTATTATAGTACACTTAAAATCTATTAAGTACTCACTCATAATAAGTAGTCTAACGATTAGCTTAAATGTTTGGGAGTTATTTAAGTTTTTTTTTTTATGAAACTGTTAACCACTGTTTATTATTATTTTATTAAAAGACACTAGCATTATTTTTATATTTCATGGGAAATTTTGTTGGAGAAATTATTATTATTTTTTTACATTATAATATTTAATATTAATATTAGTATTGTTTTTATTTAAAGTGAATTTCCCACAGTAGTTTCCAATGCACAGAAAATATATTAACATATTATTGACCTTGGCCTTCATTTTTTTTAAAATTCTATTGTATTGATGTATAGAAGGACGCCTAAGGTTCGGACTCGCTTTAAATAGCGACGGGGTGGCTTACAGCAACGTATACGGATTGTAAAGAATAATAGCAACTGTACAAAAGCTGAGAGACAATAATTGTTTAATTATTAAACATTAATGACATCAAAGACCAATAAATTGATATGGTAATGAAAACGTCTTCAATACACAGACCAACGCTCTTCCCGGACTCCAAAATTAGTTACACGTTTAATACAGAATATTATAGTGCTAATATCGTTATTATACACATGATGATACAGGCAATACGGCAATAAAATAACAATAATTATAAATGTGTTGAAGATTTACTTTTGAGTACTAACTACCGCTGTTTTTACTATATAGCTGTATTTTGTGGAAGAATGGTCGTCTTGGTACCATTTTGAATTTCCCGTGTGAAAAAAGACATGTTTATTTTTAAAATATATTAAACGACCAAAAATAATTGTAAAAAAAAAACCATAAAAACTGACTGAGAACCGTAACTGGTTTTAACGGATAAAATATACAATAATAATTTTATGTTAATATGTAACAAGAACCACCAACGTAATAAAAAAATCTTTTTAAAAAATGGTTTTTAAGTTATTCAGCAAAAAATAAAAACTAGTCTGACGAGCTACCTAATGGTTTGTAAAAATGTAATAAACCTAAATAGACAAAATATTTAATACCTATTGGTTGACATTTAATTAGCCACCGCAATACTGGTGCACGTCAATCGCGCGATTGCTGTGACAATCTTGGATTTTTTTAACCGTATAAATTTACTGGTATATAAAAAAAAACTACATAGGCTGCATAACGGGACAAACGTATTATGAAATAATAATGCAAACCGTCACGACTCTACGTTATACCTAACCAAATTCTTTTGTGAAAAAAAAAAGTATAAAAAATGTTAGATTATACAGAAATATGTCGGTTTCCTTGACGACTCAAAGTCATATTTATATAGATTACACGACAATCGATAACCATATTTTGATTTAGGTTAAAATATATCCACGAGTACGCAAATCGGCAAATATAATATTATAGACTATAGTAGTGTGAAAAATGTTATTAATCTTGACATTGTAACAGAAGGAAAACCCATTCGTCTTGTTTATGTTCTCCGTAAAAGGAATTTGTGTCGTTTAATTCGCGTATTTCAAAAATTATTCTTCGTTCCAGCATACATCAAAAATAGGTCTAGCATTATTTGTCCATCCCAGAAAAAAAATAAACAATAACAATTGCGTAGTTAGGAACACAATCTGGTCAATTATTTTATCGTTTTTACCCTAAAGCTTTTTTTGAGCACAAAATGTAAACATTTATGCCCAACTGTCATCACTTAAGTTATCGCATTTAATATTAGGTCACAACAGTTGTGATGGGAAAGGCACATTTACACGTCACTAATTTTATGAGTTCGTATACTCAAAAATCTTAAATTTGTTAAACATTCAAATTTGTGATTATATAAAACCTATTAATTTAGAGATACGTCTAATTGACGTCTTGAAGTTCAGTTGTTTTGACTTCCACTTCTTCTTTCCTTCCAAACGGCCAAGACACTTGCACGTTTATTATAATGGTTTGTAAGTATTATTATTACTCCACGACTTTTTAGAGACATAATATTTTACAATAAATACTATAGGGTATATCGTAAAAATGTAATAAAAAATAAAATAAAGTCAATTGCACAATGTGTTAAGTAATAATTAATTATGGTATTTTTATATTGAGACATTTGAACACAGCTGATTATTTCAATCGCTGTTGCTTGTTGAACCAATTGAATTTAAATGTGTTCAAACTACAAAGACCAGATGGTGCACACATTTTGCACTTGACTCGATTTTATTTTAAATTTCAATTGTATTCCTTGATTTCTAGCGTCTTCAAATACAACAAAATGTAATACTAGACCATATTTAACATTTATTAGTATATAATACCTAATAAGAAAATGTAATTTAATTTGTTCCAACACCTACTCGATTCTTGAAGAACTATTTTAAGAAAATGTTTCTTAATTCTTTAAAACTGACAACTGATCCGTATTTCATTCTGATAAAACAGGTCAGACATTTTGGCGCTAGACAGAGCAGAATAACGACGCAAACAAACCATTTGTCGCTTATTGACGAGTAATAATCCAGTCGAGTACGTAGCGCTCACGCCAGAGTACTTTAGTAAAGTTCTTAGAAATATAATGAAAACTGGTAGAACGTGCGACGCTATGCAGACTCAACATTGGTGTAAACAAGAAAATTTGCAGTATATTCATTGTTTTTTGTTCAACAACATTTGTGATTCGTTTATTTTTCTCGTTCCAAAATACATTCGTTCAAACAATAAAAATTGAAATAAAATCACAACAAAAACAAAACAGACACCATCGATTTTATAGTCTATTGTTACTAGGGTTTTAAGTGACTGTGGCTAATTTGCGTGCAAAAAAGGTATTGTAAGTATTAAATTCGAGTACACTTTTTAACTATACTCGTTTACCTCTATTGAATGCGATTTAGATCCCTCCTCAGTCCCCTCGTCTTTATAAATGAAAGAGCTCAACCAAATGTGTCATAAAAAAATAAACTAAACGCCAACATCTTCCTGGCAATCGGCATAGAAATGTTATGAGAAAACCAACTATTAGAAAAGTATAATATTGGAAGAAGTAAAAAACGTTTTCATAGAAAACATAGTCCAACCGATCACTATTTTCATATTTCTTTTTAGGTCAACCAACATAGAATACGTTGTCGCCTCCGTTCTCTCAATAGAAACCACACACTCGACAATGCGCACGTACACGGTGTACCAGCTGTCAGCTAATTTGTACTACAAAAAAAAAAAAAACAGAACTCAGTATATAGGATTATATTATTTTATACAAAAGTTGTACACGCACCGATGGCAACCGGCCACGAGGTATTCGGTGTAGACAATGGATATGTGTGTGCGTACGAGATTCTTTCTTTGAGATTTAAAAAGATCCAGCCGCGGCTAAAGAGCATTTTTCCAGACGACAAGTAATATTACAAACCACACACACACACACAAACGGAAACTTAGTAGGTGTCGATGTTGGACAATGACCTTGCCGGTCGCTTTCCCGTGTATGTAACACAAATCGGTCGCTATGAATCATCATAATATTAGTATATATTTTCTGCTGTACTGTAACCCACTTGGTTTGTGGCTACCGGCGACGGTGATAGGTAAACTGTACAGACTGCGTAGTCTCCGTAGTGTATGTATAAATAATATATATTTGTTATTCAATGGCTATGACGAAACCGTGCAATATTCTATCCTTGTCGCTGCATTTTGAAAACGTGTTGTACAAGATGAGGAAAGGAAGGGGAGAGAAAAAGAAAAACGCCACGTTAATTTATTATCCCGGTGAAATTTTTATGTTCACCTCTCTTTTTCCCTCCCGAAACAACAAAATAGAAAACCATAAGACTGCTTTCATCCGCACCGATCGTACTAATTTGACGATACAATAATAATTATATTTTTTAATGGACCTAAGTAGGGGCTTTCACCGTAATCACCTTGTATGGACATGATTTTAAACGCGCTACCAGAAGTTTCATCGACCATATAATTTACCGTGTACAATACGACACTAATTAACAAGACTGAGTGAGAAAATGACACGTCGAGGTGTTTAGTATACAAAATATATTACATAGGTGGCCCTGTCGCACAACCCGTACGATTCAGCTGTTGTTGGTTTTATGGTTAAGCCGGGGGGCAAGGGAAATGGAAGAACAATAAACCCGCCGACTAAGGACGACCACCTACATGGGTCTATGTGTGTGTATATGAGTAAAAATTCATTGGTCTGTGCATACAGGCGGTCTTACACAACACCTTAAGCGAGCCTCAAATCTCAAACACGATAATAATAAAACATAAATCGATAATTCTCATTACGGAATATTAAACCATAATAAAAATGTAATGTAATATAAGCGGCGATTTCGAGAAAAACGAAAATTATCAGATATTTACTTAAATAAAAAAGTGGTTCGCTGCTGCAGTGACCGGCGGCAACACAATGAGCATGCCAAACGTCAATCAATCAATAATGCTGGTCAGCTGCTGCTGATGGGCACACGTCTAAGATGTATACACGTTAAATGCCGTTAACGCCCGAAGACCGAAGACGACGTCAATGCATGCTGTATATAACAACGGGACGGCTGCGCGCCCAAACGTCTAACAGAAATAATAGTAATATAAAAGAAAACTAGTGTATAAAAAGATTGAACGAGACACGATGACGTGTGACAAATCTATAACATACAAACTTTGGCGCGCAACCGCAGGTACTAATGTGTGCACCATATATATATATATATATATATATATATATATATATATATATATAGCAGTGTTGTAGATTTTTCTCGCGGTAAAGGTGTTTTTTTAGACAAATTTTCAGTAAAATAGCAAACTTGTAAATCGACAAGAGAAAGTTAACTCATGGTATCAATTAATGTGTGCAAGAGAGCACTGAACAATCCAAACTAAATTTTCGGATATCTGATTGAATTATGAATCTATTTGTAAACTATATTTAGATTGCTTAGCGCTTTCTATGGTCAACAGAAAAACTTCACCGTTCGGATTGAACGAAAATATTGTTGCAATCCAATTTAGTTATTTGCTAAAAAAATGGTTTGGTCGCGTATATTAATCATCAATTTTTCTGAATTTAGTTACATTGCAGGGGTGGTCTCTAATGAAATATTGTCACAGCCGGCAGTCCTTATTAGTGGAGATTTTCTGTGAGGGCTTTAAATGGATTTTCGTAACTGTAATTGTAACAAAGGGGTACGACAGCCGAAATTCAGAAGAACAAAATGTAAACACGTAAAATAGTATTACTGCACGAGTCATTTGCTTTTGCACGAAACCAATATAAACGATTATTATTAAAGTCGATTATTCAACCAACTAAAGGTTAAATACTCCGCAATAGTGTATACACATTATACTACGCTATAAAAAGGTTTGTACAGATAAAAATATATCGTTCGTTTTTATGGTGATCACGATCCAACAACTCGATGTAAATATAATGAAATTTATACATAAAACGCTGGTAATTTCGACAATCGTTCGTTTACTTTCAAAAACATATTTCCTACACACGCGTACGCGGAAACATAGCCTTCAACTTGCTACTTATGGTCAACATATTTTATTCTTTGAAGCATTTAAATAAAGTGTGTTTTCAATTATTATTAAAATTGAAAAGAACACTACATGACGATCAATTTATTAGGCATTTCCTTGTAGGCAGCCGCAGTCGATGTGGTTAGACCACAACAATGAACAAATTATGCGAAAATAATTGTAATATCAACGCGAAATTATTAGGTACTGGTTGACGACGATGATGATAACATTATGCTTGAGCTTTATATGGATCTAAAGAGTAATTTATTTTATACGAAATTTTCATATGGGTACACTACACGCGTTTAACCTTGGACGGTTATTAAACGGTTGAATTCGCGTTGCAGTTTGTACAATCGCCACTTAATATTCTGCTTAATTATCACTCAATATATATTTTTTGAACCCGAATTTTTTTTTTTTTGAAACTCGAATACACTGTAAAAAAAAATATTATTATCTTACACTACATATTGCGTTTTACACGTTTTTTTTTACTTCTAAATTTAAATTCCAAATAATCTGTCATCACTCAACACACGATCTATTGTTCAAACCGACGTATTTTGTAGAGCGTGAACATTCACAAGAAGAATTATTTTGTTTAAAACGTAGGACGAATACATAGCTATATTTAACCTGCCACTGTTAATCAGTTTTTTTTTTATTTCACAAAAATCTTAACGGAAAATATTATTATTTTACTTACTATTAAATTAGTTTGATGTACCTAATGAAGGGAATAATTGTATTTCCTACAATTTAAAAATAAATATTTAGGTAGGTATCAACAATCCAACTACAGATACATATTATAATCTTTAAAAATAGTATGGGAATTAAACAAGAAATGCAATAAAAGTTTAAGCATAATAAAATGGTTAACAAACCAATAATAATAGATAGCACATTGAAGGATTCAATATTATCATTAATTTAAAGCTTGCGTGCAGTATGCATCATTTTAATTATAACAAAGCCTATCTTAGATAGACCCTGAGTAAATTGGCAAAATGTATAAGATAGACTGTGTATTTATATTTTATTAAATAGTGTTAAACAAAATTATAAGTCTTGCGATTCCATCTTAGACATGTTTCACAGTAATATATTTTATATAATGAATTTCAACTCTAATATCACAGCAAATAAATAATCTATATGTTCAATGGCAAGTTTAACAACATTTAATTCATCTAGTCAAAATTAAAATTAATATATAAATTAACACTATTAAAACTATGTCCAAATTAAAAATGTTTATATCAAAACAAATGAATGCAATTTATAAAAATACTATAACACTAACAAATGTATTTTACACTTATGGCTAAAATAAAGTTATGTTTTATGTTGATATATTCATTTTATGCTGTAATTAATTTGTTAAAGCTACAAGCTACAATATTTTTTTAGGTTGCCTCCTAACATTAAATTTATAATATTTTATTGAAAAACAAAATAATAATTACTAATACAAATTCAGTTTCTACGAACACTTACAATAATATATTAATGCAAAACATATGAAATGTTTAATTAAAGGTTTAAAATATGTAGGTAATGATTGGTGTTATACCCGATTGAATTCCAATTTTAAACGCCCTTGCTAGTTGACAGTAAAACTAACATACTACATATTATTAACACACATCACTAACACCAAACACATACACGACTACACTATATAAAAAAAATTCAAGAAGACCCACAATGCACAACACAAACCCTTATTAAACAAATAAGCGTGTTCGCTACTAAATTAAATGTGTATGGTAATATGTACACGACTAAAAATAATAATATAATACATGTACACCTAGGTAGGAATATATTAAGTATAATATTTTATCCCTACATACAATTTGTATATTAACATTACCACTTACCTTATGATTCTCTGTTGTGTTCTCGAACCGAATAACAATCACCAGACTAAATTTTAAGCGCTAAGTTCAACAATCGAATTTTTAAACAAAAAACTAATGTTGAATACGTAATAATATTAATTATTGTTAAATTCGATTGTTTAATATTCCCTTCTTGTTGCCCCGAGATAATGAACTCGTCTCCGATAGCGAGCACAATAAAACATATGGTTCACAGCATTTCGCAAGTGATGTCTGGTTGATACCACGTGGTTTCGTACCAAAGAAGTTGTATAAAATATTTTCCCTCGCTTCAGCATTAATATTTAAACACGCAATGAGTTGACATTATTTGCTATGCATTATGTAAATATTAAAAAAAAAAACAAAATTAATGCATTTACATAAAATAAAACAACACAATTAACCTATCGATTAAAATTAAAAAAAAAACAAAAGTATTTAATTACACATAGATGTATGTATAATATTTAAAAATGTATTACGCAAATCTGAATCCACGTGCACCTGATTATAGTTTCGAAACTATTGATTAAATATGCTTAAATTAAAACACACTTGAAACATACCTAATACATAAATAATTTATTTTATAAATAGTAATGTCCATATAACACTATTACATTTAAGGTATTTTGTCAGTATAACATTTTATGATAAAGGTTATTAAAAATAAAAATACATTTAAGGTGTTATTAATTATATAAATCAAATATTTTTTAAAGAAAAATAACATGGCCTCGACTTTTTAAAATGTATCTACAATAGTAATGAATATCTATACATTAAGAGATATAATTATATGCTTTTAATTGTCTTTCCATCAAAATATGTTCAATCTTCAGTTTTTTAATAGCACTTTGATATTCATTTGTCATTTTTTTTAACTAAAGGTTAAATGCAAAACGAATTAAACATTTCTTATAAACAGCAGTAATAATATATAGTACTAAAATATAAAAATTTACATTTAATGAGACCATTAAAATTTACCTTTTTTGACTGTATTTCATGCAGTTGAGTTCTGATTATCTGTTCATTTTTTATTTCGTCATCAATTTCAGAAAGATTAACAAGGAAAAATTCTGAAACTTCATCCAATTTTCTTTTCAATGTATCCTCTAAACAAAAATATTGTTGAATTGTAATTTTAAACCCAATAATAGCATTAAACAATAGCAGATTTAGTTTGCAGTCGAGTCAATGCATTTAAATAGTGTACAGAGAACTTAACCTAATCTATCAACTAAAGAGAGAAAAAAACAACTATTTATTGGTGAAATAAAAAGGTAAGCTGTTTTTATTTGAATTACATTATTATATGGTATTTTGCATTAAAAAAAAAAAAATAATAAAGAATGGTGTAGAATTGATTTTTGTATTAAATTAAAAAAGGTGTCACCTTTCCACATTTCTTGCCACAATTGATAGTGTCATAATTATAAGTTGAAAAATTACTTATTTATTTTTAGGGGTTTTTTTTTTAATTTTGTAAAATGAAGGTTACATTTTTTAACTATTGACCTTATAAAGTACCTTTTAGGTGCAATTAATGATTTATTTACATGTTACGTGTAGAAACTAGGCAGCTTATGTAAGTCCAGACACAAACTATTTTATTTTTTAAAAACCGTCATTGTAAAACATTGAAGAAAAGATTAAGTTTTATTATAAATAAAATAATTTTCGCTTTACCTTCTAGGTCTAATACTTCTTCTAAAGTATGCTGACTTAATAACCATTTGCGCTAAAATATAATATTTCATAAGCAATTAAATAGATTATATTAATATTCTAGTAAAATACTTGTTAATGAAGTAGTTATAACTTACTTGATTCAATGTATCCAAATGAACTTTCAAAAAAATATAATATTCTAAACATAAGCATATTTGAACATGTTAATGATACATACAAATAATTTTTTTTTTATAAATTAATAAAATATTCATTCCCTGTTATAGTTGTCATCATATAAGTATATATGTTTTATTTTTACATTAAAAAAATTTGCAGAAACCAAAAAATAAACTATACAATTAAAAAACAACCAATAAAACCTTTATACATACTTATATTATCATTCATTGAGCTTATTAAATCAGTGTCTGGCATATTTAATTTATCCAACTGCATTTGTTTTTCGTATAATTTGTTCAATTCTATTCTTAATTGCTGTAACTTTTGTTTCTTGTTTTGCACATTATAACTAGATATGTCTGAACTTTTAATTATATCTTTTCTGAACTGTTAACGTACAGTAAAGAACATTATTTTGATTTGTATGATACATATAAAACATCAATTGTTATTAATTGTTTTCTTTACATTAATGTGTCTATATAAGAATTTTATTTTTTTACCCAATTTATTTATTATTATTATTCATTTATGTTTTGTTTAATTAAATATATAGAAGTTATCCAAGCAAATTTTTATTGGTGGATATAGAAAAACTGTATGAGTTTAATTTATGTAAACTATACATTATCAATTTCGAAAATTCTTAAAATATTGACATATTAACAAATGGAAATACAGTTTTTTTGTAGTAACTTATTATGTGAGTAAACGCATCAAAGAAGTTAACATTTTTTTAATTACCTCATAAAATGCAATAAATCTCTGTTCAATTTCTAAAGCCGATTCCAAAATTTTGTCATTTTCCATTTTACTATAGATCGAAAGTTTGGAACTCTGACTTAAGTATATGTACTTCAGAAACCACAGCAAATAATGTTAATGTTATTAAAAAAAATTAGAAAAATATTTTATTTTATTTTACGAATTGTAGTTATTTAATGATACAATACAATACCAAAATATCATTACAAGATAATAAATAGTTTAGACTAGAGAAATGAGAATTGTCAAGAAATTATTTCTTGTTGAGGGATTCTCATCCCTTGACTCTTATTATTTGTTAAGCCATAAGCCATAGATATTATGTATAGTGTATAGACTAAACAGTATATGCTATGAATACACCATCAGCGCAATGTCACCAACCTTAAACTATTGTTATCTCTAGTCAGCTGACTCGTCTACACTGTAGTTCACTACTTGTTCAAGACCAACACTAACATTGATACCGTCAGAAATTTCCTAGAAGTGTTTTTTTTCTTTATTATTATTTTAATATAATTATAATTTTTTTTTTTTTTTGGAATTTGCGTTCTCTGCGTGAAAATCCAGTTGTGAATAACGAATGTAACTAAACTTTAGTGGTCTGTTCGACCATGTCTTCCGAAAACCTAGAAATCGTACACGAAGGATGGCTAACGAAATCACCTCCTGCCAAAAGGGTACTTAAAGCAGTCAGTGTGAAATTGGTGAGTGTTTTCTACTAATGTTTGGTAAATAATATTTGTCTATTGTGTTAATAAAATAAAATTTATTCATAGTAAATTATTTTCCGCTACAGTTGTCTTTTTTTACAATTTTAAAGTCTTAATGATTCGCGAGAACATTGTAGATATTTTGTTGTATATAAATGTATAAACCTTTGTAAAACTAATCAAAACTTTTGAATAAGTACTACCTATTAACAATTACCAACGTTTAAAAAAAAAAAATTCTGTAAACTGAAGCAAATTGTTGTTGAGTGTGAACAACTCACATACTTGTTGAGTATTAACAACTTGCGTACTTGTCAAGTGTAAAACTTAAATTTTTGTAACTAAAATAAAGTATAAATACATTTTTAAAATTCATATCTCGACTTTTTGGGTGTGGACAATTTAGTTTTCATATTTGTTTCCTTTGTACTTGACATTTTGAGTAGTTTCATATTTTACATTTCCATTTAGATATCAATTAAAATATTTGTATAATTATGAGATAATATTAGTGGTGAAGTTTGATTGGTAAAATTTTTATCGTGAAGAATAATATCAGTTATCAAATTGTATTAACATTAGTTAGGTAAATGTGAATGATTGTGTATGCATATGTAACTATAGTTTACATTTGCTATATTATACCTAAAAGTATAATCATTTTGTTAAGATTACAGTTTCTATAACTCTAATGTATATTTTTTGTGTTTTAGAAATGGCGTAGAAGATGGTTTGTACTTCGTCACTCTGGTGAATTACCTGGACAATATTTTCTTGCATATTACACGGATAAAAGTCGCAGAAAAATGAAAGGACGAATAGATTTGGATCAGTGTGAACAAGTATATATTGTTGTTTATTTTATGAATTCTTATGGATACAAATTTTAGTTACATACTTTTGCAATATTGTCGTCAGTAGACGGATGAGTATGATGTACAAAAATAAGTCTAAATTTGTATTTGGCTCGTTAGTAGTCAAAGACAGGAAATTCCGCTCACAATCCCCTTAATATAGAAAATAACTTTAAATATAAGTATTAACTATCAATATTGCTATTAAACGTACAATTAGAAGATCAAACCAAAATATATTATTGTCAATTGCACAGGCCGCATCTTATTTTCTGCACAAATAGCTTCTCTTATTACATGCAGTGTAGCGTTATTTATTAACAAAAGTTGTTACACAAATCTAACAGTGTTAAAAAAAATATATAACATATGTTGGTGTATAATTCAACAATTTTACATAAAAAATTAAATAACTCTAATTTTGGTTATTTTCAAAATATTGGTATTAAATTAAAAGTTAACAATTTTCCTACATAATAACCAAATAATAATGTATAACCTTACATTAAATGTTAATATCATAATTTGATATTATTAACTAAAATAATAATTAATTTTAATTGCTTTTTTTCTCAAAACACTTATGTTTGAATTATCTAGTATTCTTTTATACGACAGAAGAATTTTAATTGTATATTATTTTTATCTAAAAACACAAAATAAAATGAACATAGGTGATTTTTAAGGAAAAAAATTTATTTTTCTCATTACATGTTTAACCTATAATTTATTTTAGGTTGATGCTGGGTTAAGGTTTGAGGATCGTAAATCTAAATACCATTACATGTTTGATATAAAAACGCCAAAAAGGACGTATTATTTAGCCGCCGAGTCTGAAGATGATATGAACAAATGGGTGGATTTTGTGTGTCACGTCTGTGGACTAAAACCATTTACAGTTGACGAGAATGCAGGTATATGTAACACTGTTATCAAAGTTTAACTCTTCAATTGTATAATTGAATCACAATAACCAATTTTAATAATTACTTTTAGATTTTGAGTGTTCTGTCAGTAGCGTTTGTAGACCGTTCCCTTTGAGTGTTGAGGAACAAGACGAAGAGCATTCCTCGCCCGATTCACCCACTAGCACATCATCGAGCCATTATATTCCCATAAGTGAATGTATTTCTGGAAAACCCCTTCTACCAATTCTCCCTCGTACCACTTTAGAAGAGTCTTATGACCTGCCACGTCGCATAAGACCTACTCCTCGCTTTTCAGAATCACCTCCGCCAAGTCCCGGATCAGAATCGGTTTTTACAGACGATGAATCTATTAGCGGGTGTACTATAATTCGCCCTTCAGTTAACTGGCAAACTTTCCCACGCTTATCTCAAAACTCACCAGACTTGCCAATTGCAGCTAATCGAAGGTTTACTAAAGTAATACCAGAAGGACAACTTGCCGCACCTCCGAGACCACCAAAACCGTCTCACTTGTTAGAAACATCGACCAAAACTGATAAATCTATCGAACCAATGGCGAGTGACGAGACTTACGACTTTCCTAGGTCTCATCAGATGACTCCACCACAAGCACAACCTAGAACTCATCGCAGACATTGCTACACCAATGCAGCACCGGGTCAAGTATCTGGTAATATATTTACGTATGATTTTGTTGAAGAAGACTGTGGGACAAAAATTGAAGAAGGAAAAACCGTGGAGTCTGAATCTCCGAGCTCAATTAATTCACCATCTGCAATTGCCAACATAAGTTCGGCTTCATTAGTCGAAACGCCACCTGCTGTAAATCGTCAGTTGAAACCGGGTAGAAAATTTTCTGATACATCAGCCGAACTTTCACCGTTGACTCCTTTGGCAAATCCACCTATTGTTAACCGAAGGCTGAAACCCACCCAAATAAGAAAATCAACAGATATGCACTACGGTAAGTGTATACCGTTTTTTAGTTAAATAATATATCAACATAATCAAAGATACATTTTATATTTCATAATAACCTTTGGACTTTTATTAAAATATGAAACATCATTTAGACACAGCGAGTTCTCTTAAACTGGCTGCACCACCGACTGGAAGTTTGAGTCGTCAGAAGTTACGAAAGGGACCCAACACTGTTCCTACAAATTTTGAACCTCTCAGTCGAATTCATAGAAGACATTCGGCATCTGATGATCGACTAGCATCAGATAAGGTGATTATTTGTTAATCTTAAATTTTTAACTTGAAAGTATAGAGTAATTAGTGTTAATATATATTTATGTTTTAGAGTGGCCTTTATTTTTCAATTTTTTTTCAGTCTTACCCGTTAAGTGGTTTTACTATGCATAGAAATAATTTGTACAAAATTTAAGAACAATTAATTAAGTTTAACCTGTGCCCCCCTAGCCCTTTACATTCCACAACACGTTTTTGTTCAAGTAATCATGTTTTTTTTAGTATTTTGTTTGTTTCGTTATAATCGCTTTTTTTAAAAACATAAATACAATATTATTTATAGAAAATTAAATTTATAACAACTTTTGTTCTATACATTTATTTGATAAATATAATATTTCCTTAACTTATACTTATTGATTATAATGCACTAGATGCCTTATGCCTTTCAATAGTCACATTTATGAAATTATACTTAGAGGTACATTTGAAGTTAACTGAGTTATGTCTGGTCGTGGAAAATTTATTTTCAAAATTTGGTTATTATTTGATTAGGCGTATTTTTTATGCAGAAAAAATAAATAGCCTTTTACTTTCAACATGAACATAGAAAATTCATGTATTTTCATGGGAGCTAAAGCATGACCATGTTCGTTGGATGTCCAAAGCCATATATATTGAATATATATTCATGAAACATATTTAATATTTATCTTTCTTAAGCAATTTAAAAACTAAAAAAAAACAAGGGAACTTAATTTGTTTTAGTTTGTTTGTTTATTAAAGCAGATTCTTTATCTCTATTTGAAGGTTCATAGTTTTTTAAAAGTCTCATCGATTATAAAAAAAATAAGATAAAATAGGCATTTGCCAACCAACTATTAAAAAGCCTTGAAAAGAAACTTAAAAAGCAATTGGTGCACAAAAACATGCTTTAATAAACAAACAAATTAGAAGTACAGACCAGACGTAACTAGAAAGTTTGCTTTAAATGTACTTCTAAGTATAATTTCATAAATGTGACACCTGCAAAGCATAATATCACGTTCTAATGCTTTAAAATGAATAAGCTCAGAAAAAATTATGTTTATCAAATAAATGTATAGAACAAAAGTTGTTAATAAATTAAATTCTTTATAAATAATATTTTTACATGTTTTTATACAAGACAGTTATAGTGAAATATTAACCAATAACTAAAAAAAAAAAAAAATATGGTTTTTGAACAAATACGCGTTCTAGAACTTAAATGGTTGGCAAGCATGAGTTAATCTTAACCACACGACATTAAATTGTTTTTACTTTATTTTTATACATATTGGAACTACTTAAGAAGGTAAGTGAAAAAAGAACACCCATATGAATAAGGCCCACCCTAATATGTTTATTAACAGTGTTTAAAATGTTTACTAAAAACATCTACTCGTTCGCGCTCACGTTCATTGCCAAAATAAACGAATACATTTGGAACATTGTTTCAAAAATATTAAAAATAATATGCAACTATATGAGACAATATTTTAATAAAACTTTTAGTATATTAATTTAATCCTAAACATATATTTTTTTTAAATGTTTACAAAACATCTTAACAAAATATACATTTTTTTCGTAGAGAATGTTAAATAAATGTGTCAAATTTGTTCACGTTTGACAACAAAATGAACACATCTTTATATTTTGCTTAGGAATGAGTTCAGTGAAAAAAATGTATTATATAAATATTTTTATTTTTTAACATATTCTTTTAAGCATTATATTATTAATATCATATATTTTTTATTCAAAGGTAACGTCATATCAGATAAATAAGATATCACCAAATTCACGTTATCTTGCTGAAGCAAGTCGCTTCAACGACATCCAATACTTAGATCTTGAATTTGAATCGTGTGATAAACCATACTCCGCGGGTAATAGATCAGTTGCTAAAACCACAACAAAAAAGAAAACTTGTAATGTCGGAGGTCATTTTACGTTGGTTTCCATGCACGACTATTCAATGATTGACGGCGCATATCCTTACAAGACTGTAGATTTTTTGAAAACGGCGGCTTTGTCCATGAGCAGAAAACGAGCAGAACAAGAAAGACGACTTGGGCAGAACATGGTAAATTAGGTAAAAAAAATCAATAGTGAATAAAAAAAGGTGCTCAATTGAAAAATAACAACCATATGTTGGTACCTATTGAATAAGTAAATATTTTAAGAAAAGCATTAGTAATAATTAACTGAATTGGTGATCTGTGTTGCCATTAACAATAACATATCTTATAGGTCAATTAGAGCATTTTTTTATTAACTCGCAAAATTAAGGGCTTTCATGTTGAAATAAAAAATATTTAGGTGCGACACTGTTTCTTAAAGACTAACGAAATAAACAATAATAAAAAATTACCTCAATTGCCATGTTGTTGAACAACTTAATTGTTATGATATTTTATTTTTTGCCACAAATAAAAAATATATGTATATATTATATAGGATTATTTTTTTTTGTTTTGCAGTTAAAATTTAATTTATAGCTACGACAACTTTTTCTATTTTTCCATTTTTATTTAGTAGTAATAAAATTAATTATTCATTACTTTTTTTTAAGTAAATACTGTATAAAATAATTTTTTTGTTTCTACTTGTTACTGTATATTATTTTGTTATCGACAACCATTAAGTATAAATATTATATTTTATAACAATAAAATATTACTTTAGTTGATTTGATAATAACATTAACAATTTATATATACACACTAAAAACAATAATTTGGTTAATATGAATTATTTCTTACAGAAAAAAATATTTAAAAACAGTTTTTTTACATATGTATTCAGATTTATTTGAGTTTTTTTTAGTATTTACAATACTAATGTTTAATATAATTTAATTATTAAGTTAAAAGTTTGTGATAAAATTAATTAAATTATACATATCCATAGAAAAAAAAACACTTGAAACATTTGTGCCTTTAAATATTGTCTATTTTCCATTGACACTCAAAAGACATTTTTAATAAACATGTATATGTCATTTATTGAATAGTTTGATTATAAATATTAAAATTAAGTAAGATATTGTCTTGTTATGTGTTGATTTCATTGATTATCAAATTAGTTTTTATAATAATATATACATATATAAATATACATATATATATATATAGGTTTTTAATTAAATATCTACCAAACGAGCTATATTTTTTTATTCTTATTCTTATAACTGTAGTTTATAACTAAACTGCTATTGGATTTTTTTAACTTGTTTATTATTCAATTATGATCATCAACTTTTATGAGTTTAAAAAAACCAAAAAAAAATTATTTTTATACTATATTTTATGAATTTGTTATGAGCTTTAGTTGTATTAACGTTTTTATAAAAATATGCACAAATTTATATAGTATGCATATTTTTGTATTATATAATATAGTAATTATGCTGATGACCTTACCATCGAGTTATTTTTGTTATACATTTTATTAAATAAGACAATCTCATTAAAAATATTTATACATTATTTTATATTATTATACCTATATTTCACTATAGCAAAATTATAATTATAATTTGTATTTATTATTTTTATTCACAAATTGAGATATTTAAACTTTTTATTGTAACAAATCTATAATGCTTGTAATTTTACAACATATTTTGTTTAATTATGAAATACATAAGGCTAGTCGAAATAGCCATTTTTTGTTTTGGACATATTTAGACTGTTAAACTTATATATTTTTAAAAATTTATACAATATTACATTTTTTTATTAAAAATACCAAAAAATTGTTTTATTGTTATTTTTGCAGTGAACCTATATCTATAGTAATAGTATTAAATTGTGTATGCTTTTAAATTTAGAAGTAGGTACAATAGTTTTAATGTCGAGAATTAAAAAGGAAAACTTTAAACTGCTTTGAAAGTATTTGTATTTAAAAAAGTTGAGAATCTTCCAGGATACCAATACACAAAGCTGAGCATGACATATTAAAAAATTTAATGTACGTTCAATTTAATTTACTAACGTAACAGGGTGCTTTGATTTTTATATTATTTTAATTTTTAACCTATGAAAACTAAAGTAAACAAATAGTCATATTGCATTCAAATAAGGAATCTTTGATAGGACTTTCATTGGGAGCTTATTGAGTAAAAGTATATGTTAGCTAAAAATGAAAGATTTAAAATCATGCTTAATTATAAATATGCGTTAATTTATGTAAAATTAAATATAAAATATAGTTGGAAAAAAGGATGAGATACCAATTTGAGTTCTCTAATTTGTTACTTTACAGCCCTTCGAAGTATGGCATTCACTACTACACACATTTTTTTTTTTTTAAGAGAATATGTAGTTAATCACTAAAAACGTGTTATTCTATATTAGTTTTCTAAATGAGTAATAATAATGTAAGTTTTGTGGGTTTAACACAAATATTCACACTCGCATGTAAAACAGTTAACTTACGTTAAAATATGTATTTTTTACTAGAGTCACATTTTTAATAAAGCACATCTATCATGGATCATTAATATATTTACAATAGTATACTAATTACTATAACAATAATTAATAACACTATATTAAAATCAATACCTTAATGGTTTTTTGATAATTATTTAGGTCAGTAAGATGTATAGAGTTTGGTAAAATGTAATTGAATATTTGAATAATGAAAAATAACTAAAATAAATCGATTAACGTACTAATTGAAAAAAAAGATAATATTTAAATAACATTTATAAAATTTAATTTGTATGCAAATAAATTACAAATAACGTTATTATACGTATAAAAATGAATATAAATAATTAAAATATAATAGAAAATACTAGTAAGCAGGTCAGGTTGGGTCACACTTTTTCAATCCCCAAATCGCTAATTTTAGGGGAGGTCTATTGTTATTCGTTTGCTATACGTACACTTTGAAATACAATACAATTTTTGAAATCCGACAACGGTAGTAAATGGTGAAAAATCTGAGGAAATCGAAATTTTGTTTGTCATAATATGTGCGCGCTTTTAGGCTTAATAATTATGATAATTTTAATTTTAAATAGGCTGTTGCCTCTGAAGCTCGATTTCTATAATTAATATGAAATCATATGTACCTATTTAAAATGTTATATAGTCAATAATTTTTATATATTTCTAGTAACAACCCCAACCTTATATATTAAGACTCTGTGAACTTGAGATTTTTAAACGGTACCGTACATATTTAATGATCGCTTTAAATTAAGAATAATTTACTGAAAATGTTGACTGATGGATAACCAGTTCTGGATAAATACTATTAAAGTTAGGTATTTAAGTTTTAAATATAGTACGGAGGAAGGATGGAGTGTAGTAATATTTTTATTTGCGCGAGGTACTCAACCATACTCTACCTATCTCCTGTCCTAAATTTTCGAAAACTGGTTATCGACCAGTCAAAATGTTCGGCAAATTATTCTTAATTTAATATATACATACCACGTAACCATTTAAGTTTCAAATGTTGATACAAACCTGAAAAAAGTTAAAACTATTAATATTGTCTATAATGTAAAATAACGATTAACGTTGGTAAACTAAAGTATCTCCAAAAAGTAAAACTAAAAATTAATGGCATTTATCTTAAGAGAAATACGTTTTACGTTAATTTGATCACGTATATTATAGTATAGATACTGCAAGGTTTTGCTATTACAGTAAAATTATGTGTTTCGAAACACAAACAAATATTTACTTAAACGCTTTTAGAAAAAACAAGACACAATACCTCACAATCAACAAAGCAATTACATAACGTCGACGTTTCCTTGACGTCTACTCTTGTGGTGCCGACAAAAGGTGACAATATTATTACCCTGAAAATGTTTTCAAATTTAAACGTAGATTAAAAATAGAGAATGTTGGGAAAAATTGAATTGAATGTCCAATAATATAATCAAATCAATTATAACCCTTTGCCTCTAAAATATTAAATCATTGATGAATGGGGGGAGGAGTAAGTACGATTAACAACTCCCGATGATTGATCTATTCGACAAGCAACATAAGTTTAATTTAGGTAAGTACCAAATAAAAAAGAAAATAGTATAACGTTCATTCATACAGGCGGTTATCAACTTTAGTAGTTTATACTGAAATTAATTACAGTTAAATGTTTGACTTTGTAGTTTTTTCATCAATCTGTCGACTGGTTCATCAATAGCCAATTGTGTATGTATATTATAGTTTATATTCTAAATGTATTTTATTTTAATACGAAATTGTTGTTACAAACGAATTGCTTTACAGTATAACATGTTTTTGTTACATAAAATATGTATTGTATATTAACTACACACTATATTTTACTAATATACTAGGGATATTTGATAATACTAACACCAACCCAGGTGAGAGCTGAAAATGAGACGGTCAAGACTCAAGACAATCATAGAACAAACAACTACACGTAACTCAAACTTCGCAAAGTCGTCTTAATATTGTTTTACTGAATAACTTGTACTATTAAAATATGATTTAACCGAGGAAAACATTATTTTAATCATTTTTATTAATTTAACAACCAAATATTGACAAGATTCTTTATTCGGGTCAAAAGGCCTATAATTAACCTAACAACTGTAATTTAGACACAAGTATTACAATGACGAAAATCACACGACGACATATTATTATCTTGATAAATCCTGAAGGCAGTGGCGGGTTTAAGGGGGTGGCTAAGGGGCGAGTAGCCCCTCCCCTTGGGACTAAGCTATTTTTTTAAGGCAAGTATTATGATATATCAATAATTATTATAAAATATCGTCATTGAAGAATATGGTTATTTAATATTTATGGATTTTTGAATACTTAGGTTTCAAGCTATTTTTTTATTGTTGGATTTTGGATTTAAAATACAGCTAGGTAAATTCTTGAACCTCAATTAGGTTCCCCCCTTGGTGAATGCTAAACCCCGCCCCTGCCTGAAGGATTTAAAAAATATAAATTTAAATGGTATATTTGCTAGTAGTCACGTTCTCAATGTTAAAAACGATAATAGAGATTCAATTTGTCACCGACTATCACCGTCATTACTTAAAAAAATATTTATTAGGTACGTTTATAAAAATATATAATACTATAATAGTCCCTAAATGCGCATTGTCTTTTGAAATGTTGCACTTTGAAATGTTTATGTTGATAAATATTGTGTATATTGTTTATAATCACGCATGCATTTCATTATAATAAATATTATGTATATCATTTTGCTTTGACAAAAGATTCGTTTATCTCGGTCATTTTATAAAATACTGTTACCGATTTACCTACGTCAATTTTACTAAGGAGTAAGGTCGATTGTCGGTTCTAATGATTTTGACTCTATAAAAGAAGAAAAAAACGTTAATTTCTTCATTTGTTCTGTGATAAATGATAATAATTCTTATAATATTTAATAATCAGTGTATAATTTGTTCGTCAGTTAAGTTAAACACAAACTCCATATCCAGCATTATGTTCAGGTGTATTTTGAAAATGGTAAGAAATAAGAACACTAATCCATAATAATTAATACCTATACTACATTAATTATCTAACAATTCTATTTACTAGCTTAAACGCTAAGTTGGGAAATTATTGAATTTTTATAAAATAGTGTGTTTTTATGGGCTTTTAGTAAAAATATATATAAAACCAATTAAAACGGACGAAATCATAATAGACATTTAAAGGGATCTATTAATTTCCCTTTAGCTGAAATTGGCCAATAACCAGTTCTAAACAATAATTTTTCAAGTCGAATACATTTTAAATAATACAAAAAAAAATGTACTTTTATTCTTCAGTGTTCATTAATCTTTTTGTGGGACGGAGTAGCCGATTCGCCATTAGACGGCAGCCTATTCTGCCAAGCAGGCATCCGAACTAGACTTTCTGGTCTATTCCCGGACATTTATGCCATAATATGCAAAATAAAAAAAAATTTATCTTTTTTAAAAAACTAAAAATTTGAAAAGAAAATGTTAGCTTATTATTGATTTTTGTATTAGAATATTTTCTTGTATTAACAAATTTAAAAGCTATTTGAAAATCAAAAATTAATAACAATTATTTTAGGGGAGGGGGGGGGGGTGTTTTTAATCGATTTATTAGAAAATTGAGATCACTGTATTCAAATGTTTACAAAAATAAAAAATTAAATAAATTATAAAATATGTACATTACCATTTAGTTTTAAAACTTGATAAAGCTTTAAAAAATACAAAAAAAGTTAAAAATTTGAATATTGTCATATATTGTAATATAGCATAAACAAAATTGTTTTCAAAAAGAAAAACTACGAAATATTAATTATTTTAACAGAACACTAATGTAGAGCGTTAAAAGAATCACCAGTATTGTACATATGCTTAATATACCTACTTCGTGTTTATAAATGTTTAATTAATTTGTTTTCAGAAACCTGCTTTTGTCAATAGCTGCAATAAATATGTTCATTCCAACGGTGGAAATAGATTTGTGGTGAGCAGAAAATTATTTGAGAACGAGCATCGTACGCGGTGTAATGCAATGGTATGTCAATTATGAAGTTAAATAATTAAGTATCTAAGTATAGAACAAGTTAATTTTTCATATAGTATGGCTTTTGGAAAAATATATACAGGATGTTTCATAAAGATATGACAGATGAAATAACTTTTTTTCTAGTAAATACTTTAAAGATTTTTTTATTTATTAATTTGTACTCATTTGCGCTAATTATGCCAAAAATTCTAATCTCTAAATTAAAACCAGAATAAAAAATCTTAGAATTTCAGTGTTCTTAACATCTTAACGAGAAAGAATTTAATGCAGAATTGTATACTTTGTACCCAAAGCCCAATATCAAGTCATTTATAAGAGACAAACGCTTGGAATGGGCGAGCTAAGCATTGAGATCCAATGGTATAATAGAAGATGTAATTCAAGCACTATAAATGGGAAAATACCTAGAGGACGACCTAGGCAGAGGTGGATAGACATAGTCAAATCAGACCCCGAAAAATGTGCACTAGGATTAAAATTAGAAGATAGTGTAGATAGAGATAGATGGCATCAAATAGTAGAAGCAGCGAAGGCCCTAAATGGACTATAGAAGCTAGGGGAAAAATATAAAAGCAAATTATAGTTTTTTACCACCCTTATATGTATGTATAAATCAACGTTAACAACTTGTTAATAAAAAAAACTTAAAACTAAAAAATAACAAAAAAATCGTCAATAGCTTATTGAAACGTGTTGTTATAAGCATACTTTTGTAATTTTGTTATGTACAATTATATAAGTTGTAGTAATGCGTAACCTTAATATATAATTTACCCTAACACAATATATACTTAGGAACCGGACAGCGAGTGGGAATCAAAGTTAAGAGCTTATCACGAGTTGATGGATATAAACAAAGACGGAGTTGTTTCGTTGGAAGACCTGGTTAAACTCACAGAGAGATTTGCAACAATCAATAACATGACGAAGGAACAGAGCGTGAAGTTCAGCAACGTAATTGAAGTATGCAAATATTCGAATTTATATAGTACAGTGAATTGGTCGTTATTAAAAAGCACAAATTATAATATTTCTTATTCTTATATTTGCATACATTTAATCCAGCATACACACTTAAGTTTCGCTAACATTTATTTACCATTTTCCAAATTTTAGGGAATCTAAAACTAGAATATTAACCGATTTCAGTTTAATCTATACCTTTAAAATTACATTGTTACAGACCTTGTGGCATAAACATTGGGGATGCATCGATCCGTTTAATTACGTCACTGTGGAAAAATACTTAAGTTATATTCAATACGTTAAGCGAAACGAAGAACTAAAGAACGACGTCGTACAACTTTTACCATATTTATTTAAAGTAATTCGCCATTTAAATTAAAATCACTTCGTAAATGTTATTTTCTATAATAATATTTACGAGTATACATGCACAGGCATTATTTTGAGTTTAACAATTTAGAAATGATATACCTTGACAATTTTTTTCCCCCATACAGGTAGTGGACAAAGATCAAAGTGGTGATATTTCAAAAGAAGAATACGACCAATTTTTAAAATGTATTGGCACTTCGGCAGAGGTAATTTTTCCATAAGTTAAAAAAAAAATGTATTGATTATATTTATTTTTAATAATATTCCAGAACGATTTAATTAAATCGCTGGGCATTATCAACGACACCACCGGCACAATCAAATTGGATGATTTGGTTTTTGTTATCGACAAACAGTTCTTTTTGAACAAATAAATATAAAAAGCATAGGCCTTAATGAGTTTGTGATATTAAATATTTTCAAAATACAAATATATGCTATACAAATATTAATTACAGACATTAAAAAGTTCCTAATATAAATTGATGCATATACATTAATTATAATTTACTACGACGGACTCTATTTATAAATTATATTACTACTATTCATATAGCCTTGAATTACATATACATATACATAAACATTATAAATGACAATGTATTATTAATCAGGCTGTACCACAAATAAATTATCTAAATACAACAAAATTTAGTTTATATTTAGTAAATATTATTTATTTCATTATAAAACTATTATAATATGATTTATTCAGTTGTAATAAAATGTTGTTTACACAAAAATAAATGATTTAATTTTTGATTGTTGTAATTTTCTAAGGGTCATTAAGCTTTAGTGTTTCTGATGAAAAGCAGCACTAGACTGGTTAAAATATAACAAATTAAACGCTTTATTCGGTGCGAGTGGTATGCATAATTACATAAAATAAGTAGAAACTTTTCAAGTAAAACATATTAAGAGTAGTAAACTCTTAGCGAAAATTCTGTTTGGCATTTGGCTTATGCATTAACAACATTCATTAAACTATTTATATTTTTTAAAGTTATAGAGTATTAAAACACATTATTATTGTCCAGTCATTTTTGCATGGACATCCTGCAAGTCTTTCCCCTGGATTTACCAACTTTTTAAAATGATAAAAAAGAGACATTTTGATATTATAATATTCATTGTAAATGAACAACTACTATATTATGATCATTTTTGCAATTGGAAAAAACGTTAAAAATGTAGAAACAATAACTTTAACGTACACGTAAAACAGTTATAATATAAAATATAATATACCTACACATTTTAAGATTAAAAAAATGTTTTTAACATCAACTTTTATTAATTTGTTAAATATAAAGCCAAAGTTTGACTAATACTTTTTTGAAATAATAGCTAACTGTTAAATTTAATCCCTGTTAAAATTATTTTATTTTTTAGAATAAAATAATATATTATAATTTATATCTAAATATTAACACTTTTTTTTATACAATATAAAACCTTTTTTATTAATAGATTTATTAGAACGGTGCACAGCCGTAATTTATCCGCAAAAAATGGTTTTGCAAGGGACAAGTATGCGAGAGTGGTATTTATAGTAACCTAACCTAACCTGCCCATTAATGAAGTTCACAGGAGGTATTGAGGAAATCCATACAGCCAACGAGGAGGCTATCGACTGGATGATAAACTTAGGCGTGCGGCTGTGACCAAGGGAGCGTCAATTAAAACAATGAAATCGTGTGATACCAAATTATTACCAAACTTAATTTTTACTGTTACTCTAAATTTTATACTATTTATAACTAAATAATTTAATTAGTATTAATAGTTTTACATTATTATTGTTATTTATTTATTTATTATTTATTTGTTTGTGTTTGCCGGAGTCATATGCTAATAATATAATACCTTTTTTTTATGAACAATACTGAATTATTCAAGGCTTCTTAATAATATCGATTTTCTCACTCAATGTATTGTCGAGGGTAACGTTTTGTGTTATAGAATTTCGGGAGAGATTTTAATCTCAATTCCATTATGTTTTTGCCACTGTCGGGGTTAAAATGTTATCGTAGGTTCGGACGCATATAACCTTCAGCTGCCATAGAGTTCACATGTCTCGTGTCACGCTCCTGCTATATTATACCTAAGTCTATGACAAACTTTACAAAAAATGTATAGAAGACGAATTAAAACAACTTGGATATGTAAAACAAGTCATAAATCTCCTACGAAACTAGTCCAAAACCAGTCCCTATGTTTTTCATAAATCTCGAGCCAGGGGCAAATAACAATGATATTTTCAAAATCAACTCTATCTGTTATTCTAAAGTCAAATTTTAAGAACCCAAACCAAACAATAACCCAATCCAGTGCCTTCGATGTCAAAACTTTGGTCATTCAAAAAGGTATTGTAACCGCGAGCCCCGTTGTGTTCAATGTGAGCTACATTTGATCGACGCGTGTCTTAAGCCTGTCAATCAGCCGCCCAAATGTACCCTATGCGGAGTAGCTCACCCAGCAATCTACCAAGGTTGCCCAGTTTATAAAATATAAAAATTAATAACAGCAAAGGATTTTAAATTCAAAACATTACAGAAATAATTTCCATGCAAATCATAATTTTATAAATTCAAATGTAAATAATAATGTACTAGTCCCCGTTGGTAACACCCATATAGTCGATAACTTTCTTGCATCTCCCCTACCAATGGCTCTCCCTGTTAAGCTCCGGTGAAATCGAAGCAACAATAAAAATATTGCAAAAAGGCAAAGCTCCTGGGAACGACCTCATCACCGACAAGGTACTAATGAACCTCTAAAAAAAAAGCATACTGCTATTAACATATATATATACAGGCAAACTATTCGAAAAATTGCTTCTTAAAATAAATTCGGCCTAATTATGAATTCATACTTACAAAAAATACAATTTACAGTAAGGCTGTACCAATTCACCTCATTACTCAATTGAAGCTGATGTTTCTCAAGGTAGCGTCTCGCACCTGATTTATACAACATTTTTACCGCGGATATACCTCAAAACATGATACTCTGATACTCCGATAGCCTCATTTGCTGACGATACAGCCATATTATCAACCCACAACAATGTCAAAGATGCAGCCCATCACCTTCAAGTGCATGTAAACCGTATAAAGTCGTGATTCAGAAAATTGGAAGATAAAAATATACGGAAACAAGTCAAGTGATGTCACTTTCGCTCTCTGTCCTGAAATATGCCCAGCTATTAAAATCAATAACACTATAATCTCTACTCAGGACGAAACAAAGTACCTGGGTATCATTTTAGATAAGCGCTTAACTTGGGGACCCCACCTCAAGAACAAAAGAAAAAAAGCTAACACTAGACTACATCTTTTCCGACCTCTACTAAAGTCCAAACTGCCACTCAAAACTAAAATGCTGATCTAAAAGTCTATTATAAGACCAGTATAGTCTTATGGTATACAAATTTGGGGACTTGCAAAGCCTCCAAATATACCCCCAATACAGGCGTTCCAGAACATTTCGCTTCGGATGATAACTAATGCCCCTTGGTACATAACTAACAACAACCTACATGATGACTTACAAATTAAAACAGTTAACGAACTTGCCAAACTACACTACAATAGATTCCACTCAAATTAATTAACTTAAATTCAAACCCCCTAACAAAACGTATGTGCACTGCCAACTTCCCCGACAACCCCACACGCAGACTCAAACGTACCTAACAGAAATCGTAACCTAATAACATATAACCGTTTAGCAAAAACTAAAACTTAACTTCTAATGAGATGTTACCAATGGATGGCTTCCTCGCATGTTAATTGTATATATCCTCGACAAAAAAAAAACGTATTGTAAATATTGAACAGATTGTTTTGTTAATATAGAGAATGAAAAAAAATAATAATAAAAAGGTTCGGACGCAAAAAATAAATACTATAATTGAAAACCCGAAATCGTTTAGCAGCTACTTGTCAAAGTCAAATCAAAAAGTAATTACAACAACGTACGCGCCATTTAATTCGTATTATGAAGACAAATTGAAAAACGCCCGATTAGACAGAACAGGCCAATAGAAAAGCAGAATAATGTATACAACATGTATCATGTGACATGCTGGCACATCATTTATGTTCATTCGAGGACGGTTAAAAACAACGGCGCTGTTACTGTGCAGCTTTTACACCGTGTAATTTACCGATTTACGTGTGTATTCATATATATATTTAAATACACACACACACACATTTAAGCGGCCGACAGACGACATGTCAAATAAGGCGTCTTGAGGGTAAAATAAAAAAGAACGGTGTTTGTCGTACGACACGTGTGGCGTGCTGTACGGCAACGGCCGTCTGCGAGTTACGCCAGCTATGGCGCTACGTCTGCGAATGGCCTCCAAAAATCGCGTGCACGGTCCGCGCGGGCAGGAGTTTACGGATCAATATCGCCCGGCGGACCGCAAGCCCAACACGCGCACCGTTTTCAATGTGTGTACCTCCGCACATTCGGTGCCCGCTCGCCCAAAACGCTGGTAAGATCGGTGTTTAGGCCTATACAATAGTACCTGCATGATAGCAATACCTAACGATATAATAACAAAATAATATTGTCATTACAATTCGTTGACGAGCTACGCGTTATGCGACGTTATACGGACGTCCGTCGGCTAATATCCGGATCGGCTGTGCGGTGTGCGTAGCTGCGCTTAAACGGTTCGCGTACGCCGGAAGTCCAGTAATAAATGATAATCATTAGTGATTAGTTACGCGTAGAGTAGGTTTATTCATTAAAAAATGTGTTTTCATTCCCCAGCCGAGACCGCGCAGCGCCGTGGACGTACGATTTTGGCACTCGATCCGTCTCCGTCATGGACAGCAACGTCGTGAACCGACAACAACATCGTTTGCCGCTGACGGGCCGGCCGCAAAAAATATCGGACGCCGTCTCCGTCAGCCGCCGCTGAAGTGGCCGCCCGCAACACACCTATCGCCGCCGCTTAATCCTGCCGCCGTATCCTGTGCGTCACGCAAATTCTATTCAAGGTAACAACATTGCAAAAAAAAAAAAAACATATTAAATAAAATTGTATACGCTTAACCGGTGCACTATAATACATTTATTCGGTAAAAGGACCACGGTGAAGTGCTGTCGTAGCTCGCAAACATACTATAATATAGTGTAATGATAATATGAGTAGGAGGAAAAAGCCGGATGTAAAGGGCTTTTAAATTGCATTACAAACACAAGAACGGCCGTGCGTCATACCGTCGGGCGACGAGATTAACGCCGAACTACTACATACCTACTTACTATCTTGTATAATATCTTATTTTATATTAATTGAGTTTCCGTGGTTTTCAAGTAAGCGCGCACAAACGCTTCTAAAAACGCCTCGAAACGGTTAACGTTTATCACTGAGAACTGTTCGGTGGCTTTCTTCAGGCGAAAGGTATATTACATATAGGTATATACCCGAGTTTCATACTAAATATCACAAATAACAGCAACTGTTTCGCGCGTTAAGATTAGATTAGGAATGACGACGCGATTCCACATATGACATATATTATGGGTTGGGTAATAAGTAATTTGCAGTAACTAGTCAACAACTGCACTTCACACTTGGCATAATAATTTGTACTTAAAAGATAAAACTATTAATAAACGAAAAATATAGTTTGTCGACAGAAATAAAATAAAATGTGAAATCATTGAAATTAATTCAAACTATTTTATGATTTATTAATTTTATGATGCATTTGTATTAATGTCTGTTTATAACAAAGTATAAACTTGCACGGAATAACGCGAAGAAGAAGAGATTATTTTATGGTTTGGACCACTCGTCATCTCTAGAGAACGGCAAGCCCGGTTAAAAAATTGTATCATGTTAATAATAAAATAATGAGTTTCTTAATATTCGATAAAACATAATTTCGTACTTAATACATTCCTAAAAAGTGCCATTGAAATTAAATACCTACGTAGTGCGAACATGAGTTATAATTATTATATTATTTTAAAAAATCAGAATAAAATTTGTGTTAAAAAAATATAATAATTTATGTTATTTCAATATGACATTGATATTGCTGATATGTCTCTTAAAGGAAAACGGTCAACGAAAAGAGTTAAATTTTATAGAGACAACAAAGATTTTAACTTAAAGTTACTTTCTAAGGTGTCTTCCAAACTGATTAAAAAATGTTTGTAACTAGAAAAACTTGATATTTAATTATCTATAAATTATTTGGCATATTAAAATTTGCTCTTGAATTTCTTGCTCCGTAGCAAATAGCTTTTCCTGTTCCACATAGTTCTGGCCAAAAATCGTATTAACAATAAATAAATTGTGACTGAAAAGTATAAAAAAACAAATGTTATTTGTTTAATAGCTGTTCTTTCTTGGGATTTACACTTTCATCTGTTTATCGAGTACCAAATGTTTTTGCTGAAAGTGTATACAAGTGTATAGTAAAGCTAAAAGTATGTAAGTTATTAAAGTCTATACTATTATTTTACAAAGTATGAACGTGATTCGGTTGCGAACGTGCCACCCCTCCAATCCCGATCAGCAGGTGATGAAGGCTAACGCGAAAATCGATAGACTCCTTTAACGGTGACGTGTACGTAACCAGACAAAGCAAATATTCATAAATTAAATAACGTACACTTTTTATTCGCCTAAAATAGCACCCGATATTGCTTGTTTAAACCTTGAAAACAATAAATGCAAGAGCCAAGAGCCCTTATAGTGTCTACTGAAATTTGTTGCAAAATCAAACACTGAATCTGTATTGTATTTTATTTTTGTTTTCTTCCGGTGAACTTTTTCCCACAAACGTTGTTTACATACCAGTTATATGAGAATTAGTAAAATATGAGAACTGCATGATAATGTCAGATGATTTTGCATAATAGGTGTATAGGCTATAGCCAAACTTTAGTCATTATTATTTGAATTTATTTTATAAAATCCTTAGCAACTGCATTAACTAAAATGACAAAAATATTGCATATATATATCTATGACTCGGACACCATTAGTTTATTAGGTCAGATTTAATTTGGCCGTTGCTTATTGAGTATTTTCAAAGGTAAATCAAATTTGAGGAGAGGAGGAAAATAACACTTCAGATGTGATATTTATAAATAAAAACGTCTAAAACACGTTTATCAAATAAATATTATTGGTCTTTAGAAGAAATTGTATAAATGATCGGGTAGTTCAAAATTATTTGGATATCCGAATCAACCAGACTCGATATAACATCTGGATATCTGAATTCAATATCCGCAACTATCCCCGGACGGCGGATATCCCGAGAATTCTGATCGAGAATTCCGTTTTTCTGTCACAGCCTTAGTAGGAAATTTATAAAACGAATGTGTATGTGTACATTTTAAAAATTTATCGAATACTCACAATTTAATTTGCATTAACATACCTACAACATTTTAGGTAAGTGAGTTGATAGTCGTTGGCTAGTATTGCAATTAATTTTCGTTAAACATTAGTACCAATTATTATTTTTGTTAACTACCAATTTTTTGTCATGTAAAAAAACGTGGTCGCACAGATTCGTTTTAATTAGTAACTAGTAGTAATTTTATGATAACAAAAATATAATAACATATTATCACAAAAAAAATGTATGATATAATACGTTTTAAAGATAGCTACGTAGTGCAGCAGTTTTTAAAAATTTTAATTTATAACAAAATGGTAGATATTAAAAAAAAGATAAATTGACGGTTTTCATTAATAAAATTTTAGAAAACTCTTTCAATTTGCTAAAATTTCCAAAACGGGGGTACTCATTATTTTATAGATACATTTTTAATAAATCTCCCAGTAATGCAAATGTATGACAAACTATAAATGTATGCAAATTATTTATGTAATTTACTAAACAAATTAATACCAATCAGTGATGTTTGAACTGTATTTTATTTTATAATAAAAACTTTAAATTTCGAAATCGTTAAACGTTTAATCATTTACTACAAGAATTTACAGATTGTCTATTGAGGATACATTATTTTTTAGCTAAAACTTTTACTACTTATCATTGTGAGAGTCTAGCTATTGGATTTTTAAGTCATCTCATTTATACGTTAAGTTTTACATGTAGTTTATTTAATAACTGGCAATTTATTGTATTTATATTATTTACACTGCGATTTTTGAAATTTAATAGGTAGAATAATAATAACTACAGTCTACAACACTTAGTATCACATAAATAGACTTAAGACCAAAGGCCTAACGTAAAAAAAAACATTTAGATTATTTATTTAACTTCTGCGGACTTGAAACATTAACTATACATAACATCTTCAGTTTATTTGAATATGTCAGTTAACTATTTTCGATGATTAAATTGTAAATAAAATGTGTTGTTTAAATAATAATAATAATAATCAAAATTAAAAACATATGGTTAATGCATAGGTTAAGCTTTAAAACGGCATGTCACATAACATTGTAAAGCAAAACATAAAATCAGCAATGACGCATTCTAGATGTGGCATAATAAACCCAACAGAGAAACACAATATGTTCTATTAGATAACAATAATACCATTATACTAGCGTTCGTTGTATACGTTCTGAATATATGTTTATATATTGTATAGTTTTGTTATCTATTCTGTTTTCATGAATACTTCTAGTACGCCCACAAATATTTGTATTTCTGCAACATTTAGTATAATTATATTAACAAAAATGACAATGGCTAACAGGTTTTTTTTAAAGGAAAAATACATTAGATTGGTAAAAAAACGTTTAGTACATTTGTTCCTTTGAGTGTGTTGTGCTCTGATTTTCGGTATAATACATGCATAAATTATTCAAATTTAAATATTATAACAATATTAGCTAATGTTCCGACATAATAATATACTTTAAATGCTTAGGTAAATTACGCGAAGACCAAAGCAAAAATGTAAGTTAATGTAAAAATACCCAAAAATATAATGCCAAGGTATGACTTAGTATACTTTAAAAGTTTTCGAAACTTGCATAAAATCGAGTAAACAATGAACACCAAATGTTATTTTTCAAATCATCGTCTCCGTTTTTCTTTTTTAATTGAATTTTATGGTAAGACATCTGAATAATATAAAGCTATTTTACATTACTGTTTTTACGATAATAATTTACCTATTGTGTTATTTAAAATATGCTTTATATTACTTACACTCAGAGATGGGCAAAATGGATTGCAGTCCGTAATCGATTACAGACGGATTACGGATTACTCGTAATCTACGATTAATAAAAAAATTGGATTACATTTATTTCAGTAATCCTAAATGTTTGGATTAAATTTAATCCAGTAATCCCTCGTTAACGGATTACGGATTACATTATTAATCCAGGATTAAAAAAAATTGGATTACTTTATTTCAGTAATTCTGAGATTCGGATTACCGATTACATTATTAATTTAGGATTTTTCTTTTATTCCAATAACCCAACTTTGAGGATTACTGTTTTTTTTATTCCAGTAATCTAAAACATTATACTTAAATAATATTTTTTTAAAATTAAAATGTATTTAAATAACTTTTTACTGTTATGCGGAGCTGGGAGGTATTGTTTTTACAATAATGTGTTTTATTTTAACTGGAAGTAAACCATAACCACTGAGCCGATTTCTGCATACAAAAAGTCTAAAGATTTAAAAATTTTAAATTTAAAATGTTAAGCGATTATGGTATGATATGACATTTTTCAGATTATAGAAATAAACAATAATAACAAAATAATTGATTTTAAAAATTTAACAAATTCATTAAAAGTGTTGTTATAGTACCTACTAGGGCAGAGTATACTAATTAATTATTATTTGTAATCCACTAATCCGTCATATTTGAATAACGGATTACTTGGATTAATTCAAAAATAATCCAGTAGTCCGAGATTACTGGATTACTTGTAATCCATGATGTAATCTGTATTGGATTATTTGAAATCCATAATTCTGACGTATTGGAATAACGGATTAATTTATAAATAATCTAGTAATCCGGGATTACTGGATTACTTGTAATCCATGATGGAATAATTGTAATCTGTATTGCATCATTTGTAATCCATAATTTAGATGTATTGGAATAACGGATTAATTAAAAAATAATCCAGTAATCCGGGATTAATAATTCTGTCCATCTCTGCTTACACTTAAGCAGACATTTCGTCCCTTAACAGAATCTATGTTTTATAAGCAAACAAAAAAATTGCTAACAAACGAGCGACGTTAGGACGAGTTCATTAATTATTGTTACCACATAGTTTATAGGTACTTACTTTGTACAAAAAAATGTTTATTTAACTTCCACGATCACACATAATGGTTTATATACAAAAATTTATTAATACTAATTAAATAAAAATATGATGTTTGTATATATTCTAAATAAATGACTTCAAGCTATTGGTTAATCATTGTGACGAATTCTATAGTTTTCGACTTCAAAAACATTTAAAACAATTTTAAATTTATAATATCAGCGTGAATTTTTTTATTGTAATAATCTAAATTGGAATGATTAATAATATAATAATAATTAAAAAAACATAACGTGATGTGGATTATTTAAGTAGATTTATCTTAATTACTTATCACTCAAATAAACCAACTGGAAAAACACAAGACTAGCGAATTATTATTGTTATATTTTGGAAAGTCTATACAGTTTCTTTGAAAAAATAATACCCACCGTAACTAATTTTTTAGTTTTTACTTGTTAGCTACTATGCTATTCACATATAGTTCCAGTTTAAATTTATAAATGAAGGGCACAGGGGAAGAAGGGTAGTAGTCCATTTATGAAAATGTTTTTTTTCAAATAGTTCTTTCAATAAATTCCATTCATTTTTTTTATTTATGTCAATAGATTGTTTAAATAAATACACTTTTTAGTAGAATAACTCTTAATGTGATTTTTTTTGTTCTTATGTAAGAGGGGGAGGAATTCACGAACTTTGTTTTTGCTATACTCTAAAATTATTATGCATGGACTAATACCCTTCTTCCTCTGTGCCCTTCAAATGTTTTCTTACACGGAAACATGTGCAGGCGCTATACTTAGAAATACTGCACACCATAAGATCCGTTCAACCCTAGCTTTCCGTACAGAAAAATTAGAGATCTACGAAGAAATTCACTGACAAGCCATAGTCGGAAACGCAAAACAGAAAAGCCTTTTTCCTATCATTGTTATAGATAGGAAAAAGAACCGAGGATTCGTCTTTGACCCAACAATTCGGTGGGAAACAAATTCTTTAACCCAGGATGAGGACGTCAATGAGGAAAAACGGGCGATTTACGTTCTGTGTATACCTGACCTGGGACAACAATACCAGATTGACAACTGGGAAGTAAAAGTCTTATGGTTTGGTGCTAGGGGAACAGCATTGACTTTCCTCTTAAACTTCTTCAAAAGCCATAGTATTCCCGAACAAAAATTGGTTGAAATGTGCCTAACGGTACTGAAGGTCAAATTGGGAATAAGTCAGTACCACTTATACTCATAAAATAATATTTTAAGTTTCATTTAAAATCATTTCGTTTATGGGAGTCGTATGAACAATTTATTCAAAATTACATTAGCATGTGACCTATATTTTCTTTTTTTTATAAACCGATTTACCAAGTAGGTACCTCCTGTTATTTTATTATACACGCCGCTTTAAATCTCAACTCGAGTGACGCCCCGAACACCGTATATTAATTTTCAAATAACAATACTTTTGTTTTTCGAAACGGAAAATGTTATTCATAACAAATATTTTGATAAACGAGTACAGAGGTTGACCTATTGCGCTGTATTAAATATCAATATGTTATTACTGAGGTCCTATTCTTGAAATCATACGCGAACGTTATTCGTGAACGAACGATTCGATTGATCTTTTTCGTAGATGAATTAAAAACAGTATTCTTGAATGTTATTCGAATCGCGGTATTTGAAAGTTCGTGCGCGAATACTATTCGAGTGGAAAAATATAATTTTATGTCAGCGCTTTGCAAAATACCACGGAGTATAGTAATGTCTCTCGACATATCCCTGTTTGATGAGACTGTTTACCATCGATAGGTACAAGTAAACATAATATAACGAATTATCTTAGTTACTGTTTTGAAGGATGGTAATATTGATATTTTTAGATGGCTCATTACAAACATAAAGTGTTCGAAGAAGAAACGTCAAGCATGGGATCGGTCCATTTGACAGAAGGAGTTACTACGTCTTCCACTCATATACGTTTTTATACGGTAAATATATACATATATATAATATATAATGTATGTATAACATTACGTACGTATCATTAATTTCCGAATGGTTTCATTACAGGGGAAGCCTAAAAACATTATGTCCAAGTGGAAAAATAGAACTTTATTGGAAAAAATCCTCCTCGTCGTGTGTTTTACTACTACTACACTGTTGATAATTACATTTTTCAAACAAAATGGAACCGATCATTATCCCAATCAAATGAATCCAGTTGAAGTATATGAAGACACTGGGTCTGATAATGCCGGACAAGGTTAAAAATAAAATAATACTTTTACAAACTCATTATCGATTAAGGTTAATAAAGTTTAACTAAACGCTTATTTTACAGAATATTGCCTGAGTGAAACCTGTGTGTTCACGGCATCACTAGTTCTCCGAGGTATGGATAAAAAATCGGACCCCTGCCAAGATTTCTATAAGTACGCTTGTGGTCAATGGATTAAATCTAATCCCGTTCCGGATGGTCGATCCATGTGGGGAATGTTTAATGAACTGGAAATGAACAATCAGTTAGTTGTTAAAAACGCTCTCGGTATGATCAATGTCTTTATTTGACATACAAAATATAATTTATTTGTATTATTTACAAATGCAATAGTTTAAATATATTTTGGCTTAATAATCAAATATTTACCCCCAAAAAAAAAACACATTAAATATTAATTAATGGAAATTGCATATGTTTTACAGAAGCATTACCACCAAACTACGGCAGTAAAGCCGAACTTAAGGCCAAGATGTACTTTACGGCTTGCATGGATCCTAATGATACAATAGAAGCGTTAGGTGCGAAACCGTTGAATGATCTTCTCGACAATATTGGTGGATGGAACATATCAGGATCATGGAATATGTCCACATGGAAACTTCAACGAACACTGGAAACACTCCACAATCAATATAATATGCCTGGATTATTCTATTGGATAGTAGGGGAAGATGACAGGAATTCTAGCAGACATATCATACAGGTCGGTAGTTTGTTTAGTCTGAAGAGAAACATACGTTTTTAAACAATTTTTTGGTTGTAGATCGACGAGGGTGGGTTGACTTTGCCAGCTAGAGATTGTTATCTTAACAAGACGGCTAATCAGAAGTTACTGGACACATACTTGGAGTATATGACAACGGTGAGTTCAGTTACAACAGTTCAAAAACGTAGTAATAAAACATTTATTATTTTTGTGATTATAGATAGGAACATTGTTAGGAGGTGAGCCGAACGCGACAAGGGCCCAAATGAAAGATGTTATAGAATTTGAATCTCGTTTGGCAGAGTTTACTGAGCCCGACGAAAACAAGCGTGACGAAGAAAAGGCTTATCATTTAATGTCCATCAGCGAACTCCAGAACTTGGCACCGTTTGTATGTAGCCTTAAACATGACAATTATGTTACCTAAATTGTGTTTATTATAAATGCTTTTGTTTTTAGATTCAGTGGAATCATTATTTCAACTCGGCATTTCGTTATGTCAACAGGAAAATAACGAATAAAGAAAACGTAGTCGTGTATTCTCCATCGTTTCTGGCAAATGTGTCGAAACTAATCGACGAATACAGCAAAAGCCCTGAAAATAAAACGTAATACCTATTACATTTTTTAAAAAAACCTGATTATAATTATAATATAGAACGTCGCATTAACGTTCAGTAAATTGCTTACAGGGTTATCAACAATTACTTGATTTGGCAAACTGTTAGGACAGTAACACCATACTTATCGAAAGTCTTCCGAGATGCGTACAAAGGTCTACGGAAGGTGCTATTGGGATCAGAAGGAGGAGAAGAACCTTGGCGATATTGCATCAGCGATACAAATAATGTGTTAGGGTTTGCACTGGGAGCACTGTACGTCCGTGACGTCTTTCACGGGCAGTCGAAAAAATTGGTAATATATATATTATTATACTTTTTTAAGTTAATAGGACTTTGCAGGGTGTCTCACAATATTTCTATAATCCTAATTCCTAATTTAAAATTATGTTGTGACTTATGTATGCTACAACGCGTAAAAAAATTCTCGAATGTGAACTGATAGTGGCTGAAATTAGAACATTTTATGTGACCTTTAATAAATTACTATGGTTATTGAGGTCAACAAATCTTCAAGTGCGCTGTGCGGTGATAGAGGCGTACTGGGAAAACCATTTTGGCGGTTGTCATTTCAAAACTAGGGGTGCTAAGCACACACAAGCTCCCCCAAATTGCGCCTATGCCCATCAGGTACATGTGCGAATCATATAGTTACCACTTGACTGATGAAACAATATTGAGCGTCCATACTTGTTTATTTCCGCAGTTTTGTTTCTGTAATCATTTTTTGCTAGTTTGTTTTATCAAGAGTACTTTGGTTATATTACCTAATCACTTCTACCTAACTAATTGAACTAATCCTAGTTCTATAATCGAATGATATTACTTAATGTATTAGGTACCTATTTAGTAACTGGGTTAGTGCATTTACTCTGACATAAGACATTGTTGCTTTTATTGTCGACATTCAATGCTTTTTACAATTTCCATTAGGTTCGAGACTTTCAAAATTAATTCATGCACCCTATGATAAACGAAAACTTTAAAACCCACTTGCATAAAGTTACTGAACATTTGATTGACTCTTTAAAAAATTGCTTTTAATTAATACATCGACACTGATTTTTGTGTATAGACTCAATTTTGCTGATACTGCGTCGAATTTAATAATACAAATTAATGTTATGTACAGGCTGAAGAAATGATTAACGAAATAAGGACTTCGTTCAAAGAAAATTTCAAAAATTTAGATTGGATGGACAAAGAAACGTTGATAGAAGCTGAAAAAAAAGCAGATGCAATAACTGACATGATCGGTAATGCTTATACCTCACTAGTGGATAAAATATTTATGAACTTCAAAATAACTTATTTTCATCGCACATTTATCCAGGTTTTCCCGATTACATAATGGATTCAAATCAGTTGGATGAAAAGTATCAGAACTTGACTGTTCGTCCAGATGAATATTTTATGAATAACATACGTGCCATAAAATTTAACTTGGAACAATATTTGGTTAAGCTCGATCAACCAACTAACCGAACCAGGTACGTGAACCAGGACACGTTATATTTTTTGTTTATTGATTAGGTACTTTATCATGTGATTCCTTTCAGATGGAGCATGACTCCTCCAACCGTAAACGCATACTACACACCGACCAAAAATCAAATAGTTTTTCCTGCCGGAATTCTGCAAGCACCGTTTTTTGAACAACTGCAACAGCCTTCCGTCAACTTTGGAGCAATGGGAGTCGTCATGGGACATGAACTAACTCACGCATTCGACGATCAAGGTACTGTCAAATTGTTGTTATTCATTAGTATTACTAAGTATGTAGGTATAAATGAATTTGTATTTAGATGATACTGTGCTCATTTTTTTAAAAATATATTTTAATGCGTTTCAGGTCGAGAGTTCGATCGCTTTGGGAATCTTCATCAATGGTGGAACAACAAGACCGTGGAAAAATTCAAAACGGCTACAGACTGCATGATCAAACAGTATTCTAATTATAAAATCAACGGGATCAATATAAATGGGAAGCGAACGTTAGGTTCGTATTTTCACTTCAACCTAATATCTACTACCGGGTTTTTAAAAATTAATTCATTTTTCGTTAAATACCGGGATAGGTGAAAATATTGCTGACAATGGTGGGTTGAAGGCCGCTTACCGGGCGTACGCCAAACGTCTTGAGGAGGGTAGAGCTCATTCGTATAGACTACCAGCCGTCCATCTCACTACCCAACAATTGTTTTTCGTCAGCTTCGCACAGGTAATATTAAAAAAAACATAATCAATACATATTGGCTTTTTAAAATAGGACAATCAATTATATTAGTTAATATTCTTGTTTTGGACTTGACCAGGTGTGGTGTTCGTCGAGTACTGACGCATCCTTAAAGTTACAAATCGAAAAGGATTTACATTCACCGTCCCAATACAGAGTAAACGGTCCGCTAAGCAATCTCGAAGAATTTTCCAAAGTATATAACTGCGAGTTAGGAACCCCAATGAATCCAGAAGAAAAGTGTATCATTTGGTAAACTGAAAAAAATCCTATACATCTAGGTATATCTTAAAGCATTTAAGTTGATTTTTTTTAAATAAAATGCCTTTTTGTGTTAAGTTTCCAAACGGTTTTCAAACATAGATTAGATAAACGATTTGTTTTGAAATAATGAAATCATTATTAATTTACCGCTATGTACAGGTTGGCATTATAAACTTGCAGTGATACTCATAAATCTAAACCACAAAAGTCATTTTACTGTAATGAAATTTTAATGTAATAAATAATTACATAAAGTATATTATAACAGCTATTAAGGTAGGTTATTTATTTCAAAATAAATCCATAATTTAAAGTTTAAAACAGTTGGAATTGTTTACAATAACAACAGCTTCACATAATAATATAGCGCCGTGCCAAACGTTTTCATCCATAAAGGACAAATACTATATTTTAAAGTTATATTATTTAAATTAAATGCATATATAATTTTTAAATTGTACAGGCGGTCTGAAAGCGTTGGATTTTTAATGTGTAGTGAAAAAAACGACCGGTGCTGTAATAAAAACATTACATTATGCGTTCATCGTTTTTTATGTATAACTGCCATTATACATTTTCTTCGTTCTAGTCAATGTGATGATTTAATAAATATTGTTTTATATAGTTTTAATTTTCAGTCAGCTGTAATGAAATACTTGTAAGCACATTAATGTTTACTTTTTTATAACCCTATTTATTTTAACTTGATTTTTTGTTACCATTGTTTTTACTTTTAACTATGCAATTTTTTCAAATGAATAAAATATCATAACTACCATAAACGTTAATGTTTATTCTATATTTATATATGTTATAATTTCCTAACAACAATTTAGTTGTACCATTTGATATTTTTTTTTACATAACATATCATAAATTTAGTTAAAAGTGCAAAATTATTATTTAAAATCACCAAAGGGCTAAGCGTATAAATAACATGAGTATTTATAAATAAATGAGTAAGTATGAACGAAACTAAGGAATTAAAGCGTATAAATAAGTCTAAAACTAACAGTAAAGAAGAATCATTAAGTGGTGTACTCACGCAACATTTTTTTTATACTCTATGTATCTCAGGAGTGCCTTTGATGGTATCACGAAACCTTTGGAGAAACCAGTACAGGGATCATACAAACTGAGTTTGGCTAAATCCAGATTTTCACAATTTTGAAAATACCAAAATGATCCGAAATTTTTAAAATAAAACATTTTTAAACTAAACTTGATATTTAACCTATACAATTTATATATGTTTTATAGAATTGATGTAGGTTTGGGATTTTCATAATCATATTGTGTAAGCTAAGGATAATGAATTTCAGGATACAACGTGTTCTGAATTATTCTGATGCTGCATGCTATAAGTTAAAGTGAAAACTTGTAATAATTTTTTTCGATCACGGGTATGCTAAAAAAATAATGCAGGAAACATTATATTATAAATTTTTAATTTATTATGTCAAATTTTACATACTATTTTTTTTTTACCGCATTACATTAGCTGTATTTTTAATATTTTTAAACACAAAACGTTCGTCCTGAGTAAAGTGTTGTTTTTAAAAATATTTTTAGGCGTGGATAAACCGTTTATTAGAATCTCCTAATCCTGATAACTCGAGTGCTATTTTAAGCAACATGTACTTGGCTCAGTTAATAGTAAACATAGGTGATGGAAAACTGCAGGCACCGTTTTCTAGTATGTATTTTAGATCAAGTCAAACGCTAGTTAGTTCATATAGTTGTTATTTTAATGGCTAACCTCTAATGTTTTTATAAAATAAGCAACACTACATTAATTATGTTGGATTTTCATTCGTGACGATATATTGAAAGTCACATTGAAGTAATATTTGTTACCGCCCATAAAGAAACCAATTATGAATGCATAGCTAAGGGGAAAAACAAATGTTGTATAATTCACAAATTTAATTCTGTGATGCAATAAAATGTATACGTCCTCTTAGCGTGTGAGCATATTACATTATATTTTAATTACAACCGTGTAGTTGTCGAATTTTAATGAAACGTAATATGTTTACAGTTTTAGGATATTTTGCTTTTGTTGAATTTTAATAAGCTATTTTTTGGGGGTTTATGATCCTTTTACTTGTTTGGCACATACGTTTCACCCGAATGTAGCGATTTAGATTGAACGATATTTTTTCATAATAATAAATTAGTATTGTTTGCTGTATGTTGTTGATATAGAGTTAATATGTTGTTATTAGAGTAGCTATTGTATACCAGTTCCAATTTTTAGTAAATAGCAATTATGGCGCACTTTGCACACAGTTTTACTCGACGAAAGGTGAAATAAAGTGATAAAAAATTAAGTTTTTTTTTAAATTTTCAACTCGGACTATTGGATTACTTATAATTAAATAACAACTCTATTGATCTTTAAATTTGTGATATTACATACTAGTTAGCTATTTTATTATTATTGGTTGGTTAATAATAAGGAATTACCTAGAAATGTTATAAAACGACCAGAAATACTACAAGAAAGTAACACAGATGCTTGATAACAACTCATAATGGTAACTTCTAGGCTTTCCCAGTTTAATCGCAATAGTCATCAACTTTTTCTTATATAATATATTATAAATTATAATATGATGAAATACCTATATATCAAAGTATATCACCTTAAGTATATTAAGTATAGTTTAATTTTAATTATACTACAATTATAATATGTTCAATAATTAACTACAGAATAAAAAATACTAAAATTTGAAAATTAGGTAAGTACGTGTATATTTTTAAGTTATTTATCCATTTTTATTTATTAAAGTTTTAGAAAAACCGAGGTTAATCGAGTTAAGAACAGCTCAACAATGATGCCTTTTTTGTAAATACAGATTACATCTACCATAGATCCAGTATGACTCCTGAGCATACACTTTTTTTTATATTCTATAGATTTTTATTTAGGGAAAAAAAATAACAATTAAGGGGTTGAAACACAATATTTTCACTTTTACTTACCAGTGATTTTTGATGGTATTTAATACTTTTTCGTTTATACAAAGTGTCCTACAATTTTTTCTTTGTAACAACTTGAATTAACATTTTTAAGTGTATTTCATATTATTTGGACTGTTGTACACTACAGTCTACCTAACATTTGTTTAGTTTTTTTATGAAGAATTTAATAATATAACAAATCAAATTCACAAAAAATATCATTTGGTTTTGTGATATCAATACTTTGTTTCTTTATTAATTGCTTTGAAAACATTGAACTTAAAATCAATAGTTTAGATAACGATAAACAATATTACCCGTTTAATTATAAATAATTGATTTGTCTCGAGCTCTATACTTAAGTACTTCAGATAAGTATTTGTATTAAAATTTTTCAACGAGTGGTGTTTCATGTTACTAAATAAGGTTTTTATTGAATAGACAATTTTAAACTATTAAAAATAATCATACTAATTAGGTTGGTCGTGAAAATAGAAAACTTAGTAATTACGTTAAAAACTAAAAAGGTTTGTATCTTAAAAGATACAATGTGAAATCCAAATAGTTGGAATTATAATTATTTAATATTAATTTTTTTTTTTTATTATATTTTTATGCAACTTAAGGCTATTTTTTTTTTTGTAATATAAAATAATTATGCAAGACAAGTTCTTATATTTTTAAACTGGAACTGTGTACATAATTATTACAGTATGTTTCGAATTAATTAGGTATGCGGTTAATGTTGCCCGTCGGCCGCTCACAAAAACATTATTACACATGATGTTATAACCTATTTCTATGATAGTGATAAAAATACATAATTACCTTTGGATACAATTACAATTATTGTTATTTGTCAATACATGTCATTTAAAATCTTTACACGCCCTTTGACAATTTGAAAATAATATAATATTATGTGTCCAATGGACAGAGTGAATAGTATCCACCACGGAACATGTGTTTAGCATTTTATTTTATCACAGTTCTTATCATTAGTGTTTCGGCAGTCGTCTGACCTCTCGTTGCAGCCTCTAATAGTCCCTGTTGACCCTAAAAAAGTATAGTACAATATCATTAAACTTTATATTATTCACATACATTTGTAAATATATCATTTTTTTTTTACTCTTTTTTTAATGTACATATGTATATTTTATTGATTTTAGAACTGTCAGTTGAATTGGATAGTGTACTAAGTAAAAAATGGCTTGCATCTTACATCTTGTGAAGGGTCTACCGAAAAACGCTCTGAAAACCAAGCCTGTTCAAGTCTGGAAATCTGAGGTAAGCTTAAATTACTGTCTTGCAGTTGTCGGATTTGAAGTGCAAATTAGTTTACTGTGTTTTAATTGCAGGCTACCAATTTAACGTGTTGCACACGAAAAGCCAGAACATTCGGCTTTAGAGAATTATCAACTGCATCCAAAGAATTGTGTCACGAGTAAGTTAGTTGGTATAAATAGTTTATTTTAGAATTACATGGATCATGTTGTCTGGTCACATGAGTGGGTCCAACTGCTCTTGTCTTTTTATCTCCTCGATTGACCTAATATTAAGTATATTCAATTTTATGATCATGCTTTATACTCGACGGAGTAAATTTGTACTAATATTTAAGACAATAAATATAGTATGAAACTTGTCTAAGACGAACACTATATAATCCGGAAAACTGTTTAAGACTCAATTTGTGTATGGTTTCGCCAAATGACTTTGCATGTTTATTTTATTGAATACGATGAAAAAAAGCTCATTACAGAATTTCCTCTCAGTCTCGTGCTGTCCTAAACAGGTTACATTGTAAATTTTTTAGATTTTAAAATTTAAAAAAGAAAAAACTGAACTGTTTTTTTTTAGTTGTATTTATTTATTGGTAGCAAGTTAACAGATGTTTTATATTTTTTCAGGAAGTCTACCTATTATACTTTGTATAGTAATAGGTGTTTTAATCAATGCCGTTTCTTCCAAACTACTTCAGCACTTTGTAAGTACTATATATACTGTATCCATTTTGTTTATAATTTTCAAACACATTTTCAGAGTTGGCAACACCCAGCTTTAATAGGAGTACATAATTCCATATTTTGCATTAAATAATTCTTAATTACATTTCTAGGCGAAGAGCATGTATTAAAAACTCCAGCTTTTGCTGATTCTGTCTCAGAAGGTGACATCAGATGGGAAAAAAGTGAGTACAAAACAATTTAATTTGAGTTCACAGATTATTAGTTAATAGTTTTAACATTTAACTTTATTGTGTGATATAAAATTGTGTAATGTTATCAACTGTTTGTTATAGACATTGGCGAAGCTGTAGTTGTAGATGAAGTCGTTTGTGAAATTGAGACCGATAAAGTATGTCTTATATGATTGTTTTGATTGAATAATTTTTTTTATTAATAGAATAATAGGAAAAAAATAAAATAACGAAATATTGAAAGAAACTCTTAAGAGGACGCCACACCGGCCATTTCTAAGGAGTAAAGTATAGGCAATTTTTCGAAAAATCTTAATTTAGAGTTTGAATTGATTTTTTTTTTCAGTCTATCACAGTCATTTCTATAGGATAAATTACAATTTTTTCCCTTCATAACTGCTTTGCACGAATTAATTTTTCTCAGGCTTCATATATAGTTAAGGAAAGAAATTCATATATATTATTTATGACAAAATTATGTGTTCTATCATCCATATTTTTTCGATATGCCTATTACAACCAACGTTATATCATTTTTAAAAAAAGTCCTCTCTTAATTAATCATTAACTGGATGAAATATTAAAAAAAGAGTGATGGTAGAACACTGACAATGTTATTGTCTATATTGTGTAAAAATTTGGTTTCTTAGTTTTGATTATAGCCTTTGTAAAATTAATCCGCGCAAGGCAGGTTTTTTGAAGAAAATAATGGGTGTGTGACATCCTCTTAACTAATTCAATTTGTTTTAGTTGTTATTCATTATTTTATAAATTTTTATCCATTCCTGTTTTAAAGTTAATCAAAATAAATAAAAAATATTTTCTCATGATAACAATTAAATATATACAAAATTTATTAGAATATGTTATGTTTAAGACGGCAGTTCCCGTTCCTTCCCCAGTTAACGGCATTATTGCATCGAGATTGGTAGAAGATGGAGCAACAGTTAAAGCTGGACAGGATCTCTGTACAATTACAATTACTGGTAAAAATCAATTTTTTCTAATTATAATTTAGTAAATTTCAAAGCGGTCAACTAAAAATGATATGCTTAATTCTTGTTGATCATTCAAAGTCATGTATAAAAGCTTAGGTCTTAAAACATAAAGTAAGACCTAAACTACGAAATAAAAGTTTACAAATAATATTATTCATACAAATATTACTTATATAATAGGTAAAAGCTTTACTTAAATATGAAATATTTACATACAAAATAAATGTTTAATATGTTTTAGAAGGAACTCCAACACCAAAAGCCCCTCTTAAGGCAGATACTTCGAAGTCCGTGGAGGAACCAGCTGCTATCGCTACGCCACCTCCACCCCCATCCTCTGCTCAGGTCTCTGCCCCGCCACCACCACAACCAACTGCTCAGTCTACTCCACCCCCTAGAGGAACTCCCTCTCTTCCACCCATTTCACAAATCAACATGCAACACAACCCTACTGTTAAGTTACCACCGGCAGATCCTACAAAAGAAATATCGGGTACCCGATCTGAATACCGTGTGAAAATGAGCCGTATGCGTCTACGTATCGCCGAACGATTGAAAGACGCTCAGAATACCAACGCGATGTTGACTACATTTAATGAAATTGATATGAGGTAAAATATTGTCGTAAAATCTTGTAAATTTCCTGCTTTTATTGTATTGATATTATTGTAGCACAATTATGGAATTCCGCAAAACAAATCTGGAAGCGTTTCAAAAGAAACACGGGTTGAAATTAGGTTTTATGTCCGCATTCTTAAAAGCATCGGCATACGCCTTACAAGACCAACCTGTAGTCAACGCCGTTATTGAAGGCAACGAGATAATTTATAGAGACTATGTGGATATCTCTGTTGCAGTAGCTACTCCTAAAGTATAAAATATATACATTGGTAAAGTCGTAGGGTGTACGCTGTGTGTAACGACTTTTCTTTGTCTGCGTGTTCTTGTAACAAAAACTGTGTAGCCGAATAATAGAGAACACGATTTTTGTTATGAATACATGTTTTTTTTTTTTTTCTTTTATTGAAACTTACAATCTGAATATTTTTTTTTACAATAAGTATACTGATGAGTAAATCTATAAATAAAAGAAAAATAATTGAAAGCACATCGTTTACCGTTATGACACCACTACTTATAAATTTATGGAGCACTATTAAAAATAAAATACAATTTTAAAATATTGATTATTAGGGTTTGTTAGTACCCGTTGTACGTGATGTGCAAAACATGACCTACGCAGATATTGAAAAAACAATAGCGGCACTTGGAGAAAAAGCGAAAAAAGGAGCGATTGATGTAGAAGATATGGATGGCGGTACTTTTACAGTCAGTAATGGTGGTGTATTTGGCTCATTATTGGGCACTCCAATCATTAATCCACCTCAATCAGCTATTCTTGGAATGCACGGAATTTTCGAAAGACCCATTGCTGTCAAAGGACAAGTAAAACAAAACGCTTAAATATAACAGTTTTTGAAATATATATTATTAAATAATTTCCTGTGTTAGGTTGTCATAAGACCAATGATGTACATTGCGCTGACATATGATCATAGACTTGTCGATGGCCGTGAAGCGGTGTTGTTTTTACGCAAGATAAAAGCTGCCATTGAAGATCCAAGGATAATGATTGCAGGATTATAAAAATTAAATACCATAAAACCATTTGTACTTAGTTAAATAAGCCCTATAATTAATTTATTATTTTGAATTTTTCTCTACGGTTCTTACAATATAGAATTACGCTTATGTAGAACATCTTCTTGACTGAAATACATAATATATGCCATCCCCACTATTTAATTGTGTATAGTAGTTGTTAAAAATATCAATATGCTTTACATTCATTGAAATAAACCAATTAATTTACAAAAAATATGATGTAATTACGGACGAGTAGAAATATTTATTAAGATAATAATACAAAATAAATAATTTATTAAATTTTTGTTTTGAGTTCTACATAATAAGTAAAAGTAATTAGTGAGACAGCAAATGTTTATGCACCATCTGTTCCTTGTTGATAAGATGAGTAGTATTGTTGACCAGCCGCATTAGATCGTTTAGACCAAAAGACCATTCGTTTAAAACTTCATTTGCCGATTTAACGATTGAGAATTCAACAACACCGGATGGCCGATCAATTTTGGATTTTACAGACTTTTCAACCACCATGTTGGACAATAACTGTTCGGTATCCTATTAAACCCGTTATTATTTTACTAATCCAACATTTATAAATATATTTAAAAAAAAAGTGAATTTACTCACCTCTAAAGTCATGTCCAATAACTGAGCCATCCTGACTACTCTAATTCTCGAATAGTATTTCGCCATTACACGTACATTCTAAAAACAAATTAAATTTTATAATAGATCCTAAAAAGAAATCAAGGAAAACTTGTTTTGCTCGTTATATTGTTAAGTTCTACATAAAACATATAATATATATTATTATATTGTGAAGTATTTAATGTTAAGACTTACGTGCTCTGCAACTCTATTTTTGAGGTCTGTCCAACGTTTAACGCCTTCATCAGAGTTCGTTGCAAACACGTCTGTAGCTAAAGATCCAGATTTTAATTCCTTTTCATAAACCTCGCATAATTCTTTCCATTGAATCAATTCCATTGTGGTAAACAGTTGTAGGAAACATCTGTTAATATACATTTTAAGCAATATTTCAGATATTTAAAACCAACTCAAATAAAATAAACTTTTTTTCTTTACTTACTTATACTTGGGGATTTTCAACAAAACCTCATCTTGTAAAATACGATGTGTTAAATCAGATTGATGATTATCGTATGGAGCTAATATGAGGTATAAAATAGCATTTTGGAGAGCAGCATTTCGTTTTGTTTCATCTGCTTCAATTGTGGGAGTAGCTTGAATAGCTCTATAATGACGACAAATATCCAAATATTGACCGTCGTGTTCTCCTAATTCTATCATTAACCTAAATAATACCATTTATAACTTTAATAATTATAGTCAAAAAACACTTAGCTAAGCAAATGTATCCTACTTGTAGTATTTTAATTTAAGCTCTTGTATTTCTGATTTGTCGTCATCGAAAAATTTAGTATTGATTTTTTTGGAAATAATTTGTGTACGAATGTAATCTTTCTTGGCTAAACATAATCGCATCTGTTCAAGAATAAGCTCGACCTTCTCTTGTTTTTTCATAGATCCGTAAGTTTCCACTTGTAGTTCTTGTATGATGTTAGCGGCACCGGTAACGTCACCTTCGTCTTCTTTAATTTGTGCCAACTTTTGGGTAAGACGAGCTCTTTCTACCTCTACATAAATCTAAAAAAAGAAACAAGCGATAGTAATAAAATAAAACATTTTTAATTTAATCATTAAGAGGACGTCACACACCCGTTATTTTCTTCAAAAAACCCGCCTTGCACAGATTAATTTTACAAAAGCTATAATCAAAACTAAAGTTTTTATTTTCCATTAGGCTCTATGTTAATTTTTTTATCAAACTCTTCATGAGTAATTCATTTTTTGGTCTCAGAGTGTGATTTTTTCACAGTTTATAAAGAATGATTCAATTTTTGAAATTAGCGGACTAACTCATTTATGCACAAAATTGACATTGGCCCTTCTTGCTTCAAGCCACACAATTATATAGAAAAAATATACTATTAATAAGCAGAATTAAATTTTTCAACACAAAACAGCAATGTAATTTTTGTCAACATATGTAACGAAGGTAAATGTTTTCAACGCTTCATACAGAAAATTGAAATTTTCATTTAGCTAATTTAAACCAACATTTCCGCTTAGATAACAAAAAGCTTAAGTGTTACTTTTCGTTTAGCACATGAAATGTGTTAGTTTACTTAAGGAGCGTCAATATAAGATACATTACAAAGGACACTTTAAATTTAAAATTTACACTCAAATAAAAGCATCTGCTACAACTAGTATTTTTATCAAAAATTAAAATATTTTTGCTCACCTTTCCTTCAGTAACATTTCTAAGAGTTTCAATGAATTTCAATTTGCTTTCCTTGTCTGGAGTTTGATCGATAAACGTGCAACATTCTCTAACCATTGCAGCCACAGCCAGTTTTAGTTGAGACCTCCTTTTGGTTAACATGACAATGTTTTCGTTTAACAAAGACCATTGCTGAGCGCGAAAACATAGCTGTACAATCGCAACTAAAACACGGCTAGTGGACGCCATATCTGACCCCTTGAATGAAAATATTTACACAGATCAATTTATTTAATACTATAAACAAGCAGTGGCGATAAATAACAGGTATTAAGTAAATAAATATTTGTTTAAATAACACACTATTTTTTTATATATTGCATGACGTATATTCTTTTTAATTGTCCCCTTGGCTTTAAGACTGACGCCTCGAAACTGAAATTAAGTATTTATTTTAATTAACCAACTGACTTACAGTTCGAGTCTGTTTTTCTAACACAAGAAGAGTGTCCAACGCTTCTTGTAGTTTTCCTCCGGCAGCTAGGCTTTCGGCAACAGCAATTTTTTCATCGCAAGTTGAACTGTAATCGACCTCCATTTTTACCAAACGACCACCGTCCGTAGTCAAAGGTTCTAAATTGTCCATCATCTTGCTTTATTTTCTGGAATAAAATCAAAATGTGTAACAACGTACAAATAAACTTAAAAGTTGGATTTTAATTAACGAAACAAGATATTTACATGTTTTTAAAAGTCTTAGTAAATATTGTTTGAAAGTTGATATTGCTATAACTCAATGACTATTCACTTTACTCGTGTAAGGGCATTAGAAAGTAAGTTGCACATTTGAAATCGCTATTATTCATTATCAATATTAATTCTCTTGTTTAATATTTTATAAATTTGCAAATCACCAATCTTTTAGATTTTCATGGAGGAAAAAATCGACGAACTCTTCCATGAAATTTTAGCGCGGGATAAATTCTACCAATTAAACATCAGCTTCAAATTGTATGTTTATATCTCGACCAATTATTTAAACAAATGATAAATCTAACCATAAATTATAATTTCTATTTGTGTACTTCGTTTATAGTTATTTGAATCATATTATACGATACCAAAATTATTAGCAGGAAATGTTGTTTATTTCAACATTGAAATTGTATTTGTTATGTTCCAAGTAAACAGTATAAAAAAAAATAATTCAATATGAAAAAAAATATGTCTTGGGCTTTGGCCATTAAATTTTTCGACTAGACATAATACTAAGTATTAAAAGCAGTTTTAATTAATTAAAACAATTATTTATTCCGAGCTGATTATCATTAATACTTTTAAAAATTTGTCTTTAGTCATCGTTGAATGTTCACCTTAATAATTGAGTATTTACTACAATAATAATTACTTCACTACACATTTATATCTACCATATATTACTATATGCAATAAGCCATAAGGTAGTTCTTAAATGGTTTTTAGACAATTTTATGCCGAACCTCTGCGAGTTGGTTTACAGAACAAAAAAAAATATATTTTTTAAAATCATAGTATAAAACCCAATGAAAATGTTTAAATATATATTTTCATATCGATGGTTACATGACAATTGGGTCTATGGCCTGAACGACATGGCATTTTATACAATTGGATAGAGAAAAATGTGCTTTATCCACAATGCGCATACACAGCTGTGGCCAAACAACACTTAATGTTTTCTGCTTAAAAATTAGGGTCTTAACGACAACATAAGAATTTAGGATGTATCACAATATCGCCAAAAAACGTTTATTAGCTCTCTTGAACTACGAATAATATCGTTTAGACCTTTTTACCAATCAATGTAACAAACTTTAAACTATTTTACACATTTTTTTAAATATCCCTAGATGAAATTAAAGAACTAAAATTTAAAAAAAGCAATACCATCAGTGGGACGCTTTATCGGTAAATAATGTTTTAAATTGTATATAAAATATTAGAGTAATTCTTTATGTATCATTCGATTTATAAAGTTTTCATTCTTTCATTTTTAATTTTTTTTGATAATTAAGGAAAACTAATAAAGTACTAGACCGATATTTCGTTCCATTTATATATTTAAAACTAAAATAATAAAACCAATTCAATCCAATTTTCGCGTTAATATTTATTTTTAGCTTCGATGTGGATTTTCAATAATTTATTATCACTGAAGTAAGACGTTTGGTATATTTTATACGTATACGGCCTGTGCTGAGTTGAGATAGTCAGTTTATAATTTATATTAAAAAAAAAGAAAAAACAATTATCACATAAAAGCTTTAAAAAATATTTATCCAAGCATCTAAGAATGACATCTCTGACATTTAAACTTACTTTCACGAAACTTAAAAATAAACTAATCAAAGGAATACAAATGTAGACAATAGTTTATTGTTAGGGAAAAATATCCACTTGTTAAGAGGACGCCACACTGGCCATTTCTAAGGAGTAAAGTATAGGCAATTTTTCAAAATATCTTAATTTAGTTTGTCCTATAATGCATAGGTATTAATACAGTAATGAGGATACTTTGTCGATTGTCATTTTTTTTTATCAGATCATCACAGTCATTTCTATAGGATAAATTACAATTTTTTCCCTTCAAAACTGCTTGGCGCGAATTAATTTTTCTCAGGCTTCATATATATAGTTAAGGAAAGAAATTCATACATATTATTTATGATAAAATTATCTGTGTTCAATCATCCGTATTTTTTCGATATACCTAATACATCCAACGCTATATCATTTTTAAAAAGTAAAAAAAGTCCTTTTGTGAAGCCGGCAAAATTACAAATATTTAGTTATAGCAAAATGTTCTCTACAATTTATTGAGTATCTCACTCAAATCAGAATGAGACCAAGAACACGAAATTCCATCGATCAGAAGTGAAGTTATTTCGAATTTTATTAGAATACCTTTTTTCCCCCTAAATTAATTCCCACCGCTCGCAATATACATATTATAACATTTATTTTAAAGAGAAATAAAGTAAAATGTTTGAATAGGAAAAAGCCTAGGATGTAAAATAAGAAAGTTGGTATTTCACTACCATATCGCTTTAAGTATAATTTGAAATACAATGTAACGTGAACTGTTTTTTTGACTTTGATGGTGTTATTAAACCGGAAACATGATTTTTTAAGATCAGCTAATATTTATTTCATTAAATTCTAAAATACAAGATTTATTATGGTACTTTGATATAAAACAAGCCGACGAATGTATTCGATACCAACTAACATAACTTAACAAATATATCAATTATATCTGATTTTTGTAAACGCTACATACTTACTCCGATATCTTAACAAAAAAATCACAATCAATTCATTCATAATAATATTATAATGATAATGAAATATAGGTTACCATATTTTTTTGTTTATAAATTCGTTTGACCACAATTTTTAAGTAAAATAGAAAAGAATATTACCTGAAACATATATATTTCTTAAAACTGAACAACTATTTACAATAATAAAATGTGTATATGCCATCTCAAATATATAATTTTACATTTATTTATATATATATATGTATGTTGATTTATACATGAATTTCGTTTAATTTTTTTTATAAATAGAATCTACAATACCATATATATAATAATTACTATAAAAAAATTAAACAATTAAAAGTTTTTATTTACTAAATTTTTTTAATAATCATACGAAGGTGTATTCAAACAAAAAAATATGTAATTTAAAAATGTAATAAATAATTATGAAAAAGTACTTCCAAAATATATTAATAATTTATTTAAGCTGCCAAAAAGTGTAAATGTGATAATGCACCAATGACAGAAAAAAGAAATTCAACGAAATTAATTTTTAATAATATAAATGTGTTGCTAAACATTATAATAATTATCACTATAAAAAGTATATTATTTACACACACGAAAATTATTGCACTTACTTTTTTTTACGGTTAAGATTGTTTAGATTAAAATTTTATTGTCACTAATCGTAAACAACGATCAGGTCTTATATAAAAGAAAAAATAAAATAATAATAATAATAATAATAAAATAATAATAATAATCATAATAATAATAATATAATAATAATAATAATATATAATAATAATAATAAAGCTCAAGAAGAAACACATTATTTTCACCCATAAAAAAAAAATGAGTAACAAGGTTTACTTAAATTTTACAAGAATGTTTTACTTAGGTTTACATCATGAAACTATTTACATAAAATGTTTAAGGGACAACAAAATGCACAAGACGCCTATGACACATTTTACAAAAATCTAGTGTAAACTAAAAAATGTATAAGTTATTATTATTATTATATAATATAATTGTTTTTTTTTTAATAAATTTTATTATTTTCGAAAACGCAACAAATGTCCAACATTAATTTACAGTTAATATTTACATAACAAGAAACATTGATGTAAAAAAAAAAAAAAGATAAATATATTTTATGCAAATAGTAAATTAAAATTAATTCAATTATGTTATTTATTTTTGAACTCTAATAAAAATATACATAAGGCAACAACCAACAGTTTTTCTTTTAATAAAAATATTAAAATAATAAGAAAATACAGCAATGATAAAAATAACAATTATTTATTATAAATAAAGTTAATAATAATAATAAAAAAGGGGGAGAAAATGTAATTGGATAAAAATAATAAATTATATCAAGAGGAAATTGAATGACGAGCATTTCCAATTATGTCCTCCTCCTATAGAGTATAAATTTTTATCTATTTGGAAAAAAATATAAAATGGTAATAATGTATATCTAATTGTAAGCTTAAACTTCGTAAGAATTCCTACATTAAGAATAACTAACAAGGGGACAAAATGATAAATATGAAAAAATATCAAAAAAATTGTTATTATAAAATTACCCGGGTCCGACGGCGATGGCCGGAGATGACGCAGTATTATGTGTCGTCGGCGTCGGCACCGGTTGTGTATGTCATTTGCCGTCACGTGATGTTCGTCGGCGTCTCGCTGCATTCTCTGTGTCCGCTTTAAAACGAGTAACAAAATAATGTTAGACAAAATAATTTATTAATAAATAGACAATACTGTCTTACATTAAAGTAAAAAAAATGTAATTCTTATTAAATAAAAAAATGTAACACATTACGTTTTACATAAACAATTTTTACATGTTAATTTAAAATCTCATCTTAACATAGATATAACGATTTTCTTACTTACTATTAGGCAAAGTGCTTCGAGTTTTGCGCCTAGTCGTTTGTTTCTCACCATCAGCGTTAACAGTCTCCAACAGAGGAGACATAGTAGAAACAGTTTGTTTAGAAGCACTAGCCGCTCTAGTATTTATTGTAACAGCAGCCGATTGCGGTTTTAAGGGAGTTTTCTCAAGTTTAGTTGGTGTCGAAACTGGCGTCTTCTCCTTTTTTTCAATAGTTTTACTAGGCACAGACCTATCACAAGACTTTCCACCACACGTTCGGTTCGGTGGATGCGTGTTGCGATTGGAACGGCGAGTAGGTGATGGCAAACTGGGTTGAGACGGTTGGCTTCCTGGTGTAACTGGTACAGACACTCGAGCGTTTGTTCTAACACAAAAACATATAATTAAAAACCAGTTCTTACGATTTTTGTGACAATAATGTTACACAATACCTATGAGAACGCGTGCTCCTAGTAGAAACGATGGGTGATTTCTTAGAAGCATCTGAATCAGCTGGTATATCTATTAGAAGTTGTTCTAGCAAAGATTTATTGTCTTGAATATCATTTAAATTTGTCATGTCAGATTTGCCAATTATGTCATCTTCAATATCTTAAAAATAAAAAAAATTCACAATTTAATCAAATGATCGACAACACAAATGAATAAAACTATTTTAATACATACGTGGCTTCTTGATCACAGGCGCTTCACCATCAGTCTTACTGTCTTCGGAATCCATTCGTTTCCTCTTTTTTAACTTGAGCGAAGATAAACCGCTTTCGGTTTCAGAGGTTACAATTTGCGATTCGGCCGGGTTTAGAATATCTTCGATATCTATTTTGGGAGAAACTGGAGGTGAATTTTCATGTAGAATCTTTTCAGGGTTCGAATAAGTGTACAACGCAGGAGTCACTCGAAATGGCTGTACATCACATAAGTCGGGCGAATCCGTCACGGTATGTTGATCTACAGATGCTACTGGCAGTTTTATTTCTTCTTGCTTTGAAACAATGGCCGGTTTTTGACCAGTTGATTGGTCATCTTTACGACAAGGACTCTCGCTTTGATTGGGACTCTTTTCGGACAGAGCATCCATCGATTCAATACCCGAATCTTCACCTTGAGTGTTCCCGTGACCCGCTGGACTCTCGCCACCATTCATATTTTTCGGTTCAATTTGAATTCGTTCACACTTTACATCTTCGATAGTAGGAGCTTCAATCCTCATAGCATTTCGTACTTGCGGTAAAGGGTCTTCTAGTAATCGTTGTTTTACATTTTTTTCAGACACATCAATGTCAGTAATTGGCAACGATAGATGTTCTTCACATTTTTCTACCTGAACACATCCAACAGTCACACAGTTTGATGTTTGAACGAAATGTTCGCTACGTTTTGCAGTCAATTGAAATTCTTTTCTTTTTACTCCACTTTCCAATTTTGAATTCCTACTATCTTTGCTTTTCGAATTATTGACCTTTCGACTAACCACGGTCAAAGATTTTTTATTCATATCTTTGTGAAACGCATTGGTTACTTGCGTTTTTTGTCCGGGTAGAAGGTGGTTAGAAAAATGATTAGCCGGCAGATACGTATCAGGAGAGTGGACACCTAACGGTCGGCTGATTTTTGTCATTGAAGTAGTCAACGTATGTGCACCTAAACAAACATATTCAGTCACTAAAATATAATATTACTTTAAATGACTAAATTTATGTTACCTGTAAAAGGTATGTCTACGCTCGCCCTCCTTTGATTAATTGTCGATTGCGATCCACCAGGTTGTGTCACAGCATCGAGTCCGTTGTTCAAAGCCCGTTGTTTGTCATGAAAGTTGTTCCTATTGCCATAAGTCGCTGCTGCCATCATTCTCGCTTCTTTAGCAGCTGATGATTTTACCACATTTTTGTACAGCGACACCGTACTACTTTTGTTAATTTTCGTTTTGGAGTGGGACCTTTCTACAATTCTGTGTAAATTAGGGCCGTCTATGGATCCCGTTCTTTCCCGAGGTAAACATTTCTTTTTCGAATCCCGTTTTTTCACTTTGTTAAAACTTAAACTCATTTTATTGTGTTTATCACTCGGCATGGAACGCAATATAGAGGCGACTTCAGCCTCGGTGGGATATATCCTACCGGGAGGTAAAACAGGGTTGTAACTATTACTCATGGGTTCGTTTGAGTCGGCCGATGAAGATACAGGTTCATCGCTTTCATCAACTCTTTTTAGTTTGACTCTAGAAGACTCGTCCTCTTCAATATTTTCCAGTTTTATTTGTTTTGAACACATTTTTAGAAGGTCTTGATTTGAACTTTTTGTTTTTAAATGATTTATGGTGGATTTGACTTTACACCCTGTAGATTTTTTCCCTTCGTCGTCCAAGTCTTTCCATTTCTTTTCCTTCCGTGATCCTACAACAACTGCCGCGTTTCTTCCCCTCAAAGAAATGTGAAGAGGAGGAACTCGAAGTTCTTCAGCAGAAGAACACGGTAGCGATGCAGACGGAGTTCCAAAGTGCCTTTTATCTACTTTGCATAATGGAGAGTTTCCAAACGAAACATCTACTTTATAAGGTTCTTTCTTTTCACTCAATTTTAGTCTTAACTTGATTTTTTCAGCTGGAGCAGGTAAGGGACTGGAGCGATGACGAGAAGACGCTTCACTGTTTGTTGATTTAACAGTAGCTTCCGAGTCTGATTGATCTGTTGTGGTATCGTTACGACGAGACGTAGGAGAACCAGTATCTTCGTCATCGGAAAAAACAGAGTTTGATCGATCATTCGTGACTGGAGATGAGAAATTATAAAAATTGTCATCAGCTATAGGTATGTTCTTAACTTTTTCTTCCGTATCACTTTCAGAACTACTATCACTCGACATGGGTTCCATATCTCCAGTCAACGGATTTATAAGAAACTGTCGTTGTTTACCGGAAGAAGTTAACGATGGTGATTTTGCCGGTTGACTAGTTACCACACTCTTTTGAAAGTCTTGTGACGTATTATCGGTTGGTTGTGAACTCGAGGTTAACCTCTGTAACAATTGATTTTCACTAGTTGGTGGCGGATCAGGTTTTTTATTTACAGTGACGTTTTGCGCCTGATTATTATTACTACCCTGTATATGATTATTAAAATTTTGTTTAAGAATTTCATTATTATATGTATTAGGAGGTTGAGAAACATTTGATAACTGATTGCTATTAGGCACAGGGTGGAATGAATTATTAGAAGTTATGCTACTTTGGGACAGATTTTGACTGGTGGCAGATTGAACTTTTTTCTGTGCCGAAGCGTTATTATCAAGACTACTACTTGTATTAGCCATTTGAGTACATGATAAATCGGTCCTTTGTTGATGTATGGCGTTGGTTTGCATTGGTTTTTGTAATGCAGCTGGGCTGTACTGTGTTTGTAGTCTAATTTGAGATTGGTTAAACTGGTGTTGTTGGGCAACACTGTTAGGCTTGACCATGAGTTGATTAGACCCTTGCCTAATCTGATTGATATAACCTTGATTGAGTTTCAGCTGATTGGTAGCAATTGTGACATTTTGGGAAACAGTTTGAAGACGGTTTTGGGTCATAGCTGAGCCCGACAAAAATGTCTGTTTAACGGCAAAAGAAGTTTGTACATTTGGCGTCGGGCTGACAATCTTGGAGGTTTGTGAAAGCTCTTGGGAAGGCACATTGTGTTTGACCAACCTAGCGGTTGGCCCGTTAGGAGATCCAATTGAATCTACTCGATTCTGAGCACTGTTGGTAACTGAATCAGGCAGTTTTTGTAGCCTCTGGATGACTTGTTTGTCCGCGGCTACATTTGCAAACGCGGATTGGGTAAACTCAGAGCCTGAAAAGCCCTCTGAAGTTTTAACCACATTTGGAGGTTTCTTATGCTTGTCCATAGGCGGCGGTGGCATTTTTGCCGCTCCTTCATTTTGCAACAAATTAACCAACAATGGACTTGAGTGCATGGACGCATTTGTGGCATCCACTGGCGGCCTTTGCGTTTTATACACTCCGTTTTGAGATCCTGGATATGGTGGTGGAGGCGGCGGTGCAGTATGCATTGACTCTCGGTTGTGTATGGTCTGAGCAGCTTGGTTCATGCTTACGAACGGCCATATGTGGGGTCTTGGGGATGGTTCTGCTGTAGAGGGCGTAGGGGGAGGAATCGGAGGCAATGGAGTGGAATCGACTGCTACTACATTGGGACTTTTGAACTGAGGCGTAGGTGGTTGAGGAGACGGTGTCTGCAGCGCAGGGGATGTTGCTGATGCCATGGCTTTGATCAATGAATTCACTGCAGCACTTTCGTCTGTAGAGGAACTCGGCTGGTTGTTGATATTTGAAGGACCAGCTGATGTCCGTAACACAAGCTCTGTACCTTCCCCGCCAAAGCGATTGCCTCCGAGTCGCAAGGAAATCATCTAAAATTTACATTGCCAATTACAAACAAGTTATGCAAGCTTTATCAACTTATACATAATATAATATTAATAACAAACCTGATCGCCTTCGACTTGAACGGATAAAATTCCGAGTCTGGAAAGGGTGGCATCTCCTTGTTGTGCCAGCTGTTGAAGCTTTATAGCGGCTTCCCGCGGCACTGTGATAGTCACCTTCACAGAATTCCATGGCTCAAGTTTGTTCACATAAATCCCTTTCTCTTCGGCCGAACCTAAAAAATTTATAAATATATAAAAATAATATTAAATAACGGGTACAAGGTAAAGAAAGCGTTAAAAAAATTAAAAATAATTTAATTGTTGTAAGTACCATTCATGTCTAGTCTACATTGCATGCTATGGGTTTATTAAAATAATCTACAGGTGCTCGTATGGTTCCTAATAAAAAAAAGAAAAAATTAACTAAATTTGTTTTATAAAATTTATATAATATTATAATTTACTTCAGATATCAAAATTACCTTGAAAAAGCAGTTTGTTTAGATCATTAACAATCGTATCAAACTTATTATTAAATTCTGGATCATTCAGATCCCCTTCACACGTGACAATGGTTGTGACCAGCTCGGTAGTACCATCGCTGTTTGCGGCCATTTCACTAGGATAATAATAATTATACAATAAATATTTGTAATTATTAGATCATTATAAGTATGTTTAAACTTACCATAATCAGACCTTCCATGCTCTTACAAATCTGGTTTAAAACCAGCTACTTGTTTAACCTAAAAATCAAAACAAACATACATGTTAAAATAACAAATTATTAATAATAAAAAAGACAATAGCAAACAATAATAAATTGACCTGTACAGCAAATAAAAATACAATGCTTATTCATATCATTTATTTTCATTAATAATTTCAATTATTTTCCAAATAATAATGGTTCTAAATTATTATATAATAATGATAAAACTAGATTGGTGTCATAATTTATTGAGTTGAATTTGTCTTCACTTTGAGGCTAACAATCATAATTTTATTACGATCAAGGCCAGCCAATATTTATTTAACAGTTAAAATTGATAGAACTTGTTAGGTAAAATAATTTTGTTGATGAGAGATTAAAATAGAGAGAAAAAAATATTTAAATGACTATATTAGCTAAAAATATTCACAAATTAACCGTTAAGACAATTATATTTAGGTAAATTATTTGTTTTACCTTTGCATAAACTATTTTTGTAAGTACACTTATTTGTTGGAAAAATGAGTTTTCACACTTCCAGTTAATTATTAGTCCATACATTTATTATAGATCTGTGCAATGAATAGAGAAACAATGAAAGATAGAGATTTGTGGAGGAGGATTAAGCTGGCTGGCCCATATTTTATGGGACGAGGCATAGAAGTAGAAAAAGTTTTACTATATAATGTATTTTACCTAGAAATAGTAGCCTATGAAGCTATTGAAAATTTAAAAAAAAAGTATATTGTGGACATTTTTATAACTTTATAATAATAGTCAACACAAAGATTGTGTTGGATATAGTTTACTTTTATTAAATTTCCCTCAACATTTTATATTCTTGTGTAAATATATTCGTGGTATTTTATTGTCTCTAAACATTGATATAATTTTGTTTTTTAATCATTTTGTGCAGGTTTAACTATAATCAGAAAGATTCCATTTAAAATTTGTTTAAACTTATAATTAGGCATCTAATTAGTAGATAAAGTTAACATTAAATTCAGAATCAAATTGTTTAATGAGGTTAAACGAAGAAAACTACAACTATACAATATGCCACAACAATATGTTCATTTAAAGCCAAATTAATTGAAACAAAAACAAACAGGAGTACAGATAATAATACATGATATTGATTAATTATTGGTATTAAATTACAATCTACCTAATAATCTCCAAGAAGTCACAAAGTACTTTGTCTTGTGTCTTGGAATTTACCACTAAAACAACGAGGTACTACCTAAACGTCTAACGGTTTAATCGATACTCAGCATAAGTGTAGATAGCCGGTATTTAAAAAATAATAAAGGCAATCGATGATAACTAGTTTCTTTTTCGCTGGGTGCAAGCTTTAAGAGTGAAATAGATTATAATACAAATATGTCCTCGATAGTTGTTTAAACTGGTCAATGAAATATGCAGCATAGATATTTTGAAAACACCATCAACGATCCAGCTTGTTTATTTTTAATCCCAGACTGTATACCTACTATTGAAAAGTACATTATTGACAATCTTGAATCGCGACTTTTGTCTTTTGGTAAAAGGATATTGTCGTGTCAGATATAAAAAAAAAGATTTAAGAAAAACTGACCAGAGGATATCCGATCGCCGCTGTACTTGTGACACACGACCAAACGGGGAAGAGGGGGCCGGGGGAGAGCCATGTTTACGTCGGGCTTGGGTTTTTCGTCGTAGGGTTCGGGAAGAATTATAGGCAAAATTGGAAAACCCGAACCCGCCGAACCGATTTCCAAAAAGCGTCGAGGGGATCCCGACCACCATTTTGTGCGCGCGCGGGGAGTGGAGGTACACCCACCGACACGACGTTAAGACAAGGGACCAAACGCCCGTATACGGCGCGGCGGCCGCGGCCGTCGGTGCCGACGTTAAAAAACCCTGAGCTTTCCCCAATGGGAACAATGACGTCCACCTTACCCGGGTTACGTACATAGTCCTGGCCGTGTAATCCAACGGACGGTCAACATCCGACACTTATTTACGTACACACACGCACATACACACGGTCGGTCGGTCGCTGGCTCTGTCGCGCACACACATATACACTACACGGGTGAAACGCCGCTACGATCACGTAAACATTCGTTTTCCGGAAACGAGACACAAGACGCGCGAACACAATCCGCGAAAACGTATACGACCGCGCTTTCGCACTGAGCAACCGTAAGGGCGACAACGGGCTTTCGTAACTCGGGGGTTTTATTATCGTGTTAAATCGCGAAACGCTACGGGACTACGGAACAATAACAAGAGCGGCCATTTGCAATGCACATCACTGGCCGTCGCAGTGCGACCAACGCGACGCCGCGCTAAATTTCCCCGGCGCACGCGACCGCCGACCGTTTGGCCGTCCGTCGTCGTCTCCGGGAGGCGGGACACCGACTTGCGACTTTTCAAAATCTTCGCCGTCTTCTGTTGGCCGCCGCGACGTCTTACCCGTAAGACATTTTCATTTTTCGTCCATCGTGATAATCGCTATCCGCGGCACATCATCGTCGGTGACACGTTGGCCACACTGTTAGCTGGGTAGACTATACGCAATATTTTGCCGTAGCGGTCGAGAGAAAAACAATATAATATTCAATATTTAGAATTATTATGATGAGCTTCAAACGGTTATTCAACGTTACATAAATGTACATTTTCAAAATAGTCATTCTAAATAAAAATGACAACGGTGAAAGTCCACGTACTTTAACGACATACTTTTCACCCTCGGAAAGTGTACTACCCGGGACAATCACATGCACCCCGACGATCATTGGGTTGTCACACCTGTACCCGGTTCGAAAAACGACCCTTCCCTTGGTGATAAAAAAAAAAAGGACCCAACGAATAGCGACTACAGAGTACTTCCATATTATTTTTAAATTATGCACAACCAGTGTTCATATTTTACATGCAAATCAATTATTCTGCAATAGCGATAAATGAACATCAATAATCCAAAAAAATAATTTTACACAAGCAACGCTAATGAATCAATCAAACCAAACTATCACTAAGGCCTTACAAAGCTTAACGTATTTTCAACCCTTCCACAATAAAGAAAAAAAAACAATATTATAATTGGCTATCTAAAACCTAAATAAATTTGAAAATTTGGTTTTTTTAATTTTCTCGTTAGAAGATTTTTATATATTGCATAATGTAACAAGAACAAAATATGCAAGTTCACATTTTATAATACTCGAATGTATAACTGCCTAGGACATTACATTACATTACATTAAAATTCAATAACAAAAATATCATTAAATTGAAATACGAGAAAAAAAAATACATATTTCAATAGATAAGAGTAATTGTAATTATCGTTTTTTCCCTGAGGTTAACGAGTAAACTGGCAAACTAATCGAGTGTAGCATAGGTGAATCTAATCGTCGTCGTCGGCTGGACACGAAGAGAACAGTCCTAGTTTTCTCATCCTCTCGAAGTCTTTGTCGGCATCATAAGTCCTACGATAATATCATATGTTTAATATTAGTTAATATTAATAAAAAACAATTTTTTAATGTAAGTATTTAATACTTGTAAAATTCTGCATATTTCTTCTTGCGTGGTTCACCAATTGTATACTTGTATGCAAGACCGGCTAAAATTGATAACCCGACACTGACAACAAGATGTATTTTGGTTCTTTTTTCAAAAATACCGCGCATCGGCGGTCTTGATAATTTTTGACAAACGGCTCCGGCAGACATGATTGACGTCTGTAAATGAATACAAATTTATTACAAATCCTTACTAAATTAATGGACTAAATGACCAAATTGTTAAATAATAGTATTTCTATTTTATTTTTTCAAATTAAAACTTTTAAAGTTAACTAACTTATTGTTTAGCTTGTTTTTGGTTTTTAAATAGTTTTTAGTACCTATAAGAACTTTGAAATGTATACACACACTACTATTTGATTTAACAAAAATTATAAGGCTAATAGTTTTCCTTTTTTCCATTATTATAAACCTAGTAAGTAAATTGAGGTCAACATTGAAAGATATTGCATTTGGTTTGAAAAGGTTGAATTCGTTTTCAAAACAGAAAAAGTTATTGTTGCATCATATTGTTGACTATTATTTACGTTATCGCTTACTACAATTCACCACTGCGATAAATTATACATCCAAGTTTAATGCGGAAATCACATTTTATGCCATCCAAAGAATGATATTAAACTTAATAATAATGGTTTAACAATTAACGGTAAAACACATCTACAAAAATCGCAGTCTAGACTTTTTTAGCAAATTGACCTTCAAAGGAATAATGTTATATTAAGCGACAAAACAAAATACAACAAATCATAATTCCATTACATTAGAAATAAATAGATTACGGTATTATAATATTACCTATTTAATGTTGGAGATCCCAAAATATTTTTTGACTTTAATACGGAAACTTTATGAAGAAATACTAGACTGACTTAGCTCACACTGGTTATTTTAATTTCATTCCAATTTCCATTAACAAACCGAACCCCTGATTGTAAAATGAGGCATTACTAAACATCTGTTTTAATTTCTTATCAGAGTCCAAACGAAACCTTTGGAAGAATAAAAAAGATAGCTGATAAGACAGCAGACACCAGGAACTATATTGATAAGTGATAATCGCCACACCGGCCATTTCTAAGGAGTAAAGTATAGGCAATTTTTCGAAAAATCTTAATTTAGAGTTTAAACTATGATGTATACGAATTAATACAGTATTGAGGATACTCTGCTGATTGCCATGTTTTGTGTCAGACTATCACAGTTATTTCTATAGGATAAAATACAATTTGTTTGCCATCAAAACAGCTTTGCGCGGATTAATGCTTCTCAGGCTTCATATATAGTTAAGGAAAGAAATTCATACATATTATTTATGACAAAATTATCTGTATCTCATCACTAACTTTAATTTAAGGTTGTTAAAAATTATAATATTAATGCAGTTATGACTTATGGCCACATCATTATTCATATTATACATAATAACATATAACTGTTTAAATTTGATGCCAACTTGAGGGTTCAACAAATTTTTAATTAAAAAATGTTGAATATTTGTTAAGAAATTGCATGGTAGGATTGGAGAGATTCATATTTTATAGACAATAAGAAGTATAAAATTGTTCCTATATAATATAGTAATGTACCTCATTTGATTTTTGGGGTTGCCGTGTTAAAAAAATGTGCAACTTGAAAATTGAGTTCTCAATTATAGTTATTAGTTGCGGTAATTTAATAACAGTGCACAGTATACCCATTTAAAACTTAAAGACAGTACACAAAAGCTAATTGTATAACCTATCTTACTATTTAATTTAATCGTTTTTAGAAAATACTTTCTTAGTTTCTCATCGAAGCTAAATTTTTGAATAAATTAAAAAGATAAGAAATCGTATGCAACTGTGGAATTTGTTTTATTTGTTAATTTCAAATTATTCGGTAAACTTTATTTATTACCAATTGGTAAAAAAAAAAATAATAATAATAATCACTAAGTTCAACAAATAATTGTATATTTAGGTTACGTTATCTAGATTATCTTAGAAAAATAACGCATAAGCATCTAATATTACATACATTTTACAATCTAATCTAAATAATATATATTTGATTTGGCAAATTAAATAGTACTCCATAATAATAATACTCGTAGTAATGTATATCATGTTGAATTTTAAACATCTTCTACGGAATAAATATAGTTTTAATCAATAAAAAATTGGAAATGTCTAATAAGGTTTTTCAACAGTTCAAACATAATAACTATTGCTTGTTTTGCTTTTACTTCGCATAAGCGCAAAATAGTGAACAATCTGTTTTACACGTTCCACGATTTCAGTAATGAAACTGCTGCTGCTGCTGCTGCTGTTGATTGTTTTCGTATGACGTACTCTGCTGGGGTTGCTCGTATTGTTCGGTAGCATCGCGTTGTTGGGGTACTGCAGTGGGCCTGTTGTACGAATGGGCTCGGACGTGTGGATGTGACGGATAGTAATACGGCAGTGGTGGTGGCACAGGCTGTCTGAACAGCTGAGACTGTTCGGCTGACGGGTACCCCAAGAACGGAGAACGGTAAGCGTCAATCACGCTGGGTTGATCGTACAGAGGCTGCGGCGGATACGGCGACGGATGGTAGTAAGCTGGTGCCGGATACGGCGCGTAGTACGGCGGCGGTGCGTCAACCGGGTACTGCGGTTCGTACGGGTATTGGAAGCGGTACGGATTACCGGCGGGCGGTAGAACCAGGCCGTTGGGGTTCAAGGCTGGGTACGCGTATGGAGAGTACGGGTACGGGTATGGGTATCCCGGAGCTGATCCCACAGGCACGTAGTCCTGGCTGTCCGACGTTTCCGGTTTGTCTTTTCGCGTGCCAGTAGAACCTGCAAAATATGCCATTTTTGAACCATAAAAAAAGGGTTGAAAGTATTAACTCGGGAGGTGCTTTTTTCTAAAAAAAACTAAGCAGTTTTAGCGCATATTAACCGAAGAATAAAATTAAAGATTTAAAGCTTGTCTACATAACCAAACATCTAACTACGTAAGAGCTTCGCTTGGCTAACACAAAAATTGTCAAAAACCTGATTGAGTTATAAAAGTTGAAAATAAATATTAAATTTAAATGAACATGCTTATTTGCTTTGTTAGTAAACAGATGGTTTAATGGCTTCTTACTACGTTGTTAAAAAGTTTTCAGTTTTTGAGTAACCTCAGCCGAAAATAATTGTATTATTAAATTTTAAAACCGAACCACAGCTACACTCTTATTCTATTTAAAAGCTATGTACGGATCATTAAACATCCGAATTTACAAATAAACGAAAGGTGCTATTATTTTTTAAGTTGTGTTAAAAATTGAATACAACAGAAATAGGAAAAAATCGAATTTTCTTATCTTTCTCATTCAGTTTTGACTTTTTTTTTTTGTTAATTATATGTTTAACAAATACTTTTAATTTAGGCACATACCTGTTCATGAATTTTACCTAAAATGAATAGCTGTACGATTTTTAAATGGCTGAAAATTTATTTTTTCCCGCAGAAATAAAATCTTTGTGATTCCATCCCAAGTACCCATTATATATAATTTTAATCGGCTCAAGAGTAAAAACATATCACTATATTGACTAATTATTTGTATATACCGTATTTTTTTTGGTTTAAAAATGTAAAATAGAGTAGATATATGCGGCAGGCAATTTTTTATTAAGTCATTAGTTGATAAAGATCATCATAACCCCGTCTAATCGAGAAAAACAATACTATGGCGAAGAAGAAGGCTTTTAGTTTTTAGTTTTTCAAGTGTTATTTTACAAAAAAATAATATTATATTTAAGTGTTGCGTTTTACTTGGAACAAATTACACACATTTCTTTTCCTTGTTCGCGGCATACGTACTTTCGGTGGAAGTGTGTTTGTTGTATTTTCTCACGTTGGGTTGAATTTGTAATGTCTGTCCCGGTTGAGTACTGGACAAAACTTGTTGCGTGACGCTACTAAGAACGCCTGAAGTAATCACTAGCAAAATCGAAAAGATCTATATAAAAAAAAAAAAAACATTAAAAAAAAAATAGTTCATAATCATCGTGCAACAACTTTCGTTAAATAAAAAAAAATCACCAAATATATTTTATAATTGAACTTCTCAAATCCGCAATTGTTTATTTTATTTTAAAGAAGTGATATTTGCAGTTTGGACCAGGTACAATATCGCGTGGGATAAATAAATAGTAAACGGTACACAATAATAGAGACAATTATTTTAAATGCAATATTGTTAAATAAAAAATAAAAAAATCGTCAATTTTTAACTCTAGTCGATATCGTTTAATCGTGACAATATTCAAAGAATAAAATGAGGCTTACGCACATTTTGTTTGTTTTAAGGTGATATAAAAATAATATAATTTATTATCACTAGTGTTTACAAATTAAAGTTAATTAAAACTACAATACAATAAAACCCTAATCTAACTTGTGGATGAATAAGGTGAACTGTGAAGTGAGGTTAACTGAAATTTGACGGAGCAAATCATAATGTCCATGGTCATAGTCATGGCTTTGACCACGTCTTCATGTTATACGCGTTACCAATGGTTATTTAGATGATTTAAAAAAAACATTTTTTCCCGGGTACAATTTCGAGTGCACCGTCCAGTTGCAGTCATATCACTCACCCTATCGACTTGACAGTTCGACTAATCAGGTCGTGGGGACTAATTATTTCCAAAAAAAATATTTGAACAGTTGTTGGAAAGTTATGAAATTCATAAACGGTTTAAAAAATATGTACAACGTTATGTTTAACTCACTTGTACCATCATGGTGCCGTCGTGTGAACACACTGCTAGAGTTGTTGGCGAATACTGACTGTGTGAGAATATAGATCGTACCGGAGTTTATATAAGATCCATCGGTACGTTTACAACGGTTTTTTTCTCGATCATCATTGTCATTATCGTCGTCGTCGTTGTTATTATTATTATCATTATAATTATTACTAAACAATGAATTAGGTGTATCGACAATGATGTAAAGTGTAAACCGCAGTCATCGTCGTCGCGTTTCGAGACGGTTGTTGAACCTGAGTAGGAGGGCACACACCAACATTGCGATTAATGGTCATGCCTTAGTTTTGAGGAAATAAACCGTCGATGATTAATGGTTTTTATTATTATTATTGTTTTTTTTTTCTTAAAGATTTATCTAGGTGGCTAATTATTTCATATCCGATTCCAGCGATAAGAAAAAAAATGTTTATGCGTTTTTAATTGCTCTCACGACAAAGAAAACACGTTCGAGTGTTAGGTGTGGACCGGAGCCGTAGGACACCTCCTAAGGTTTAATCGCATATCGCATTGGGTCGAGTATTAAATGTATTGAATTATATGTTTGAGAAGGATAAAAGAAAAAACTCGGGTAGTACTGTTGGACAGATTTATGTTCTCCTTCGCCTGTCCATTACAAGCCGACCCGGGTCAGCCCTATCGTTCACTATCGTCGCCCCGTTTTTACTTTTTAGTATTTTTAATGAGTGGTTTAAAAGTTATTAATTTTCCAACAATGGTTACTTTTCTAAGACGTCACAGGAATTTCGTTATGGCACTAACATAAATAAATAATACTCTTTAGCGCTTTAATATATACTTTAAAATACTTTAAAATACACTAAAATTTGCGCAATAAATAGCATCCAAGTATAGGAAAATATGAAACAAAAAAAAAATTGCCAGAAAAAATGCCTGTACGTTTGCAAAATTTAGAGGAAAACAATTTTTACGACATCAGGGGAGTGTGAAATAAATTTGTATCTTAGCTGGAATGTGCTAAGATTTACCAAAACAAATCTATAAATTCTTCAACTTCCAAGCGCTGGTTATATTAACTAAGGTAGGAAGTTTTTGGTTGGATTTCTCAGTTATGAGTCCCTCCGATGGAACCCCTTAGGTCTAGGTTTTTGGGATAATACCACCTACTCAAGTAGCTCTTTACTCTACAAGTAGTTAATTTTTTTTTATTTTGCTAAACTTTCATCTTGAATTAATAATATATTTGGCGTCATCCTCCGAGAGCTGTGAGAGACTTGAAAATAACGTTTTCCGAAGACATCTTTTGAAGAACTCTTGGTAACTTTTTGGTTGGTTTAGGGCAATGTTTCATCCTTGAAGTCTTGATACTTGCCTAATTCTCTGGCCTTCGCGTGCACAGTTTATACTTATTTTTTCTTAGCTTAACACAATCGGAGGGCTCCGTGTGGATGTTATCGATTACAAACGGACTCCTCGTACAACCGTAGCATAAGCGAATGACAAATGATTTCAATCTCGACCAATTAATTAATTTTCCGACAAGTGCGTGGGTGTTTATGATAAGTACGGGAAATGAAAAAATGTCAAGTGTGTTGAAATTCGCAGCCGGCTTTGCCACGAGGGTACTGACCGACGAACTTGACATTGACGTGTTGACATCTGGGGTCAACCAAATGGTCTTTTGCGTTTGCATCGGTTAATCGTTGCTCAGCTATTCGGCATTCATTCGCCTATTGTGTTACTATTTGTTGTAACAATGGCATGTATATTAGCTGTGTAATCTGCCGCGTGCATCTGTTAATCAGCGGACCCACGGGTGGAAAATCAAAAAGTCCATTTAGCGTGCCCAAAGTCGGAACAGCCAGCTATCGTCGCTTAGATTTAATATAATAATAATAATAATTTTACGTTGTAAAACAGACATTGTCTCAAATCACGCTATTTTTGAAATCATTTTTAACGATTGTACAAGCCAATTATTGGCTATCCAAATACGAACTAATTACTAAACGGTACAATGATGACCAAAAACTATTTTAAATTAAATAAAACTGTATTTAAGAATGTAATTAATTAAAAGTGTAATTCCGTACAGGTAAATAAACGTTTTAGATACAACAAGACTTACGCATAATATGAAATATATAATCTATAATTTTATGAACAGATACTTAAAGAGCATTATGATCAAGATAAATTGTGGTTTAATTCCCTATGTGATTCCACGCCTTTCTATTTTTAGAATAGGATATCGAAGAAGAAACCGTTTTTTACATTACTTCTTCTCGCTTGTCCCTAAACCTACAAAGACAAAGGTTTTTTTATTTATAATAACTAAATAACTTTCAAAATAAAAAAAAACAATGCGACATATTACAGTTAAAAGGTTAAGGCGTTAAGCGTTTCTTTGTTTAATTAATCCATATTTGACTTCTATATTATAATGAGATACTGGCGTTTTACCTTATACAAACAATACGCAGGGTTAAGTATACCAACAATGAGTGTGTGTAACAATATAATATAAAACTCGAAGAGTCACGATGAGCGCTTTGGGTATTATTAAATTTAAGAAAACCGGTCAAAAATATTTACTAAAATAACTAACCTTCACAGTTTCACTTTTTAATATATATATATATTATATACATATAATACGTCTAGTGTTATAATTATTATTCAAGTAATATTATTCTTGTTCTTATTAACAAACACAGCTGGATATGGCATACTTAGCACTGGTTAGAAGTAACATAATCATGTAATTTCAAATGTATTGTCATTACCCTTTAGGCATTTTAAGCATAATAAACATATTATTTTAACCTTTAAGAGTGAAAATAACTCGCTTAATTTTGGTTTTAGAGTAAAAGCACCCATTATAAAATTAAAAGAAAACAATATTCCGGAGGGCAAGACGGTGCGTTTTTTAAAAAAATTAATTTTTTAAAAAGTTACAGTCATTTAAAAATGTTAAAATAGTCGTTATTTCTAAACTATGTATTGAGCGTTATACTTGGAATAATGAAAAAATTGCACCGTCTTGCCCTCCGAAATATTGTTTTCTTTTAATTTTATAATGGGTGCTTTTACTCCAAATCCAAAATTAAGCGAGTTATTTTCAATCTGCTTAAACAAGTAGAGATGAAAAAACATTTTTAAATCGCTTTCAAGGATGCTGTGATAGTCCGAAAAATAAATTAACTAACAAAATAGTGTCCTAGTTATTGAACTAATAATTACACATCACAGTTTAACCTTCAAATTAATATTTTGTAAAAAATTGCCTCTACATTACTCCTTAAAAATGGGCGGTGCGACGCCCTCTTAATACTTGATATAAAAAATAAAACAGAACAATATATATATAGAGATATATATTAGGTATATGGTTGCAGATTGTCTATAGGAAGATAATAAGGCCATGTGCGTACCTATATTTTCAAAAGTTTTCATATTTTTTTGTTCGACAAACGTTAAATAAGTTTAGAAAAATACGTTAAAATCATCCACACTTCATGCAGATACATATAATACATATGATGATAGTATAGTCTTAACTATATGTTCTGGCCAACCGTTTTTTAGTAGTTTTATAATATCTGGCATTAATCGATTTACTGGCAATATTTATCAATATTCAACATTTCTCATAAATCAATTTCCGTGGTACGCAAGTAAGAAAGTGCCTACCTAACAAATTCATTTGACTATCCTTATATTCATATATATCTTGCAACTGTTATTTTCATAACATAATCCTTCTATAGTCCTACTCCATAATCTCTCCACAATCCCTCCAAATTCTTCCTCCATAATCCAAATGGACAAATTTCCAGAAAGACCCCTAGCCATAAGACATATCCATAATACACTGACTAGGAAACCGCATTTTCAAGTCAAAGGAATTAGTCAATTTGATATTTCTTCGGTTGTCTCGGCAGCAGTTCTAACAAAAAAGCTATCGGTGGGTTTAATTTTAAACAGCCTTACAATTTATCTTGGAGGTTTTTTTTTAAATGCTCTTCTCTAATTATTACGTAACCCTCCCCTCACCCCAAAAAACCCCTTTTATTATGACCCATCTTAAAACATGACATCAAATTTTGCTGAAAAACGTCAGAAACCGGCAAACACAAGTCTGATTAACCATTGCCCATAGACGCAAAAAGCCCAAATGTTTTGGGAATAATATTTATGTCTGTGTATCCATTTTATTATTTTTTTTTAATTATAGATTTAAAATTAGAGTAGATTCTATTACTTGATTATAACTTTTAATTATTTTAAGTATAATTTTTACATACTTCAATTGTAAACATTCTTCAAAGTGTTAAGTGTCTTTGTCCATTATGTATTGTGCAATAAAACATGATTATGAAGACAACGATTAAAAATCTGATGTGTACCAAAAATACTTATACAGTTTTATGTATATTCGGATGCTTAACCTAATGACCTTAATCTAAATATTATACTCATAAATAACACCAGTTTGCTTTATATAATTTTAGAAACGTGGTTCGTAATTTACTTGGTTATATTCATAAGTATGTAACTGTGATTTATTATTATTGAACTATAAAAGTTACATTTTGGTTGTAATAAACTTTAATATCATATGTTAGTCAATACTTATTAAGAACTGTACACATTTTTTGTAAGTAATATTTTGATTGATTTATTCTATATAATTAAATATATTTAAATACATCAAGCCAAACAGGATTTATTAAAGATAAAACAAGTATAATTATACATTGGTATAAGAAGTTTTTATTGATAGCTCATTCAATAGCGTACTAGATATTATAAATTAACATAATTTAAATTGTACAATGTATAGTGTGAAAGGATTAAATAAAAATACTGCATTAATAGATCACATTGTAGTTATTATTATTATAATTATGTTCCAAATAATAATAAATTATAAATAGGTAATAAATAATTAAATTACATTTATAATGGCTTTATAAGCAGTTGTTTTCAAATTGTTAATAAGAGTAATGGACACCGTATGGCCCGGAATAACTGGTGTGGGCCACTGCGTGCGGTGCCGCGCCATAGCCATGAGGCCCGGGAGCATAGGCGTGAGGCGCGGCGGCAAAAGCATGAGGTACCGGGGCGTATGCGTGAGGGTCCGCATACGCGTTGGGCGCATACGGCGCGGCCGCGTACGCTTTCAACGGTGCCGGGTACGGATGCGGCACAAACGGCACGGTCGCGGCTACCGCGTACGGTTGGTAGCCTGGCGCGTGATGGTACGGGATGTCGTTGGTGACGCGAACGTCGGCTTTGTGGACGGACGAGAACGGCGTTTCCACCGTCTTGTGAAAAGCGGCCACATGACCGAGATTGCCGGGCGATCTGACGATATTGGTGGACGTGGACGCTACGGCGCCCGCGTACGGATTCCCATACGGGTGATAGCTTGCACCATATTGGTAAGGTGCAGCGTACGGCGCCACATAATCGGCAGTTGCAGTGACCACTAACGCGACAAAGCAGACAAGGACCTGTAATGAACATTTTATATTATTAAAAAAAAGTAAAATATAAATATTATTGAGATTTTGGAGCATAACATTTGTGATGAAAATTGATAGATGTAACACAGCAGTTTTAGAGAACGACTATAAGTCTTCCTATTCCTACTTTACGCTTAAAATCCGCAAATCTTATCAATGATTTAAAACTTAATTTTACATGGAAACTATAGTTAAATTAAGAATTTAGGAACCGACATAAAATTAGAATGGCGAACCATGATGGCATCTATGATCATAACTTGAATTATTTTGTTTATAAATGTATATTATTTACATACGAAAGATTTCAATGAAGTTATTATACCTAAGTAGTAAAATATAAACAATATTTTACATAACTTTTTAAATACTTTTACTTGAACTATAACTCTAACTGTTTTTCTAGAAAAAAAAGGCAAATAGATCCGAAACGCCAGATAACTAATGACAACGTATAGATCCGAAAATGTTTAATTGTTCGAGTCTACACATTCAATTTCAATACTATACTAAATCGTTCTTACGGTTCGTCTCAAAGCTAAAATTGAATAAATCAATGTCAAATCAAAACTATCAGTATTTAAAATGTATACTCTCCTTTTGCTTAGAAGTCGAAGAAAATAAAAAATAACTTAATCGTTGAAATGTTAACAGACTTATACATAAACCAAAATTTTAAATGTATGCAAATCTAACAAATCCTCGTGTCCTCTACTAATATCTATAATAAGTAAACGAGTAGCTGTTGCTCTAACGATTGCTGATTGGCTCTGTATAATTGAGTAATTCTCGAAGCAATCACTATTTATGAACAAATGCGGTTTTGTTTTAAATAATAATTAAATTAAGTACTTACCTTTAACGCCATAGTGTGATATCGATAAAACTGTACGGTCCTGTTTAAATAAATTGACCACACCGCGGATTGTTTACACTGTAATAGTTGGCTGTGTCCGGAGTGTGCGATGACCGCTCTCTTTTATAGGTAGGACTTGGGCAGATAGTTTTTGCATATTGTATTGTGGTGGTACTACTCATAGGGGGGCGAGGTTTTTCCGGTGTCCCCTCTATCCGGCAATATCGGCTCCAGGGTAAAATGCGTGCCATTGTTAAGATCAAAAACGTATTATTGATAATATATTATGTGTATTGTCAGCGTTTACAGTCGATTGTGAGCAAAAAACAAACCGACATCGTTGGCCTTAAACGTAGGATTTATTCTAGTTTGTCTACAATAAAATATTGTATGGGAGCTCATAATAATAGAATTTGATGTTGTAATTATACATACAGGGTGATCAATTTAATGCAAGACACTTACTTTTATTTACATTTTGTAGTTCAAGATTTTCGAGACATTTTTGTCGTTAATGTATACAATGTATACATATAATATTTATCATTAATATAAAATTACTAAATATTTCAATATTTTAGTATTTTTCAGAGCTCTAAATTAAAAAAATAGATGGTAACGTAATCAAATTAACTTTTTACATCGAGAATAGTTTGCTGTATATTTAGACTGGTCGATAACCAGGTTTGGATAATTACTTTTGAAGTTACTGTGGTTTAAAATTTAACACGAGAGGTAAAGTACGATAGAGTAACGCACGGGACTAACAATATACTCCACTCCACTGTTACTCTAGTATACATTTTAAACTTTAACAACTTAAAAAGTAATTACCCAAAACTGTTTTTAAAAACTACAAAATTGCAATTATTTTAAGAGAAAATGAATTTCTTATCTTTAACATGAACAATGAATCACTCTATACAGGTAGCTGGAGACGCGCTGTCATTTATTCTGCCAAAAGTGGATAGTATTTTTTTTAATACAAATTTACTATACCTATAACCCAGACAAAAGATGTCCGGTTAACAGTTTTTTTTACTTGATTTTTGCTGTTTTACTTGGTCGATTTGTGCTTGTAAAAGTATCTTATATTCCCAGGTGACTCATAAGCAACTTGTTTAAACGGCGGTACTTAATAAGAGAAGAATCTATGGTTTTTATAATCTCGACTAGACTCCCGTAGTGAAAAACAAACAAACATAAATGGATTTAAAATCTGATTACATTTAAATTGACAAAAGATACTTAATTATAATTTAGACCAACTACTAAGTTTTTTTTTTTATTATAGGTAAAACAATAGTGTAGGTACTTATATATAGGTACTTACAGGTAATAGGTACTTGTAGGGGGTTGTCGTTCATAATATACCTAAATATCTAATTATAATTACACAATATATTGAATGCACCGAATAGCCTATCTGTAAGCACATAAAAAGGCCGGTGTTTTAAAAAAACGAATTTTACTTAGAACTAAATTATCTATTACATTATTATATTTATTATACAATCTATTGTAATATTATACTTTTTCTTTGTTCGATTACAGTACACACTTCATCCTCCCAGATTGTTTTTGGTAAATTAATTTTTATCTCGTCTCCTTTTATAACAATATATTATTAACTTTATTAGTAATCAAAACGTATCATTACATAATATTTGTACAGTGTTCTTTAAAAATGTATATTTTTTTTTACAGTACACTTTACATCATATTATCAATTATGTTTGATGAAAGGTGTGACTCGCCATAACTTATTATAGTTCCCACTTAATAGTTATTACATTTAAACCAAAATTCTTCTGGAAAATAGTCCCTTGCATGGACCTTGGCCATGGCCATTTGGAATGATCGCTTGTACTATTTTTGAAAATTAAGCACAACGAACAACACTATAGTAACGCAGGACACGTTTAAGCAAGAAAGTATACATTTTACAGACCCGATTTTTAAATCTAAGATTAAAGGTTAGGATTAGAAAAAGGGTTAAATGACAGGAAATTTAAGATTGTTACGTCTCATTCAATTTCAGAAAAATAAAATCACGATAATTAGAACTTCCCCTCTGCCGTCTATTGTCTAGCCAAATATTTAATTCCAAAAGAAAAGAAAACATTTAATTGAAATTCTCTTTCCTCTGATTGTGATCACTCGCAATTTTCGATGGTACAAAGAGATAATAATAAATGAAATTTGATGATATTAACTGCATTGAATAGGGGATTGAGTCGTTTTCAACTGGCACTTTGCTTACTATTTTATTAGACTTTGTATTGTTCTTATAAAATTATAACTGTCCATTTGTTGGTTGGCTTTTTTTCGAAAGAAAATTATGTTAAGGCCGTAAGTATAACCTGTTTATGTTGTTTTGTTAAAAAAAGATAGGTATACACCGCACGCGAGAGCTGTGTATTCTTTAACAAAAGCTGATCATTGTTCTTTGAAGGCTGTTACGCAAGAATTGAGATCATCTAGAGCACATACATCATAACTAAAAATCTATCTATTGTTACGGATTGTCAATAACAATATAATGTAATATCGAAAACCAGTAGATATAGGTAAGTATCCTTCAAGCCTGATTTGCTGTTCTTCCGAATATTAAACGAGGAGGAAATACCATTATACCATACAAAATTATGTCATTTTCTGTTCGTCATAATATAAATAATATTAAATATGTAGAATAGATGTACAAAACAAATGAATTGTATGTAGATAATTGGTTTATTGAATTTTAAGCTTATTATTTAGTTTTTGATGTTTTCTAATTTAGCCAGGCGTTGGTGGCGTTTTAAAATTTTAATGGCGGTAATAATATTATATTTATTATAATGTTAAAATAACAAATATACAATGGATTGTATAATTTACATAAAAAATAAGTAATAACGTTAAAACTATTCATAATTTAAGGAGAATTGAGATATTTAACCATATTAACAGTTGTTTTTCATTTTAATAGGTACCTTTTTACATAACAAATAATTTTTTAAAAATATGTAAATGATCTAGCGCTATCTATTATTGATAAAAAACAAACTGTAAGTCAATTATAACTTAACAGAGGCCGCTAGTACAGTATTTACCATTTATTGCGTTCTGAATTTATTGTACAATATACAATACTGTAGGTAATTTTGAATAAACTATAGGCATGTTTTTTGCATAATACATTATTTGCTTATGGACATTATTAATGAACAATACGCATTATATTGCACTTTGAAAAATAACAATATACACCAGTTATAGCAATGTATTTTAATAATAAAGTTTTAGTTTTCAAAAAGAAGAAAAATTGAGAAATGTTGGCTACACTGGGTACGTTTGCTATTGACACAAGTTATCTTCATTATCATTTTTTTTAACGTTTTTGTTATTATTCAAAAATATATATTATCCGTATTTCGTTGTCTCGTTAATGTTCTTTAATCTTTTACCATTTGGTTTTATGAGTTATGACTTTTTATTAAGTTAGTTGATTTATTTCTTGTTAGCATCTTATTTCAGCTGTAATTACATATTTGAGTTTTAGTTCAATTATTTACATTCATTTGTGCGTGTGTAATATTTGTATATTAATGGCGCCTACGATAAAGAAACTGAGAAAATCATTGTCTGTAAAATCTTCATTTTCTGGTACGACAGACAAAGAAAATGCATTCTTGCACAGTGTTAGTGATTTTCATAGCAAGATACGGCGCAGAGAATCGATAAGGCTGAAGTGCAAGGTATTTATAAAAGTTATTCATGCTACATAATATGTATATAAAAGTATATATTATATTCTTTGCTTAGATCTCTAAATAATTTAACTAATTGTATTCTAAACGAAACTGAGTAATAATCATTGTATTTCATAAAATATAATAATTTTAATAAATATTTTGCATAATGTAAACACAGAGTATAGTAAATACCTAGTACTCATTATAAAAACTATCTATGATAGAAATGTGTTTTGTAAAAACAAAATATTTTAACATTGAAATGAAATATATCTATGTAAAGGTATGAACGTTGATTGTTAGATGTATTTTAAGACTAGTCTGATTGATTTAATAAAATTAGGTAATATTACAAGATAGGCTTATGTACCATCTAAAACCAATTAACACCAAGTCTGTGTGGTGTCAGTAAACGCAACGATTAATGCCTCCCTAATAAGGGATAAAAAACCATTCTCCATGTGGGATCAGCTAAAAGATAATGTACATTCACCCTGTTTGTAATGCTTAAGTACAAGTAAGAAAAATACAATAAAAATCATCACAAAATTAGCATAAGTGTTAATTTTTAGGACTAAAACTAATTTTAAACATTGAAGTTTTTTGATTCCTAAAAAAAAATATATTATTAAACAGTCAAGTTAAGTAACTGTAAATAAATAGAGCAAAATATGTAAACTTCATTTATAATATTATAATGAATTGTGTGGTATGGATTTTAAGTAGTGGTAATTTAAAAAAAATGTACATGTATAATAATAAAGTAAATATACTATTTAAAGAGAAAGTTTAACTAAAATCTAGTAATCTATGATAAAAATAACTAGGTATCCTTTTCTTCTTTCCTTTCTACTAAAGGACTTGCCTTGGTGTTGCAAGATAGTTGCCATCCTGTGGAAGTAGTTATGGTGCAGTGGTTTTTCGTTGCCTTTCGCAATTAGGTATTATACAATTTTATTTATATGATAAATCATTTATTCTTGTAAACTCTTCATTATAAATTGTATTTTGTTTTTGAACATTCATCAACAATTTTTTTTTAGTTTATAAAAGTAATAATGCTAAAAAGGTATTTTGTGATTAAGACTCTTGTAAATATGTCTTAATTCATTTTAATAAAGAAAATTAATGTTCGGCACTTGCACTTGTTGCTGGAATATTCAATATCAAAGGTGCCAATTCTGTGATTTGTATTAAACTATCTGATGAATTGGTAAGATCTATCAGGCAAAAGTTGAAGTCAAAATCTTGAATTGTTTTAGGAAAATCCTCTAGCGAACGAATACATTTCACTGTCCCGTTTTCACAGTTTTGTAGTATTGAATTTCAAAAGATTTAAAACGTAATTTCTGTATTCAGACATCATTTTAATAAGGCTGCTACAATTCAATTGTGTCGAGCAAGAAGTAGAAATCTTTGTGTTTGACTTGTTCAAGCACATTCATTTTTTGTTCATTTAAAAAAAAAATAATGATAAACCAGTAAGTGTTAGGACTAACATTTAACATTTTTTCATGATCGAGAGATTGTTTTAATATTAAATTTAGTTTGTGAACATAAAAATAAACAATAATAAAAGTGCCTTGTTCTTTGTTCTCACAAAATGGAGCTCTTGTTTCACCAAATTATATATCAACAAATCGACCTAACCCTTCAGTGCCTATTGTAGCAGGAATGCAACATGTTTTATTAAGTAACGTTATTTTTTTTTTTATTTTTTCTAAATCTAATTTATTTAGTTAAATACAATAATTATAAACATCTACCAGATGTTAAAAAATGGAACATGATTTAGCCTTGGTACCCCAGCTTGAAAATGAATATGAAGTTAAAAAAAAATATATTTATCTAAAAAAAATAGTTACAGTCTACTTAAAAGCCTAACGGCTAAAATTATAAAACATGCAACATCATGCTTTAGTGACTAAAGTTTAGTCTGCTGGCTCTTGAATAATGACTATTTTTTATCTATAATCTCCTTGCAATACATGACGATAGTATAGTCTTAACTATACAATGACATCTATGTATTTTGTATAAACAGACAAAACAAAAACTGTCCGTCTATCGAAAATGGTAAAGAGCGACTGCTATCTATCACCTGGCGCCACTGCTGACCATAATATTATGCAATTAAAAAGTACTAATTCAGTTGATATTCTAATTTTATATTTTATTATTAACGAATATAAAAAAATATTTATAATATAAAAGCACTAATTCATTTTTTTTTTTTTTTAAGTGTTAGGAGTGCTTACATGGACGCTATGCTGAATTATTTTTTAATTTTGAACGAAAGCTTATTAATTCCAAGAAGTATATATCTGTACCGCGGGTCTAAAAAGGCCAATCTCATTGTTTATAATTTTTGGAAAATGAGCTTTCAGTTTTTATTTTCCGTGCGGTTCTAGTGTTTATTTTTTACAATACTCTTGATAAGTTTTTCAAATTTTTGCCTCGAGGAGGAAAAAGAGTATGAACATTTTTGAAATACATCATTCGTAATGAAATACGTTTGTTAACAATAATTCTATCTGGCCATATTACATTTTTTTTTAATTTATATAGATTTTAAAAATGACTTAGTTTAACCAACATGAATGTATTGATAACAGCTACCCGTTGAAACGAAAAATCGTAATGACTTTTAGACAAAAAAAAAATAACACTGTTACTTTATACAACAATATAAAATAGTATATTCATGAAAATTATGTATTGCAATTTGCGTGAAGGTATTTGGTATAATTTGTTGTTGTTACTTGTTTTTATTATTGTATTTACTATTATTAGTCTAATTTATATACTATTATTATTTGTACGTGTAAAACACTTCGTCGGAGACTTGAACGATTTGAAACTGTCATATAGACAGATATAGTGTTTACTGAAAGCGTTAATAAGTGTAAACTCTCAAGAACGGAGTAAACGTTCGAAATCTGTTCTAATTTGGTGTTTTTTTTAAATGTTTTATGAGATATTGCGCTAAACCAATTCGATGTGTTAATCAAATTATTCTAGAAATTCGCATCGCGTGTATAACTAATCTCGTGTACGTGACGATTAAAATTAAGCGGTGATTCGCATGCGGCGGTGATCTTTTCTTATTTACTATAAAATTGTTACTGCTGTCTTGTTTTCGTGTGACCGGGTAAGAGGTTGAAATCTACTGTTGTCTATCTATATAGGTAGGTACTTGTATACAGAGGAGCACGTTTCTTTCTCCTTCTACCGGGCCCACCGTCGTACCCACCTGTGTGTTGGCTCTGGTTTGCCGACACTCGGACGTGCGGTGATCGATACAAGCAATCGCTTCATTCAGTTCGTATTTCACGGCTCACGTGCCCGGGCCAATGCGGTTAGGTATGCATGTGTTTGACGCATAACGACAACAATACTCGCTGGATTTACACAGTAAAATCGCGCGACAACAATACTGGTTTTTTATGTCTGCCGTAGCCCTTAAAAACAACACATCCGATTGTTGTTCGAATTAATACTAAATTCCACCCCACGAAAACTGTGGTCACAGCTGCTGTCAATAGTAGTAATCGCGAAGGCATAAGCAAGATTCGCCCCCTGTGCGCCGGGGTAGAATCGATAAGTTTTTTTCGTGTACTTCCGCCATGTATCGCATAAGACTGTACATCGTACCAGAAGATTCTGGAGTCTGTCCAGACATTAAAGTGATCGGCCCTGTCAGTCCTGTGAACAGCAAGCAAGAGGTACAAAATATTAATAATAATAATATAATTTTATGGTCGATCGACTATTGTAATATATGAGGGCCCGCATTTCAATGTTTTTAATGAATGGTCCGAAAAATAGCTAGGCGAATTACAAGAGGTTTTTTAAACGCAAATTGTTTATTTTAATTAAGTATTGGAAAAAAATGATTTTTATTAAAAACGAATTAAAAAAAAATTGTAGCATCCGGGTCCTACTAATATAACACCTAGAATATTTTTTAACGTAACTTGTCATTTTTTTACCTCGTTCCAAGCATTTAAAGCAGGTTCTCAAATTCCTGTAAATAGTATTAATAATTATATTTTGTTGTCCTTCCTTTACCAATGCAACAACTAGTTTTGAATTTTAATTGTTCGGTAAGTCTTGGTTTGCCATTCACATTTTTTTTTGATTTTTATTAATTACAACTAGAAGTTGTATAAACTAGTTTTATAATTATTTTTAGTTTTTAATTTGTCTAATAATTTTAATTGTAAAGTCAATTTTAAATCGTGTAATGAAGTATTAAATAAAATGCTGTTCGTTTTTACTAGCTATCAGGAATTATTTCGTAATAACCAATAGTTTTAATTTATACGTTTGAGATATTATACTTACAAGTTATAAATATGAAATGTCGATAGGGAACAAGAGGTTATTAATCTAGAAATAAACAGGAAGAAGTATTAAAAAATGGGAAATTATCGGATTTAATGGCGGTGTTTTTTGGAAGTGTGGCGATAGGTATTTAAAAACGATATGCTTCCTTTTTTATTGCAAAATACTAAGTGATTACTTGTTATGCATATAAGTAAACTGACTGCGTTAATAATTATTAATTAACAAGGATAGGTATTTAAAAGAAATCATTTAAATGTTGCAATTTTTTTCATTTAAAAGAAAAGTTTGTGAGAAGTCCAGGTAGTTTTCCAGGATTGTAGTATGTGGGTCAAATAAACATTAGTTGTGTGACATACAATTTGAGTTAATGACAACGCTCGTTACTCATATTCATACGGCTATGATATCATGACTATCAGATATTTTGATTGTATAATATACACAGATCATTCAAAATGAGCTAACAAATGATATATAACAATACACCGTACAAAATAAAATATTACCAGTTTAAAATTAGCCATAGACATGTTATTAAACCTATATTAAGGTTTATATGATGATGGTTGTACAGTGTACTGTGTTCACTTACCTAGAATTATTGACGTATAGATACAATTTTACTTTGGTTGTAGATGGTTTATTTTAAATAATATTATTGGTTTTACAATAATGTGTATGTTTTTTTTTTTGCTAGAAGAGCTGAAATCGCTGAACCAAATCCTTCATATTATATTAAATTTGTCGACCATAGTACATAGACGCAATTTCAGGGTTGGAAATACTAAAAAAATCTGCAATTTTGAATTAGTAATATTAAATTGATCATAATCGATAAGTTTCCTATTTAAAAAATATTTATTATATAGACTCCTTAGAAAATTCTAATTAAAATTTGTATGGATTTGAATATATCTAACTCCCTATAATCGCACCAATAATAGTAAATTATATGCAATCGGTATAATTTGAGAGAAGTCCTGAAACATCACTCTCACCTTTAAAATACAAATTGGAAAAAATATATTTGAGAGAATATAGATTAAATATCTAATTACAAATTTAATCGTTTAAAAATAACCGAAAAATTCAGCTTAATGTATAAAGTTTGATAGCGGTAAAGTTTAGTATGTTTCATGAAAATTCTACGACTGGTTGGTTTTTACTTATTAAAATCTAATTCAAGTTAAACGTAATTTATCTGTACGCTTTTGTCATTTAGATGGTGAAAGACTTTTAGACTTTTCCAACTTATGAACTGACTCTTTAAAATTACAAGGTATATACATAAGTACATACAAATAAACACGGTAAAAACACATCAGATTGAAGCTAAAATTTAAAGTTTTATAAATTTTGATTTATCTTTAATTGTATGATAGTCGTAAAAACTGACTTGGCATAGACCGATCATAATCTATTTTAAAAGGAAATATCTCAAATAAATCGCGAATACTGGCCAAAGTATAATATTAAATAATATGTATAGTTATATACGTATATACGTTATATATATGTATATATTTGTTATGTATAAAAATGACGTGCTAGATGATTAAACATTATTATTAACACATAAAAAAATTGCAATTTTATTAAATTTTATGTGTGTCTGCTATTTATAGAATAGTATGACAATTTTAGTGTTATGCATTTTTGTATAAATAAAATTTATCAATTATGTTTGTAGGTTTATGCGCAACCTCATTATCATACAATAGTCGTACGATTTGTTTTTATATGTGTGTGGGTAAAATAATGTACATTATAATTTTATATATTTTCGGTTAACGCTAATATTTAAAAAAAACGAATAGTTACAAGTTATTTTTTTGAAGTACCAAAATGTTCCAAGATCCACACGGTCAGAGGTAGGCCTATTGAATATCTTTATAGAAACTAAAAAATTTGGCAATGTGTAATGAAAAAATAATTTAAACGCCTCGTTAAAAATTTAAATATATATTATTCTTAATTTAAATTATTCAATTTAAAATCCTATTAAAAACGTATTTAAATACGTTTTTAGTTCATTTAGTTATGATTTTTTATTTTTACAAAATGCAAATTTATTAGTTATTATAGTTATTATGTTCGGTTTACACTTCAACACTCCTTTCTTTTAGCTTCGATGCAGAGCGGCAAAGGTATTTTATTATTGTTTTAATTTCCAACCAAAATTTTACTATATTTTTTTTTGCAATTAGGCCTTCATTTTAAATGCGTTTAGAGTCTATATTTTATTTCACGTGGGTGGCCAATAATAGGGTTAAAATTAATGTTATTTTGGAATAGCAATATCTGTACTTTATTAAAAAATATAAATAGATTTGTACAATTTTTTGTAGGTGTTTGGTATAACATCAATAGTTACCAAAGCTTTTTGACTATAAAATATATCGTTGTTATAATTAATAAGTTTCATAAAAAATAATTTATATATTCTTGGTAATTCATTAAATAATATTGTTTTTAAATAGTAGTAAAGTTTTAGTCTAATTTAAACGTTTTAAAGTAATCCACATTTATTTTTTTATACATTTTTTTTTTCGATTTCAACTTGAGACGGTTTGGAATTTTTTCTGTATGTATTTTAATTTGAAACCATTCAACGTTATAATTACAGAAATAGTAGGTGTGAAGTTTGTTTGTATCGCCAGATGATACATACAAAAATCTTTTAATTGTTTTCAAAAGAGTATTATTTTTATTTGCTGGCAATGTTTCTTACTGGGTATAGTAGTTTGTTTTGTAACAATTTATATTATAATGGTTGTTGTCAATGTTGTGTATTTAGTATGTCATGTCTTATATGGGTTCCGTGGAGCTTATTACTCGTTCAGACTTGCGCTAAATAACAATAGAATGGGAGTGTCAGATTTTATTTAAATTTCGAATTAGTTCACACCCGAATCCAATACATTAATCTCATTTGAGAAAAAATCACGTTAACTGAACGCAGGAAGTAATTTAATTTATATTTTGCAGTGGCTTAAACGAATTTCAATAGGTATGCTGAAATCGTGTAGTGATGTAAGACGGTCTGTAAATGCAGTTGCCGTAATACCGGGTAAATCACTACTCTATTCCATGGCGAATTGGTCTGATTACCCGAGATGTGTTATGTATGTTATTTATTTGCAATTGAATCATAGGGCGTGTAAATATAAAATTTACAATAGTTGGATATGGCGTTTCATTGTACTTTTTTGTACATAAGTGTATTATTGCTATTATTTATTATATTATTGGAATATATTCGAACAAAATATATAAATTATTTTCCCCTAGACTTCCTGAAATAATATCTAATATTTTTATAACACTTTTTTTTACGTTTACTACGTCGATTTCGTATGTAAAAAACATAAAAAAATTTAATCTGTTATGTATTTGTTGTGAAAATCTCAAATAAAAATGTTTATACGCGTGTTAACGTTTATAGTTTTTTTTACCGTTTTATTTCGATTTTATTCAATTGTTTTAAAGGTAGTGCTTAAATTGATTAGGCACCTTGAAATAATTGCGCAATTATACATATTTTCGAACATGCTTTTCAAATTATGTTTGTCTCCGTTATGCTATTTATTAGCCGTTGTACCCATAATTAAGTTTAGTTATCACGCTAAGTTTATCCTGGAAATCCTAATTCGACACTACTAAACAATAGCAATGATAGCGATCAAAATTTATTTTTAAATAGTTGTAGGTATTGCTTATTGATCATTGTTACTATGTTTACTGTATTAATATATGATGCAAGTTTTTTACTCAGATATATTCCTATACACATTAATTTTTGTATGAAGTAATATAAATAGTTCAAAACTATTTTAACGATGTATCACAATGAACGGCTGTAATTATAATTTTTGACCATGTCCATTTCTGTTTTGTCTGTCGCTTACGTAACGGCTTAAAAACATAAATATAGCGTACAGTGTTATATTATATTATACTTTATTACCTTCATCATGTGTGTGTGTGTAAATATATACACAATGTGTAAAGGTTTCAGAGATGTTAAGAGCGCATTTGTGGGAAATGTCCTTGGGTGATCATATTCTTCGCTATAGTATGAACGACACGTGTAAGTAAGCGTTTTCTCTTTCCTGCGTCGAGTTTTCATCTTTAGTTTTTATTATGAGTTGAATAGTGGTATGCACACACACTCACAATAATGGCAACTAACGTGTGTGACAAATTGATAGACCACTGACCGTGGGTCGGGTTGAAAAAACTTACCCGAAACATACACTGAAAAATCATCCTAGCACTCCCAAGCTATGCAAGGAAAACAAAACAGAAAAATATTGTAAATAATACTATTGTATATAATTATGTTTCCCAGTAGGCTGAATGTTATATATTTGAA